TCGGGATCTAACCAAATCCTACGTCCTTTGAGTGCAGCTTTGTTGGCTAAAGCTGTATCACGTTGAGTTTGGTCATTGAACTTAACTATGATGGCTCGAGGTTGGGTTCCTATGGTTCCAATGCAAAAAGCTTGAGCCATATCCGCATTAGGAACATCAAGTGTTTCAGCCAAAAACTTGGTGACAACACTCTTCACCTCTTCCTTCTCAGATTCAGGTAGACTAGAAATTCTCACATTCTTTCTACGAGCAAATTGATTAGTCTTTTCAATCTCTTGCTCTTGACAGAAAGAGATATGAGCAAACTTGATGGCTTATGCATAAGATTTCATTTTCACCTCTAGACCTTCAACCACTTCATGCAATCTAGGAGTAGCAGCAGTGGAAGCTTGAGAACCAACTTTCTCCTGAATATCCTCTACGTGTTCTGAAATATCAATCATAATCTTCTTGAAACTCTTCTGGGAGAGCTTCAACACTTTAATTTCATATTGAGCTGCAATTAAAGTAGAGCTATGTATCTTGAATTCTGCATGTAGTACTTTCAACTCTTCCAAAACCGTTTGCAGAAGATTGAGTATCAAATTGTCTACAGACGCCATCATGTGAATGCCTCTCAAAAACTCGAGACTGAAATATGTTTCACCTTCCATCTCCAAACTGTGTTTGGTCTCCAACTTTGCAAGCTTGCGCTCCCTACCTAGCTCCAAGCTCCCACAAAGTTTCAAGTCCAAAGCAAACTCCAGCCCGAAGTTACAACCCCTCCAAGATTCAGCCCTTCCCTCTCATCTCCAAGACAAAAAGCTCACATCTCCAAGACACGTCAACTTCTTGCTTTAAATGGCGTTTGTGCTGAGATTTTGCAAGCTTGTGCGCCCTGCCCTACTTCAGCGTTTCACCAAATTTTAGCTCCAGATCACTCCCAACGTCAAAGATACAGCTCCCGTAAGAATCTCTTGCCCTCAAATCTTGAAACTCAAAGCTCAAAACTCAAAATTGGACGCACTCTGACTTTGAAACTTCGTTTGATCTAAACATTAACAAGCTTGAGCGCTCTACCCAACGTCACAATGTCACAAAATTTCAGCCCCCGTTCACACTCAAGCCCAAAGTTACGGCCCCTGCAAGATTCGGCCCTTCCCTCTCAAAAAGCTCACACCTCCAAGACACGTCAACTTCTTGCTCCAAATGGCGTTCGGCCTGAGATTTTTCGAGCTTGTGCGCCCTGCCCTACTCCAGCGTTCCATCAAATTCAGCTCCAGATCACTCTCAATGTCGAAGATACAGTTCCTGTAAGAATCTCTTGCCCTCAAATCTTGAAACTCAAAGCTCAAAACTCAAAATTAGACGCACTCTGACTCTGAAACTTCATTCAATCTGAAAATTGACAGATTTCAGCGTTCTACTCAACGTCACAATGCCACAAACTTTCAGCCCCCGTTCACACTCAAGGTCAAAGTTACGGCCCTTGCAAGATTCGGCCCTCCCCTCTCAAAAAGCTCACACCTCCAAGACATTTCAACTTCTTGCTTTGAATGGCGTTCGGCCTGAGATTTTGCAGGCTCGTGCGCCCTGCTTTACTCCAGTGTTCCATCAAATTTCAGCTCTAGATCACTCCCAAAGTCGAAGATACAGCTCCCGTAAGAATCTCTTGCCCTCAAATCTTGAAACTCAAAGCTCAAAACTCAAAATTAGACGCACTCTGACTCTGAAACTCCATTCAATCTGAAAATTGACAAGGCTTGAGCGCTCTATCCAACGTCACAATGCCACAAAATTTCAGCCTCCGTTCACACTCAAGCCCAAAGTTACGGCCCCTGCAAGATTCGGCCCTCCCCTCTCAAAAAGCTCACACCTCCAAGACATTTCAACTTCTCGCTTTGAATGACGTTCGGCCTGAGATTTTGCAGGCTCGTGCGGCCTGCCCTACTCCAGCGTTCCTATCAAATTTCAGCTCCAGATCACTCCCAACGTCGAAGATACAACTCCCGTAAGCTTATGTATCTTATAGTACGCACTAGACCTGATATAACATACGCAGTTGGAAAAGTGAGAAGGTACATGTCAAATCCTAGACGAGAGCATTGGGAAGCTGTAAAGTGAATTATGAAGTATATCAAGGGTTCTCTTGATACATGATTATTGTTTGATGCTGGTTCAAAAAATGCAAGTTCGCTCTTGGGGTATGTTGATGCTGATTATGGAGTAGATTTAGATAGGCGGAGATCAACAACTGGGTATGTTTTCACTCTTGCTGATGGATGCATAAGTTGGAGATCTACGCTTTAAAAATGCATTTCTCAGTCATCCACAAAAGCTGAATACGTTGCAGAAGTAGAAGCAGCGAAGGAGTCAATTTGGTTGAACAAGTTGGCCACTGAAATGGGGCTGCCACACAATGATGTGAATCTTTATTGTGACAGCCAGAGCGCACTTCATCTAGCATCGAACAATGTGATGGATGATAGGGTAAAGCACATTGATATTCAATATCATTATATCAAACAAGCAGTGTCTGATAGTGCACTTAAGCTCATCAAGATTGATGGTAAGCTCAACCTTGCCGACGCATTGACCAAAGTAATTCCTTTAGAGATTTTTTCCAAGCATTGTGCAAAGTTGCAAATTTTGCATAGGGATAGTAAGTCTAGTAACTTTTGTACATGTATTCTCCATCCGGTTTTTTGCCGGCTACGGCTTACTTCTATTTAACTTTCGACTATAGAGGGAATACGTGATTTAGCTTTACCTTCTAGAACTTCCCGCAGAGATACATGTGGATTACATTAGTTACCTCTCCAAGACTTGAGTCAAGGGGGAGTTTGTTAGGTTAACTCTATCTTGGATTAACTCCAATTATTGGTAACAATGGTTAGGAAGTTGATTGTGGTTAGGTTAGGTTAGGTATTATGTGCACCTTATCTCTTCTATTATAGAAGAGAGAAGGTGACTCTCTTTGCGTACAGTTGAGGATAGCATCGAGAGAGTGAACAGGTTGGAGTAGCGCTTGGCTATGGAGGCCGTGTAATTATCCGTGCTTTAGTGAAATTTTGCTCTTGCTCGTGGACCACGTTATCTCGGTGTTGTGACTATCGTGCGTGATGATCGATCTGAATGAGGGGGTCTTTCAAATTAATATGGATAACTAAAGGATGGAATAAGTGAATACTTCCCTATGTAACCTATACAGATTACTTAACAATTTTTACCTTTATATTTGAACTGGATAGTAGATCCAAATTTATATTCTATATAGCCTAGATTCTATCTAATGATTAATTTCAACCCATCACATGGATCAAACAACCTTTTTTGTGTAAGAGAAACAAAAAAATTTATAGTTCATAAAGAAAAATTGGAAAAAAGTAATTACCAACAATTCAAGGTGGGCTCATATGTCTTGTATTAAGAACAACGTCCGTCAAATATTACTTCTTCAACAACTTTTGATGCCCCTTTGATGTGAAGGATATGTTTTGAGATAGTTTGGAGTGATAGTAATCATCCATAGAATGATACTTGTGATGAGAGGGTTCTTTTGTCTAGTTTGGTAGTGATGGCTTGTTTCGGTAATCTATCACATGTTTTGTATCCGTCTTACTTTCTCATATCCTCTCACAACTTGACAGCCCGATAATACAACCGGTGTGAATTAACTGCATGTTGATAACTGATGCAGTCATCAGCAAACTGAAAGTCCTTCCACGTTTGGGCTGTAAATTATACCAAGAGATATTCCGGCAACTTAAGCTCGCAAAGGATAATCTCGGATCAATATGGGATAACAAATTCTGTGACTTATGTGGGTGTGTTTCCGCTCTCATTCTGTCGCAATCTTTAATACATGTGTTTTTCATATATACGTGTTTCTCTTTCTCACATACAAAGAGATAAAAAGGGGGAGGAGAGATAAAACTCAAGGATGTTGAGACCCCAAAAAGTTGGAATGAAGCAATAAGCAGAGCCTAGCCTCTATTTTCTTTATCACAATGTGATGAAAAAAAAAAAGGTTTGTGAATCCCATCAAGTTGGAATGAAACGAAACACAGGAGCCTATCCTCTACTACCTGATCCATAGTGGGAATCATGTACTAAGCGTGTAACTTCTTCGAATTATACAGTTCACACGGTACGCAAGGAATGTGCTTCGATCGGACAATTTGCCAAAGTGGATTCGAAGTAGCAGAGAGAAGATCTGACTTAGTTAAAATTGTAGACAATGGATCGTTAGGCAGGGACAAAGTAAATAACTTGTTTTTCAGCCAGTTGTGATGGCAAGTTTGGGAAAGATATTATCTTGATGGTCTGATGATGACTAAGAATTGATTGATAGAGCATTTGGACTGTTTCTTTCAACACGGAAAACCTCTTCCTTGTGTTATATTAGTCTCAGCTCTCTCATTAACTTCACATCCCTTTCTAACCTACTCCGTATGGAGGCGTTTGGATCAAAAATTCAAATATTCACAACAAATCTGAACAAACATTACCTTACATTATCACACAAACATTATCTTACATTACAGTTCGTCCACTTTCAAGATAATAACACCATGAGATGATTAGATTTCTTCATGGCTTCCGACAGGTAATAATTCTTACAATATGCAAGTGAAAAAATAAGTAGGAAATTTTCAGACATCCTTGACAACTACTCTACTGGAAATGCCCTCAAACAAATTCCACCTTGAAACCACATTCGAGAATGAACTTCTTGGCTGATTCAAGCGTGTTCTATTCGTGGTAGCAAAACGAAGAAGAACAACTAGTCAAAAGACTGCAATTTCCATTCCGTCTCAACTATGGGTCAGGACATTAAAAAAGCGATGAGAACAATTCTAGCCAGCAGTTCTCTGTAGACATAAATTTGAGATCCATGAAGAAAGGTTAAATCAACAAACAGACGAAAGGGTAGCCGCAGCACCAATACGCCAGCAGAAGTAAGAAACATTACAATAAGATGAGTCCATAGAGCATATCAATATTTCTACATCATCTTCAAAGTTCTCAGATTAAACAAAATCCATTGCAATTAATTACTGTGGAAATCTGAACTGGTTACCCTCCCCACATGTAGGAAGGCAAATCGTTGTCTCCATTTACATTTAACATATGCAAGTTGCCAATTTCATTGGTACGATCCAAAGTGGATGCGTCCCACGACATTTAGTGCCATCCTTTCCACGACTTTGCCAGAGGAGATGCGGTATCAGAGTAAAGCCCTTGTACGCGGGTTCGATTGTCTCGCATTCTGCCTTACTTGGTAGAATGGCATCAGCCCTCCCATCACTGCCTGAGGATAACCAAGATAGCCGAGGATATCCAAGGTTCACTGCACTGAACAGACCATCCTATCTCACACACAATTTATTAATTAGTTTCGTGGCATGTTCTAATACCTTAAACTTTCGTAAATAGCCCGCAATTCAAACCTAGACCTCACTCTGGAATAACCAGAACCTCCCACATCATAGTCCCAGTCTAGGATCAGGCGTTATGTCCAGGATGGCACAACATTTGAAACTTGGGACGTATTCAAGACGTGTGGGCTCAACTCACATCTATGCCAAGCCGTGGGTGTCACTCTACAATGGCAAGTCCGAGGGAACATGAAAGATCTGGAGGACATCATACTGCTGCACACAAGTCAGGCAACATGGCGTTGGATCAGAAAACTGAAGGACTCATCACAATAAGGTTCAGTGACAACAACTGTGTACCCTTCCTTGCATGAACTTCAATGAAATTTCGTTCTTCATATGCTATGTTAACTCGATCTAAGACGAGTACTGTCAAATTGTTATATATATTCGTCTCGAAAACAGGAAGAAATCGGTGTAACTGGGTAGTACTCAAGAGGTCAGAAGAATAAGCAATTAAACAAGAGAAAAGTCTTGCAGTAACAAGATATTTAAGAGTATACCGAACATTCAGGTTAAGAAAGGAAAAAACTGACTGAACCCTGATTTGGACAATCTAAAGGCAACAAAAGAGAAAAGGGTCGAGATAAGAGAGGAACATTGAAAGCGGAGTGTACAGTTCAAGCGTAGTGCTATTCATTTGAGCAACTACTACTTGCGGCATGTCTGCCAGCATCTACAGCATTGTCATTCTTATCACCCTTTCATGGCGATAAATCTAGATGTAGAGACCACTGATTACGGAACATGAACAACAGAACAACTGGGAGAGTAACAGAGACCATCTACGACAGCGGACATAAACCTTAACCGTCTACTCAACATGGGACAAGAGGACCGGAAATTATGAGAAGATCCTCAATCGGTGCCTGAGATTATTCGCTGAGATACATTGTTGAAACTGAAGTTTACAAACCCCTAACAAGTCCTATCCAATATCTTCAATTCTGTAGATGCCCTCTATGCAACCCCGCATGCATATCTCTGATGCTTCACGCGAATACTGTACTACACCACAATACAAATATTTCCTACTGTAAGTATATGTCATTATTTCATGTCACTCAAGAAATGCTTAACCTAGCACTTCGGCAACAATAATTAAGGTACTATTATGATACTGGGAAACATCTCCCCATGTTAAACCACACCCTCTATATCCCAAGGATGAAGAGCAGACGTAAGGTTTCGACCAGAAGTGACTCTCTCCCCCGCCTGCGGAACGTCACTATGGATGATAAAATTAGATAGAATGGTAAAGCACTTGTTCAACCATGTCTCTCCAACAACATCAGATCTTAACTTCCATCACTGATTACTGAACTTTCGGAAACTAGTACTCCAAGCTTATTGCCAAAACCCCAACTCGTTCCAGTTCCAGCACCATACAACTGTTTCCAATTCCACAAATTTCCGTCTAAATGACTCAGTCTTTCAAGAGGTGACATGAAAAACAGTGAGAATCCTAGGTTTCTTTCTTTCGGTCCTCTAGTTCCTTGGCTGGAAGAGGAGGTGGGAAGAGAGAGAATCTGAACTCAAACCTCGACCACAATTCCAAACCAGATACAACATATACATGTGTACGACGGAGTTTAATTGTGTCCAAAAAAAAACAAACACTCATCATGCTTCATTCGTAAGCAATGGCACAAGTATGTTACGGGGAGGACCCCGAAGTCTCATCTTAGGCTGATTCTTGCTTGGAACATGGATTTCTGAAGTAAGAGATTCAAGAAGACAACATCGTTTTCCTGTCTCCATACATAGTACTCCATCCTCCTCTGGCAACTTCTCAGAGCTAGACGTGGATTGAGTAAATTAAGAAAAAGCCATGATTGAAATCTGGTGAAACACAGGACCCATTTTAACAAAAAGTTTTACCCCGGCAGACAAGAAATGTGTAGGCCAAAGTCAAAAGCATCGGGACTACAGAACAAGGGGAGAAAGTGAGCGCATTCATTAGAAATATACATCCACAAGTGCTCTTGAAAGGTGTCGTCGAGGCATGATGCCGCGTGAGATTTGACACAGATGAACTAGTACAATGTCAAACAAACTCTATGGAATACAATATCATTGGCATAGAACAAAGATTAAGCCTAGATGCATCTTTGAAGTCCACAAGCATCGTTTGCAAAACCATATCCCCTGTCCCCGTCTACAAACAAACAGATGCTTGCAGCCCATCTTGATCTAACATGTAGTCGCTTTTACTTTTAAGGGCTCGTGCAGACGATTTGACACTGTGGAAGTAAGCTTTGCCCATTAAGCGTAGTGGAAAGAAACGAGTTGCTCAGCGGAGTGAGAAGACCTTCCAGTACTTACCCAGTCAAAAAGATACAAGGCGTCAATTGTCCACAATTCACTGTACTCAGCTGGAGGAAAAAGATTTCCTTCTCAGCGTCATTGATCCTGATGATCCTTCAAACAGATCATTCAAGTATTTCTCCAAGTCTTCGGCTCCAAACTTGATGTACTTCTCAGGATGCTTGCCAGTTTCCAAGTACGTCCTGTATCGGCCTAAGAAGGAACGATACGCAGAAAGAAGCTTGTCCGCAATGGATATCCGAAGCTCATCGCGAAGCTGTGGATCAGGGATGATCCAACTCGACTGCACTTTGTGTACATCTTCGAATGCCGCATTGAAGCTTTTGAACCTATCCTTGAGGACTACTCGGGAAACCCCACTTGCAGCACTTCCAGTGGCGTGAATACCTTCATCTCTCAAACACGACAGAACCTTGCCCCAAGCTGCTCTTTGGTAGCTGGTAGCATGCTGTCGTACCATACTATTGTGCTTTCTAACCCAATCGTCACCCAATAAACCACGTACTTCAGAGTTCTTCACCTTTTGGACGATGTAGTGCACATTATTCATAAGGAAAAGGTAGGTCAAAGAGAGGTCTTTGTACAGCTTCGACTTACCATCTAAATTGCTCTCTAGAACGTGCGTTATCCAGATAGTTTGCACTGCTAGTGGTGATTTCTCGTTGTTCTTAGCTTTATCATCATCCCCCAAAAAGTCGGCAACGCCATTGGTTTCCTCCCCAAGCAACTTCGGAACTTCCTTCTTCTTGTCGCCAAAAAGTTGTTTCAGGGTCTCGGTGTAATCAAAGAGAAACCTGATATAATTCATAACATATCGAGTGAGCGGATGTACGGCGCCTCCTGGAACCGGAGTCCTGGAAGTATCACGATGGATGGCGTTTTCAAACTCGGCAAAAGTTCCCCGGGCGGCTTCTCCCAGCCTCATCAGAATTCCGGCGGCCTCCGACCTCACCTTCGTGCAACCCTCGCCAGTGAAAATGGCCTCGATCTCGGGGATAAGATCCCGCAACGTCTCGTACATGTCGAGTATCTTGAACAATTTCTCCGGAGTCCGACGACTTATAGCTATAGCCTCACTGAAACTCAGCAGTTGCATTATTGAACTCTGCGCTACGTCAGAGAAACAAGTCTCGCGAGTAGCTACAGACTCGGCGAAAACCTGATCACATAAGCGCCCCTCGCTAGCAAAAAGCACCTTCACAGACACCTTCATGGCCTGAATCCATTTCTTTATCCTGCCCTCCAAAGTGTCCCAAGGCATTTTCTGGACTTCATCAATAGTCAGCTTCTCAACTCCCAATCTTCCCAAACTCTCCTCAAGAACAGGCTTCCTGACAGTTGTGTATACCTGACAGCAGTCTCTCGCGTACCCGGCCTGGATCATTCTCCGAGCGATGTCGCTCAAATCAGACACTATCTCTGGAGGGAGTAGATCTAACTGCAGATCGGCTACGGGTCGGGCGACGGGCACATCCTCCTCTCCTTCTTCCTCACCAGAGCTGTGAACATCGGCTTCCGTGGCCTCCTCCACGTTGGAATTATTAGAACCTCCCCCTAACAAAGTCTCCATTAGCCATTCTGGATCTACGGACTCACTGTGATTCACAAGCATGTGGCGGAACTCCTCTTCCAGTCGTTGCATCGCGACCTGCTGGAGGCTCTGGGCATGATCCTGTCTGTCACTGTTGCTGTTGCTCTGCGACACATTTAAAGACTCGAGCACGCTCTGCAATTCATCAACGGCTTGCAAGTACGAGGCAACCTCGTCCCGAGAGCATTCCCAAATCAAACACGCCCTAGCGGCCTCAGAGGAGGCCATGTCCCACTGCATCACGACCTTCTCGACGGCCTCGAGGTCAACTTCATTGGTCTCAACGACGGGCTGCTTCTCCGAGGTGGCGGCCTCCTTCTCCTGGCTTGATTCGGCACAGGCACCGGATTCCTGCTTCTTGGGCAATACTTCATTCATACTTGAAAAGCGGTCGTCAAATTTGGACAAGATTTTCAGCATGTCATCAGTCATAGTCTCCGTGGTCCCCAAACTCCTCACGATGTGATGCGCAGTTGCTAATACCCTCTCTTCCCCATCAAATGCGGCCATGGATCTGTCAGCACCCTCTTTTTACTTCACCCCGACTGCCTGCCTCAGAACGGTATCACGTGGATCAATCCAGTATGGAACGCAAAACGCGTCCGCTCACTTTCACAGTCATCGCATACAGCAGCAGCAGCAGCTCTCCTCACTCGCCCTCACTAACTAGCACTCTGTCTCGCCTTCCTCTCGCACTCCAAAGTCAACCTCTCGAACCCGATGTACCTTTGGCCGATGTCCCTACCATCTGCCCCGATGTAGCTCAAAATGACAGATCTAGATCCATTCGCTTTTCCTCGCCCTGTGTACCTGTGCGTCAATCTGCGATTGGCTTGCGTCGGGGCGAGGGCTCGCTCTCGCACTCACCAGCTCTCACTAGCGCTATGTAAGCAAGTCTCGCTCGGCAGCCAAGCCTGGAGGGGGACGCTACGCTGGAACCAGCAAGAGGAGAGCAGAGGAAGATGCGAGGTAATGGAGCTCGAGAAATGTAAAGCAAATGAGGAGGAGGAGGGAGAAGAAGAAGAAGAAGAAGGAAGAAGACACCACCAAGCGCCCGGTGAAGAAAAGGCTCCTGCGAGGCAAAGCTTACAACGGGCAGCGCGCGAGGGAAGAGGAGGGAACGAGAGCGCAGCACAAGAAGAGGGAGGGAGGAGCAGTGGAACGCAAGACAGCCAGCGACCAGCGCAAGCGAGCGACGGGCGGAATAGAAGCTCGCCGGGCTGGCCTGGCCTGCGCGGGGCGGGGCGGGGCGGGGCCGGGCTGCCGAGCCACACCACGCCAAGCCCGACCGGGCGCAGCAGCGTTCAGGCACGGACTCAGAGACGATGCGCGCGGGACGGGGGAGCAGCACCCGCGGCCGTCTTCTTTCTTGTGCTCCGCTCTACTGCACCGGATTGCGCCGCGCTGCACTGGCCCCGTCGACCCGAGGCTGGGGATGACCGGAGGCGAGGCGGTCGAGGGCGCGGGGGTGGGGGTGGGGGGTGTCCGGAGCGCCCGTCCCGTCCCGTGCCGTGGCCCCGACCGACGAGGGGCGCGCGTAGTGCGATCGAGTAGTGCCGCAGCGTGGCTATGGCGATGGCGGGTCCTTCGCTGGCGCCCGTCATGCTCCGCTCCTGCGGATCCTGCCCGCGTTGCCCTGCCCCGCCCTGCACTGCCCTCGGGGCCCTGCCCTAGAGCCTGCCCCGCGCTGCCCTGGCCAAAGTCCTTCCGGCTCCACGTGTTGTCCCATATGCTCTGGTCTCCTTGGCTCGCACTCCTCCTCCTCCTCGCCCCTGCGCTTGCCCTATGACCTCCTCCGCTTCTCCTCCCTCCTCCTCCTCGCCCTCCTCTACACGCTCCCATTGTACAGTACAATCCCCCGGACTTCTCCAGATATCCTGGGCGAGAAAGGGCAGGCAGGCCTCATGGGTTGACTAACCTCCGTCGGGCCAGGACAAGCTCTTCCAGCCAGTTGACCATCAGACCTGCTTCTGCCACGACGCTGCCCGTGAACGCTTTTCGCGACGACGTCCGCATCCGGTCGCGAGCGTCCATGGGCCTGCTTTTCGATCTCGAATCTCTCGTCGCGATCGATCTGACAGGCCTGGTGGTACCGCCGGTCCCCGACCAAGACAATGCAACCGTGAGCTGAACCCGAACTTCGTCCTTCGATTTAGATGACTACCTTTCTCCGGCTTAATTTTTAATCATGTGAACAAAAACATCTTCCGCTTCTATATTAACATGACTTTTCACATTCTCGGAGGTGATACTCCGATTCCAAAGCTTTTCGGTTTACTTGTACTTTTCATGACTCACTGAGAAGTTTTTTGGTACACACTTTGGCCGTGTTGGATATGTTTGACAGCATTACTTCTGGTTTCAGATGAATATCATGGGTGGTCTTTGGACCATGAATATCCAAGTGTATGAGATTTAGCACAACAAATTTACTTCCCTCACACAAATCTCAAGAATACGCATAGAGACAATCACAACTTGGGATGATTGGAAATTGATTTATTTTTATAATATGGATATTGTAGGTGTTGTAAGATATATTTGGGTACACAATACTATTAGGCCTAGTCCCTAGTTTCTTCTTTGTTTTCTTACTCTTACAAGCTGACTGGGTATTTTTATACTTTTTGTGATCTATATGTCGCCCCTTCAAGAGGATAGCAAAACTTTAGAAGATGTTCAACTACCCACGAATCCTACAAATGTAGTGAGCTCTCTAGATAAACAATCTTTGTTCACACAATTTGGCAACAAATTATATTCTTTATCACTTCTTCCTGATTTGAGGATATCATCCGAGACGCTTATGATCCAGCTATAAAAGCTCACAGGTAAAATTAAATTAAATAGAAAGTAGTAAACATATTTACATGAACCAAAAAAAAATTCAAGTTTATGTTACATTTTTAGGCTAATTATTGAAAAAATATACTTCAAGAACATAAATTTTTTCCCTTAAATCTATCTTATAACAATTAATTTCATTCTGTCTAAATATACCAAGAAATGAGTGTTTAATAGCCTTAATATAATTATATAGAGATTCTTTGATGTATAATTTTAATTTTTCATAATTATGATATATTTTTGCATGTGGGTCTTAAGTATAATCTGATTTTATCCTACGTTGTGTCCTATCTTTATTATTTTCAATTCTAATCATCTGGAACTTTATGCTAAATATTTTTTACTTTTTTTGCTTTTGGATGAATCTTATTCAATTTGTTGCATCAAAGCTCTAAAATTTTTAATTTTTTTTGTAAACATGATTTGATAAATCTATCTATATAACTTCTTCATAATTTTTTATTTCTTTATTTTATATCTTGATGTTAAAAGCGTCCAAACAACTTCACACAAATTCTATCATGATCTAAGGATTCCTTATCTTTCTTTCCTCTCAAATTATGTAAACGGGATAATTTTTTTATTACCTGATGTTTTTGAAGACTATTACATTGAAGTCTTGAATTTTTAATCCACATATGCACATTTTCCTTCTTCCATCTTTATTTCTCATCCTTTTTTGATATTATAAAACTAAGAACTAAGAATGGAAAAAGAAAGTAATTCAAGAAACATTCCGTTATCAACTACGCCATTGAAGAAGTATTTTCTCACTTGTACTAGATTTTAAGCCAACATGTAATCATACTCTTCATTCTTCATATTTAGCATGATCCGTTCATGCTCTTACTTACCAACAGTGGTATCAGTAAAAATCTTTAGTCCTCTAACGAGCATCCTTTATATCGGTATTAGATAAAACGATTTATCATTTATTTATTTTATATTGCTTCATTTGAAGAAGGTATTAGTTTTTGTAACGCAGATACATTGTATAAATTGTTGTTTAAGTTCAGAGAATGTCGAACACATACTTAAAGTAACAGTAATTGTAGTTTTCATGCATTTTTTAGTTCTACTGCAATTTGTGATTTAAACAAAAGAAGATGTACTTGGTGTATTGAAAATTGTATGTGCAAAAGAATTTTACTTCGGTTTTACTTGCCAAAACCACCTATGAAGTACAGTACTCTTGAATGAGCGGCAACTGTAATGTCAACAACTAAGGTTTCCCTTTACATCTGCATGCAAAGAAATCTCAAAGAAGGGTCTTGTCAAAGAAGAAAATGTCGTATCTATCCAACTTTGTGGTCTTATTAGAGCTTAAAATATTGAAACACATACAGACTTAACCAGGCACACCTTGTGCAAAGAGGTGGATGTGCAACGAAGTCACTGTGAAAGATTGTGTGAGAGAATTCATACTACTGTACATGGTATATTCTCTCTACAGTTGATTTGTCAGTTTAATTAATGTCTTTCTATTGTTCTCTCCAATGAGCTCGAGTTGGTCTAATCTATATGAGACTAATTGGTTTTTCTAAAAAAATTCCATGATATAATTCCTCATCTAGTAATATTTGTTCATATGCTGATTACTTGGTATTATGTTTGATGGTGAAATAACTCGGATATGTTTTATGATGTGATTTATTGAGTTGTATGATGTGATGCTATGGAGTACTAGTTCCATATTACCCTGCTGAATCCTTGTCCTTACTATTCTCCCCATCCTCTTCGTTACTTGACTGTCTACTTCCGGTTCGTGGCGACGCTGAAAGTAATGCAGCAGTGAGTCCGTTCAATGTGTACCTTGACTCCTTGATCTCATAACTCTCCGTACGGACAGTAATGTTTCCTCGTCGAATCGGATGATTCAGTACTTACGGTGTGAACCTTTCCTCTAATTTTTGACTTCTTGTCCTCATTCTTGGCTCGGAAGCTACTGTATACCTTTCGTTGTTGTCGAATTCGAGCCAACATAAAAATAATTCCAAGACCCGGCAACTATTATCTGATTAGATTCTGCTTGGAACGTTCCAGCATTACCCAGTTACTTCTAAAAGCTAGCAGGACCAAAATATATTGTATAGTAAACGTCAGTCCGTCAATCTGAAAACGCTGTAGTGGGACCACCAGTTCTGTAAGTTTTGTCTGACCTAATACTTTTGTCTGTTTCGTCACTACGTAGACAACCTTTTGATCTTCATGGTTCGGACCTTAGGTCTTTCCGTCCTTCCCTGTTTTTGTATCCATCAATCTCTCGTGCCCTTCTTCTCGCTCATGAAATATACACTTCCGCGCAGACTTTTCATATCTGGATCTTTAATGCTTCCTCTCCTGATTTGTACTTCAAATTGTCGTTGTTCTCGTTAGAAAGGCAGGATGACCGATGTTATGCTGAATCGTTTTCAACTAGGCTGCTGAGTAACAATTTAACAGAAATATAATCATCCTAGAAAGCAATGGAGAGCCGGATAATGTATCAAAATAGGATGACCAAGTTGAACAAGGAAACGGGTATATGTAGTCAGTGCCAACTGCATCACAACGAAAAATATGTCCTACTGTAAGTCAAATTTCTAAATTATCTGAACAAAACATTATAGAAACAATTTCTGAAACAAAATAATAATAATAGTTTTTCTTCTCAAAATACTATGAATATTTTATGAAAGATTAAATTTTGAAAATGACAATAATAAATAAACCAATTTAAGATTTATTTACAGAATTTGTAAACAAAAAGTGTAGCAGTATAAAAAATTAAAATTGATCACAATTAGTGATTGAATTAGCTATTTATAAATTATAAATTTCTTCACACAATCAATAAATTCAAATTCATCTTAATTTTACTGTAATTTTTATTTCAAAAAATTATAATATACTTCAAACCCTTATTTAAAGATCAGGACACCTAAATATGAAATCGATTAAAAAAATTATCATGAAAATTGAATCACCTTACAGTCACTTTTAATTTTAGGGTTATTTTATCTAGAATTTTATCTATTAGAACTGAACTTGTATAAGAATCTATATCATTTGTTTATAATGTAACAAAAAACTAGATTAATTTTCTAATATTATTTTGCATACTTATTTTTTTACTTATGATTCAAGTGTTGCAGAATGATATAGAATTCATATTTTGAACTATTACATTGTGGCATAGTAATTTAGATAGGATGGTTGTTGTATATTAAATAATCAACGTAAGCTATTCAGTAAATTTAGTAGAAGATTTTTTATTTTTAGAAAATATTATTATTTAACATACATGAAATCATCGTATGAATATATTTACATATTAATATTTTTTGTAAATTTATGTCGTAATTTAGAGCTATAATATTTGTAGAAATATTGAAATGATTATACAAGATATTGAGAAGATCCAAATTTTGTAAGTGAGGTGATGAAGAGTTAAATATGATATAAATTTTCACAAGACTTAGTTTTATTTAAAATGATAATATAAATAAACATACATACAAATATCCTGAAGGTAATTTGTACCCCTTGATCAATGTACACATCATTAGGTAAGGTAATTAACTTATTTTGCTCTTTTTTGAATTTTTTATTTGAGGTGTGGGTGCAGATTTAGTTGATTGAGTTTTCAATATTCTTTACGCACTAATTTAGAGCAGAAAATACACAAGACGGTTTGTATGCCAAAACCATAATCGACCTTGAAATATCACAGTTAATCCAAATAATACATTTGTGAACAAGGTTTGGAAAACATAAAAAGGTAGTTATCGAATTTTGGAGAAAATTCTGGAGGAAGTTTTCTAAAAGTACAGTGATAAGTCATGTCTCCATCGTATTCTGGGTTCATTTTATCACCGATAAATCCTCATAGAACTAAATACTGGATCGCGTGGGAAAAAATCGAGAGAGAGCATATTTTGAAAGTGCTGGTCGATGAAAACTTGCCTCTGAAGGCATTTACAAAGGGGGATAAAAAAATATACACCCACCTTCTCGTGGAGGTTCATAGGAAGCAATGTCAAAAGTGTACCAGAAGCCGATCGATCGAAGTGCCAACTGGAACAGATTACTAGAGAGGGAAGGCAGATTGTAAACGCTCAGCTGCGCATGGGCGACAAGAGAGGAAAGGAGAAGGAAAACTCGCATGTCAATCTGCGGTAACTCATGTCAAAGGTGAGCGAAAAGTGAAGGTTGACGGAGGGACATTGACTACGCAGTAATGACCATGAAACGCTTCGGGCATAAAACCAGGTAGGCTGCGAGGAATATTTGACCGCTATGTATGGAGCCCTAGAAGTCGTATGTTGCACCTTGTCCTTTTCACATGCACAAGTCATAAGGTAGGTGTGAGATGGAGTTGATCTTCGTCCAGTCAAGCGACGACGTAAGGGAACTATGTGTGCCGCTTTTTCAAGGACAAAGTGGATCATGAAAAGTTTGGCTATGGTCAAGGTCGCGGTCTGCCGGTAGACCATCCAAACAACAGACATGTCACTCGCACGTCGTCTCGGCCTGAGCAGGCTGGCCAACCCATCGGATTCACAAAAGGACGAATTTACAGTCCGCGATGGACACGTGGCTCCCGAGGACGGAGTGCAAGGCGCGTCCAGATGCAGAACGCAACGCAACGAGGGCAGAAGGGCAGAAAGGGAGGCCGAGCAGTTTCGGGGCGAGCCTAGTGAGAGCAACTGAAAGCAAATCAAATGATGCTGACGAGGCCATTGGCTTGCGCTGGCTTGCGTCCTCGTGCCCGCAGCGCCAGACGTTGGACCTCGCTCGAGCAGCTATGGTGCTCGGCTCCCGAGTTCCAGATCTGTAAATCTTTCTCCTCCTGCGCTACTCCCACTCCCAGGCCGCCCGTCGTCAACGCTATGGCTCCTGCCTACAAGGGACCCTCTGTCGCTGTCGTCGGGGCCGGAGGTAGGAATGAAGTCCGTCATTATCTGTCACGCTGCCTGGATGGCGTTGTTGCTCACACCACACCCGTCTGAACATAATGTGTATTTTCGATCGAATCGGGAGAGATTTTGCTCCCTGGACTGTAATTTTGTCGGCCATTGGGTCTGCGACGATTCAATTATACAGTTCCATGTCTAGCTGAAATGTTGGGAAGGCTCGAAGTGCTTAGATATCTGAAGGTGCTGTACCCTGAAAGGTATGGTTCTAGTGGGCGCGCGAGACAGAATTCTAACATTAATTTTCGTCTCATTCATTCCGAACGAAACTTCACCTCCGCTGAGACGCAGACACCCGTCACAAACTCCATAAGTCATGCTGGCCGTGCATCGATTTGCCGGTCGGCCAGATGGAATTCCTCGCGCTGTAACATTCTTAGACACAGCTCCGATTATGGATTTGAGCTCGATACAGGTGCCATCGCCAAACCAGAGCATGTGCTCAAGCTGGTTTCCGAAAGTTACCCAAATTCTCAGTCTCATGAAGCCTCTAATATTCAGTTGGCATACGTTCCATATCGCTCCCCTCCAGTGTCACTGCCTACAATCTTCCCACAATCTTTCGTATTTGTAACTAACTCCTCTGCTCACATTGCACGTTTCGAAGTGTCAGTAATTCTTCTATACTCTATTTCAACTTTGAAGAATTCAATCCGCGCGTATCAGGCTTCTTCTGGAATGTTTCGCCCCTTCACAAAAGTTAGCCGAACCCAACTTCGAAGTAAGATGGTTTGAGCACTGCCAAGACCCCTTCAAGTTCTCTGGATCTGTGAGTAGACCAATGCCAATTGAAGTGCCTTCTTCCACGCGGTTTTAGATTTACAAATCGAATCCAAGCTTGAACGTTTTTCTTGTTATTCCAGGGAGTTTGCTGCGAAGTCGCCCTCTGCAGACACAAATTATTATTCCTAGTTGCATGAAGTATATTCGCAGTTAGGAGTAGATGTGTGTAGAGTTGAAGTGATTCTATATCCAAAATCTTGCCATGCTTCTCACGGTTCGCTTTTGACCACAAACCTCTAAGAAGCTGATTTCAAGAGCCACTCCGTAGAGAAAGATACCAAGGGAGGGAAGAACGTGTAGGTCTCCAGGTCGATCGAGGCATTGTTAGGATCCAGCTCTTTGGCTGTCAATCGAGGAGTTATTTGTCCTTACTAAACTTCTGTGACTGGGTGATTGAATGTACTTCGCACATGGATCATATAAAATTTGTTGATAGACGCCGAGTGACGCCTGTACATTTGGAATGGATGATGTTGTGTTTAACGGCAATTTGTAGCAGTCTCTTACAGTTGGGTTCTAGACTTTGAGGACAGGTAATGCCAAATATGTTGTCTTGGCTGATTGACTGTTTTCTGTCCCCATGATGCTCATTGAGAAGTTCTATCTCAGTAGACGGAGTTGAACGATGTACATCCAACAAGTCCACTTCGGGGTGTTTGTACATTATTGCAATGAGTCAGTCAAGCAGTATGTCCTCGAATATTTCAGTCTTTTCGAGGGACATCCTACTATCATTCTTCACCTGTTGCTCGATGTTCATAGCCATCACGCTGGAAACTGGCTGAACTCTTTGCTTTGCATTCTACACGTGGGGGTCTTACAGTAGCGGGATGTGTCTGTGCTTCCACACTTGCGGAAAGAGGGATTCCCGTGACCCTTTTTGAAATGGGTCGTGGTCCGGGTGGCCGAATGTCACAACGGAGGTAAGCTCTTCTTCCCAAGCTGTCACATTGAGCTCAGTGATCAGGATTTTGCACTGTGTTCAGCTGACTTATGAATATTCCCTATGCCCTGCATTGTTCATAGAAGCCAGTCCTAGAGAGTCAATGTAGAGGGAGTCCAAGAGAGCCGTACAAAATGCCAAATCTCTAATTTTTTAAACGATTGAGCTCCATTCGCATACTCAATGTCGATGTTAAATGGTGAGCAATACCTTCAGCGGAACTTACTGAAAGGAATCAATGTGAACAGAAAACAGGAAAGACTCATGTGCGTTTGCGACCTTACAGGGAGACTACCAGCGACGGAAAGGAATTGTTCTTTGATCACGGAGCCCAATATTTTACGGTCAAGTTTCCGGCTGTCCAGAAACTAGTGGACCGATGGCTAGCTTCGGGACTTGTCAAGGAATGGAGTGGAAAGTTTGGTTCTTTTGATCGTGTTAAAATGTCTTTCCAGGATGAAACTGTGAGCACCTTCCGGTAAAGCTCTGTATTAATTTCCTAGTACTCTTGGGCCAAGTGTTCATCATCCTTGTTTCCCATGCAATCATAGGATGAAGTGCGATCATTCTTCTTTCCGTTTACTTCATTCATCTCCACTGGCAAATTTTTTTCGTATTTACAGTGTTAGTAATCGTTCTCTATCGCACCTTTTTAGTTGAATCAATGGCAATGCCGTCAAACTTAGTGCCGCTTAATTCTTATTGTGATGTGCATTTCTGATCATTAGTAAGTACTATCGGTGTGATTACTTGGATTTGAGGGTTGAATTTTACTGGACAACTGCTTCACAAGTGACAGTGCGTTGCATGCTTATCCTACATCATGGAATTGATGTGCCAACTCATACTTGACCTCTTTCTGTAGTTTGAAGATGATTCTCCAAAATACGTCGGCGTTCCTGGCATGAATAGTATTTGCAAGGCAATGTCGAAGCAACCTGGTATGGGCATATCTTCCTTTATCCGAAATGAAATCTATGCTATTCCTCATTTTAGCCAAAGTTAATACACTCATATCATCTTTAGTCGACAAAGAATGAAAATGTTCATAGCGTCTTCAAGCAATTACTGGAAGGCAAGGCTGAGGTGTTCTTTTTAATGTGACCCAATCTCGTAAATAACTCATGGTTTCTGTGCTTGAGCTGTGTCAGGTGTTACGACTGCATACGGTACAACGGTAGGCTCCTTAACCTGGAAGGAAGGGAATGCTTTGGGTGTCTGGCATCTGGGATCAAAGAATGGAGATAATCTAGGATCATATGCAGCTGTTGTTGCTGCTGATAAGAGCCTTGCTTCTGAGCGCTTCACCGCATTGACTGGACTACCTCCTCCTCTAGGTTGGACTCTTGTGTGCGACAATCTGCAAAGCTTTTTTGATCTTGCCTTGGCGTTTATTTGGCCACTAATTTCTTGTCAGGAAGGTTGCTTGGTTATACCAGATGACCTCAAAACCCGTGTACAGTTTTACCAGCTGATGTGCAATGTGATCGAGTTGACGTGAATTGCAGTATCTTCATAAGATAAGGATGAATGTGAATTACGAAGTTCTTAGAAAGAAGGAACTTGTGCTGTTTCTAGTCTCGTAGATCTTGTTATGACCCCTACAGTTGCATGATGGCAGAGAAAGCTGGTGTACCAGATATATATGCGAAAATGACAAAATTAAAATCCGTATCGGTTTTGACGGTTATGGTGGCATTCGCTGAGGGCCTCGCATCGGTACACCCACTCCCGGCTTCTCCCTGCATGCCTTGGATGTTGTCCACTGAGCTTACTGATGTGATCGCACAATTCATTTCTGTGATGCTGTTCCTACTTGTTGTCACCAATCACGAGACTGGATCTCGTGTCATACCTTGCGATCTATGTTCCTTGTGGCGAGGATTGGATTTTGAACGGATGACGTGAGTCCAAGACTTTACCGCGATGTATCTTGACTGTCCTTCCTTCATCTAGGGCTATCCTGTTTGCTAAACTAGAGACTGTAATCACGATGCTCTGCGTGGCGTTCTAGGAAAAAGGGAATCCGAGAGAAATAACAAATACAGTAAGATGGATTGGGTTAAAACTTTTCCTGTTTGAATGATGGCGTACTCTTTACACATGGTTTCTTCGTGCTATCAGTCCGTACCTGATCTCAATAGAAACATGTGTTTCTGTGCAGGTTCCTTTTGATAGATTTACCATTGAAAGATCAAATCTCCTGGCAGGTGCGGTGCGAGTCAGCAGTAAGCCAGGTCGGGAGGTCGTAGAGAACAGGTCTGATTGCCAGATCTACGGATGGTTGACTTAATCTGATGATTCAGAATGTAGGCATATGAGAGTGACTCACACCTTCCGCTATCGGGCTTAAAAAATGAAAGAGAAGCTTAAGCCAAAAAACTATCGAAGTCGTGGAGGCATTCACCTCTTGATAAGGATTTACTTTCATGCTTTGTATAGAAGTATGTCTTCGTAATGTAGAGGGCACATTACAGTTTTCCCACCAGAATGTTGTGTTTACCAGGATTGCTGTATTTAACAAAGGAATGCTAGCCACTGATCTGCATCGCATCCAGTACCAGTACTTTCCTTATTGTTCATTCCGCATATTTGAAGAAAACTGCTAAACTTGATAAGTTGTTTTTGAAAATTATGCAGTGAATATTGGGTACTACATTCCACTATAGAGTATGCGAAACAGATAATTGAGGAGGAGGGATATTCGAAGCCTTCTAGTGAGTCATTGAACAAAATCGCAGATACTCTTTTTCAGGAGTTTAAGGAAATCGTTCCTGAGGCTCCAACGCCATTCTTTATGAAAGCACATCGTTGGTAAATGTCCCTTCTTACTTTATGCATTTTGTTGTTCCACTGCCAAATTAAACTACGTTACAACTTAAATTCAAGAGAATTTTTATTTTTTATATTACTCGAAGACATTTTCTCTAATTTGGTTTTGGAAGAAACAGCGATGTGGAGGAAGATCTTGAATGTTCCGATTGATGTCGAACATGGCCGTGCTTCGTATGGAGACCAAATATTAATACTTCGTATTCAGGCCTGATGCATATCTTTTTTGGAAATAGAAGTTTGCAGCTGTTGGTCTGTGATCTCCACTGACTTGATTTTGTCGTTCAATCACCAGGGGTTCTGCGTTTCCTGCCCAAGTTGCTGCTCAAGAAGAGAAATGTCTGGTTGATCCAAGTCGGAGAATCGCAGCTTGTGGTGACTACTGCGTTGGTCCTCGTATCGAGTGTGCGATCCTTAGTGGCCTAGCTGCTGCCGACAACATCCAACGCCTCCTGGAGGTCTCTGGGTCCAAAATCTAACTTTCTTTTGTTGTACTATTGGTCTTTATAGAGGTTAACAGCGAGTTTCATCAACAAAATGAGTACAGTACATTCTTTTTCTCCTGGAAAAGGTTTCAGAGTCTCATGATGCCCCTATCGTAAAAATTATTTCCGTTATTGCGGTGGTGATACCTTGAGCTTCTTTTCACACTAGTGCACATGATTTCGGTTTCAAAGATGATTTTGATTGCTTGACTTACATCCTGGTTGAAGGTTTGCTTTACATGAAGGTTGATTTCAGCGTAATTCATTATACGAAATCAGGGTGTTTTTCAAATTCTGAGTTCGTCTAAGGACTAGGACTTTAGTTGAAGAAAAACTTGACGTGAGATCTTGATTGGTGTGTTCTTTGAGAACAAAGCAGCGATAGATATCCAGTTCCAGATGGGACGCTCTATGGAATGCTATTACCATCGAAGCGAGCTACATAGGTAGCTGTAAAGCCCAAAACCTGAGCATTATGGCCGCAGCACATACACGAACCATCCAGGCTTGGGTGCGATCGGATTGACTCTCCTCGAAATTCCTACAGATCTGGCCAACCACAAGAGTAGAAGTCAGCGGTATCCCCGAGTTATCGGATGCGACATGACTCGCAGAATGGCAAGTGATACATGCGAAGCCATGGAATAGGGTGCAGCATGTAGTCAAGGCTGCAGAGTATTTTGGAACCAGGTCTATTCGGAAAGAAAATACGGCACTCCAAAACTAGAATTGGGAATGCATACAAAGGCTTTCAGAAAGAGAGAATCACATCTGACCTCTCCCCTTGTGCACGATGTACCTCGGACCCGAGGTCCTGACGAAATATCTTGAGGATTCCCTCAGTAGGCGCAAGGGTGAAGTTCAAGTACCAAATCGTGAGATCTCAGAGTAACAACACAAAAGTGCTATGTGCAGTAGGTGAAGTGCGGGTATGAGATCATTGTCCATAATATGAATGAATCCAACATTCACTACCAAGTGACAATCTGCTGCCCCAGATCTGTCGACTCGGTGGAACCAGAATTTAACTTCCCATTTCTAGACCTTTTTCGAGGTTCATAGCTACCTCTAAACAGAGGCAGCGTTTTATCACTGATACTGCAAGAATGGTTCCTTCATCATGGATAATAAAGACGAAAGTTTCAAATGGTACATAGTGTATTCATTATCATTAGGATCAGCTATTATCAAAGTGTGTATGACTAGTGACTCTATAATACTTTACAGTGTTGCACAATACACCATGTCGTCACAATCCATCATAGTCTAATGTATATGATATGTGAATATAAATCTTGATATTCTATGTGATCGGATTTTCTTGCAATGTATCACAATTATATTCATGATCTTTAAAATCTAAGAGCCACTGAGATTATAGTTAAAGGGGGAGGAAAAAATCCTCCTCCCAATACATACCACTTTCATACTCAAGACTTGTATTTGATAATATTTTTTATGAGTTATCGACATATTGTCTCGAAGAAATGACACATACAATAATTTCACAACATTGAATTTAAATTACTTTTTTTTTTTTCTCTAGCTGTCTATGGCTTATGTTTTCACACTACGTTATGATATATAAATAAAGTTCATGTTAGTTATTTTATTCTGAACTGCATCTTGATTGATCATCATTCACATTCTTTCTACACATTTTTTTGAAAAATTGAATAATATCTCATTTTTAGTTATTGTATTTAATTTTTGTTACTTTCAGAATTTCATATGTCGAAAAATCCCCAAATAAATTTGAAATTCGTATTTTCTAGCTTGTGTTTTTTATGACCAAATTTGTAGGTTTTTTCATCATTCAATTTTGTTAGATTAATTTTAATAATAGTATCAATATCTATTCAAAATTTTTCTTCTTCATGGTTAGAAAAAACTATCAAATATGAAAGATTGTGCATTCCTGAAAAATAATATGATATATTGTATGATAATTTTTTAATTGACGCATGTAGCTTTTGCATGAGTTGATATATCCATCATAACTTTTAAACTTTTAAGCATAAGTATTAAACCATAAACCCATAACACAATAAGTGTTTGTATATTGATTTAATTTAATAATCAACGTCCTATATTTCAGTTATTACTTTAATCATGGATTCAATACTAATATTGAATGTAATTAATTGCAAAAATGTTAAATTTAATTTCAATATTCATAAATAATGATATGAAAAAAAATTAAACATATGTTCAATAAACGCAATTTCTTGATCATTATAAATTTACATTTACAAGAATAAATTAATTTTATATCTAAAACATTAGCATTAAATCCATAACTCTGTTTATATTCCAATCTAAGATTTTGAAAAGAATGGTGTCAAATGATGAAACAATTGTTATTGATAAAATTATGATTAATGTTATACTTTTTTAAATCTAAAATCTCTAATCTCTAATTTAAGAAAACCCAAAATCAGAGTCAATCGAATATATTGGGGCTGAAATGATTATTCAGTATTTGATCATACAATATATCCAGGAAAAAAACTGTCAATGTTATTTTATCAATCACATTTTACCTTGATGTATCATATTGACTTATCATCAACACTCATGACACATTTATTTCAACAATTTAAAATTAAAGATGATGGCATTAAAAAAAATTGGAAAAATTATGCTTCATGATTCAATATCTACTTGTAAGAAGAAAAAGAAGTTCAAGAACATTCAAGTTTACAATTAGATAAAAATTCAATTTAAGCGTAAAAACTGAATGATGTTCAAACATTATCATGGTTAGTAGAAACAGATATTCCCAATTCATGGTACTTAATTCAATAAACGTAGTAGAGAAAATTGTACCAATCTCTTGAAAATTGTGTAGAGTTTTTATACAGTCATTCAAATCAGTATAATCTCCTTCTTTGTAATTCGTTATTAATGCAGCAATTCCAAAACTTGGAAACACTAAAGCAAAAAATATTGATAGTTAAAGTAACTTACATGTCACACGCAACATGTTATGTTTTGGTTCGCCCCATGTACTATTTGACGAGGTAATCGCAACCTGTTGATATTTTACTTTCTAAGTTCCCTGAGGTTGACAGAAAAGAATGAAAATTTTCACGATTCAAGCATGTGATCAACCATATCAGAGACTGAACGGTAAATGACTCTTGGCTTGCAGCTGAAATACATTGCTCTGTAAGTGCCACGTAGGTTAGGGTTGCCACATCAGCGAGCAGAAGGTATAGTGGGCAAATCAGACTTAGGGTTTGTCTCTCGCATCTACTCGACTGGAAATCGATCAGTGCTGTTCTGGGACGCACTCGCTCACCGAGATTCTGATTGTAATTCGCCGATTCGTCAATTCAACAACCGGTCGGTACGTAGTTGTCGATCTTTTAGCGATCGATCTGGTCCAGGTTTCGTGCGTGATGGAAGCCGAAATTCGCAACTGTCGAAAGTGTGCCTAATTAGCTATCTCGCAGAGGTTGAAGTCACGGGTGGTTCTGAGGAATGGCCGTTTCCCGTGTGAGCGCATTGCGCTCTATACTACGTTTCTCGCCTGCAGCGTCTTCGGCATCCTTCCAGGCGAGCCAATTCGGATCGGTGGTCGGAAATAATCTCCCAACTGGTGAGCGGCGGCCATGGGAAGGCAGAGGATATGGGTTATCCTTTTGGACCAGGAGGCACATGGCAACATTTATCAGGACGTGAGTCTTCAGGCCACTTCATGCCGAATTGCCCACAGACCATCTGATCCTTGAGAATTGAAGTTCTTAAGTCCTGTAGTTTGTGAGTCATTGAGCACCCTTTGTCTTGCTCAAGAAACGGAGCAAGTCGTTTGGAGATCCCACCACTGATTACTACACTCCTGGACGTCGGATTTCGAGCGAAAAATGAAGGCAAATGTCTTGAATCAAAATTGATTTGTAGAATTACTTTGAAGAGTGCTCTTTGTTTTACTTTGACAATTCTCTATCATTTGGGAGGATCCATGGAGGAATCAAGTATATCTCATTTGGGTTTAAGGTTTTACTGGATCGGTAAACCGACGGATGGTTGGTGACATTTTCCTTCTCGATTTACACAATTCCGGGAGGAATTCTCTCAGAGCAGAGTGTGGAATCGAGTAAGAAGAGCAGAAGAGCAGAAGTGAAGAAGAAAGAAGTAGCTTGGTTGATGACAAATGGCTTCTTAAAGAGCGGCAGAGAGATTTTAGACACCTCGCGTGGGTTTACGGTTGTCATCGATCCTGGGTCCGAAAGCTGGCAGGAGCTGAATGATCGTCTGGTAGTTATTAGGATATTTCCATTGGTTATGCAAGCTGAGTTTTAGAATCTCACGTTTTATTTTTATTTTATGCGTCGCCAGAAAACCACATTTGAATATAGGTACAATTGGGCATGTCGATCACGGAAAAACTACCCTCACCGCGGCTATTACGAAGGTCAGTGAATATTGTCCCGCATCGGAGTAATGCGATCGCTGTGATTAAAGTCAATGAGCACAGGAGGGTGTGGATTACCCAATTATTTGCACGTGGTTAACATAGAAGTGGACGAGATAATGCTGTGGCGATTCTATATCTTCATCTCTCTATGTTTGGCCAAGCAGGTACTTTCAGAGTCCGGAGGTGCGAAGGCAGTTGCTTTCGATGAAATTGATAAAGCACCTGAAGAAAAGGCGCGTGGTATTACCATTGCGACGGTAAGCAACTTGTCTTCTCGGTGTGACCAAATTTTGACGTGTTTGGTAGGGTGTCTCGGATTGGCGATGACACGAGGACAACACAAGATTTAACCTGCGCTGAGCCTTCATTTCTAGTCATTAAATTTCGACCTGATTGGACCCCATCTTACAGGCACACGTTGAGTATGAAACGGCAAACCGACATTATGCGCATGTGGACTGTCCTGGACACGCCGATTACGTCAAGGTACATCAGTGTTCCTTGCTATGTCTTGTGTGTTGTTTGCCTGCTGGTGATTTGTGTGTAGGGCTTGTGATAATTGCCTATCAGGGTTGATAGGCAGTTTGCAGTGAGTACAGTAATTGTGTTGTTAGCTTTCTGTAGCTTCGCGACCCAGTTTGCAGGCCCAATTTTGTATTGGGTCTGCAATTCGAATTCTTGCTTCAGAAGTTCATATAAGACCGACCACACTCACCATGCACTGCGAATATATCAGTACACCAAAATTTGTTTCACGTATGTTACCAATTCAAGGATCTGAACGGGGCCACAATTGCTTATTGGCTTTGACTTCGCACAGCTCTCTTTCCACTTCATCCGGTGCCCCTTTTTTCATGGCGATTGAAGTCCTCCTTTGGTTGGTGAATGTTCTATTCAAGTAATAATGGCCATGATATCGTAGTATGTGCATGCTTTGTGCCAGATAATGGAGAATGAACAGAGTATATCGAAAGCTTCAAAAGCTGTTAATCACTGAGTTTGCTCCAGTTATATTGACGCTGTTAGTGGCTTGGCTTTCGTGTTCAGAATATGATCACAGGTGCTGCACAAATGGATGGTGGTATTCTGGTTGTCTCTGCTCCGGATGGACCAATGCCCCAAACCAAGGAGCATATATTGCTCGCGCGCCAGGTCAGTGCACATTTGTGAACTGTATTCATCATATTCATACGTACCTTCTTTGAGAACTCGATCAGTACATTACGTTGTAATAATTGGCTTCTTTCTAATGTCTACATCGTTCCTCGCAGGTTGGTGTCCCATCTTTAGTGTGCTTCTTGAACAAATGCGACGTCGTGGACGATGAAGAGCTATTGGAGTTGGTCGAGTTGGAACTGAGAGGTGATATAATCTATAGAAAATAAAAGCTTGACTGTATCTTGACTTGGCTTGAAGATGTCGTTTGTACGAACCTGTTATCATGTCATTTGCTCAGATATACGAGAGTGTTACTCTAGAATCATCGGCTGCTTCACGGTTTACACTCGTGGTCTGGCTTTGACGTCTTCCATTTTCCAAATTGGATCGTGAATTTGCTGACAGAATACTAGAAGACCCATATGGTCTGAAATTGGGGCTGATTCAATCCGAAGATCATACGGTGTCCCTGATGGGTGTTTTAATCCATTAGGAACTCAACCGAATTGCGTTTATGATGTTACAGCGGCCTGACTGTCTTTTGGCATGTAATGCAGAATTGCTCACTTTCTACAAGTTTCCTGGAGATGACATTCCAATCGTTAGGGGATCTGCACTGTCGGCACTCAATGGTACAAATGAGGCGTTGGGTAAGAATGCCATCCTGGAGTTGATGGCTGCAGTTGATCGCTACATTCCCGAACCTGTTCGGGATCTTGACAAGCCTTTTTTGATGCCCATTGAGGATGTCTTCTCGATCCAGGTATGTATTACTTTATGTCTTTTATGATTTTCATTCTAGAATTCGTGTTTCCTTATTTGTAAGATGCATCAACGATGGGTTGTCCTACACTCTCGCGGCATCTAATCAGATTATTACCCTTTCTACAACATCTATCCAGGAGTTCATCTAACTTTTTCGGATATTTTTAGTGTGCTTAACTTATCACTTTTGTCGACCTGCCCTTGTCTTTGTTTTTTTCTACAGGGTCGTGGAACTGTGGTAACTGGAAGGGTAGAGCAGGGTATTGTTAAAGTTGGTGACGACGTAGAAATCGTGGGTCTGAAGCAGGTAGCATTATGAACTTCGTTCGTTTGCTTTCTGGAATCTGAAGAATCTGTCTACCACCTATGGTTTGTTCAAGTAGCTTACTTCTGAATAACTCTGTGCTTCAGAACGGCAGGGTTGAGCTTCAAACTTGTCGTTTATTTCTTCTACGTTGTGATGCAGGGACCGGCTTTTAAGACCACTGTCACTGGAGTAGAGATGTTCAAGAAACAACTGGATCAAGGCCAGGTGTGTGTCGTTTCATTATTTTCCAGTGACTGTGTTCTCGTCCGCAATAATAAACCAATTAGAAGTAACCGAATAGAGTTGTTTATTCTAGTCTTTCTTAAGTTGACTTGTCGTTGGTGTAATCTCTACTCGGGTGATGCTTCTTCTACGACGTGATTGAGGTTTTAGTGTGGAGCTTCGAGCGCCTTCAAACTAGCATTCTTCATCTGCTCTTAATTCGGTCCTGGGTGTCCGAGCGTCCGACCGTTTTCTAGTTCGGGCCTTTATGTAACGTGAAGCTTCGTATGACATCCGATTACAGGCTGGAGATAATGTCGGTCTGCTCATGCGAGGTGTCAAGCGCGAAGATGTGCAAAGAGGGCAGGTACAAGTTTTGTTGAGAAAGTAAATGCTCAATGTTCCGTCTGCATGAGACCTGTCCAAGTAGCATATGAAATCTGTCCAGCATACCTGTCGTTTCGGCAGCGAAGGGAGATTTTTGGAAGGAATTTTATCATTCTGTTTTGCATGGAGTTTAACGAATAAGACTTAAGAGCGGGGTTGTTTTCATTTCGTTTCTAGTACGCCTTTTTCTTTCAAAGAAGGATCAAAATCAGTTGATTTTTTCTATTTTTGGCAGGTGGTGGCCAAACCAGGGTCAGTGAAGACAGCAAACAAGTTTGAGGCTGAAATATACGTACTGACAAAAGAGGAGGGAGGCCGCCACACCGCTTTCTTTTCGAACTACCGACCGCAATTCTACCTTCGAACTGCAGATATTACTGGCAAAGTGGAGCTGCCAGAACACATCAAGATGGTGATGCCTGGTGACAATATAACAGCAACTTTTGAGCTAATTACGCCCGTACCCATTGATGCTGGTGAGGATTCTATTTCGGTCTTTGCAACATATGCCTCGCCCTTTTTGGCAAAGGCTTGAGAGTTTTAAAGTCCACGATGAGTTCATAGTTACAAGGATGCGGTTAAGTCTGCTGACTGTAAGAGGATTGTGCGACCTAATCATATGTTGTCCTGATGTTTCGTTTGCAATGGTGCAGGGCAAAGATTCGCCCTTAGAGAAGGAGGTAGGACAGTTGGAGCAGGAGTTGTCTCGAAAGTGTTGAGCTGATTCCGCGAAGAAATCTCTGGATATACAAATTCTGGCCTGTCCCTTCGCTTCTTTTTGCGGTTTGTTAAATTGAGGGATTCGGTTCTCTTTAGTGCGCATTTTCTTGCCCGAGGTGACGGGTCGTTGTTTTTTTCACGAATAACAACAGGTGAAACTAAACTGCGGACAGTGTTAAGGTCGAGCATATATTTGCTTGCGTTTAGAACTTACGGGTACAACAGTCCAGGTTAAATCACAAGGTTCGTGGTTGCTCTAAATCGGGAGTAACGCGTTAATACGAGATGTGTTTCGAAACCCAGTTATCACAAGAAGCCGGTCACGAAATAGAAGTGCAAATTTTGCTCCACCCAGGGTACTGGCCGTTCCTTTTCATCTGTCGAGCACACGTGTATGATATTGCGCAATTTGAAATGGTTTGAGGATTATCTTGTTTGTTTCATTGTTGATGAACTCTTAGTTACTTTTGTAGGCCGAGATATTTGGGATGGATCGGAATGTGGTTCTTCTGGATTTGACCGAGGGAACTTTCTCTGAAATGTTTTATCCCTCTGTGAAAAACATCACCTAAATTGAACGTTTCATTTTAGGTGATACTTTTTACCTTCATTTGTACGGCGGATGTGACTCATGTACAATCCAAACAGTAAGGCAGCAAGGGGATTAAGTCGCTTGTTTATCTTTTCCATCCTTTTAAGTTTCAGATGTGGATTCCAGGGATGATATTTGTAGGATTGTTTTACAAACAAATCTCGCAACCACGTTTTCCACTTCCAAGTGTTTCGTGGTATTGTTGTGGCCGAGGGAGTAAACCGTCTCTCTTCCTCCGTTTCAAGTAATGAAGCTTCAAAGTTATACTGTGCCGAGAAGTTTAATGATACAGTCACTTTTACAGATAACTATGTCTGTCCCATGACCGTTTCCGTTGACTTCAACTGAAAAATAGGTGTGAAATATCAGAGTCTGATCATCGTTTTCGGAGGTTATAGATGCTTGAGCTCTTTGTACGAACGTGGGCTTAGATGTCGGAGTACATTTTTTACTTTTTTCACTGAAACAAATCCGACATGTCCTGCGAACATTTGTCTATCTCGAAACCCTTTTATGGGTTTAGGGTCTCTTAATTTGTTATGAGCGGCTCTAGCTGACTTGAAAATTATTAAATGACTGGAATTAAAGAGCTTATGCTGCTTCATAAATAAAGCTCTAGGTAATTTTTTACCTTGCTATGATTAAGTGAACTAAAGTTAACCAAGATTTGAAGTAGTTCTTAAAAATAGTTGATAAATTGATGTTCTGTTGAAACTTTTATCGTGCGGACACCTTCATTTCCTTGCATAAAAATATATACTTAAAATTTTGTGTACATATATTTTTTGAACTTGATAAAAAATCAGATACATCCGTGTCTTTTAATCAATAAGAGCATAATGTATACGTTGTCTAACACATAATTTCGGTAGACATCAATGAACTAAAATTTATGATTATGATGAATCTTTATCAAACAATCATTTTGAGAATTATCTCATTACTTTATTTCAATAATATAATAAATGAACAAATATATGATTTGATATGATCATTTATACTATTTATTAATGAATAATGCAAAAAAAAATCTACAATGATGGTGTGAAACTATGTTTTTTTACTATGAGACCTAAATTCATAAGTGGTTAAGATTTAACACATATACATTAAAAAATTCATAAGAATAATTAATAATAAATGTATAAATATTTAATTATCATTCAATTTAAATTAATTATCCACTCACATTATTATATAATGCACAAGAAAAATTTGTGATTAATTAAATAAAACAAATATGCTTTTGATACCGGATGAAATCGAGGTGTCAGAATGACAGAATGTCATGATACTAATCGTGGTATTACATACATCCAATTTTTTTTTTTTTTTTTTTTTGCATCAATCACAGAATTCTCTTCTGTACAGTGTAGTAACGTGAAAAATAATAAACCTATATTGAGTAATAACTAGTATTTTTCTAAATATGATAATAATTAATTAAATTCTGTTATATTTAAAAAAAAACCTCAATCAAGTTTGCTATTAAAATATTTCACAGTATACATTATTTACATATTTATTTCATTATTAACTCATTATATGATTATATAAATTTTATATGATTTTAGAAAAACTTTCATACATAAATTTTTTTATCAAAATATGAATGATACGTTTTTTCTATCATATAGAAAATTTATTATTTTTGTATATCTTATCTTATTGGGTTTAATTTGACATATCAATTAATATATATTCAATATTTCATCATACAATATAAACTCTGAAATTTTAAATATTCATCAATTAAACCATCCCTCTTTTTATCAACTTGAATTTCAAGGATGTAAAATCTTTAAATTTTTGATGTGAAATTTTAAGTGAAAAAATTTTAAAAAATTGGAGATATTGATTCAATGTCTTATATGGTTATAATTGATATGTTCTTGATGAAATTTATATTTTAATATACTACTAAAACATTCTGACTTTCAACTACAAATAAATAAGATTTTTGCATCTACTCTGTTAATATTCCAAATATTAATATTGATTTATTATTTAAAAATAAGTGACTTAATTACTCCTTGTTAAATAAATGCTAAAATAAAAAATAATTTTAAAGTATTATAACTTATATAAAAACGAATGCAACAAGATTAAATGAAACTACTATAGATATAAAATTATTTAACCTCTGATAAAATAAGATTGTATGACTAGTATAAATTATGACATATCAAAGTAAATGCAACAAAATTGAGTCAACATGCACGTTAGAAGTAGGTGCATAATTCAAAGTTTCATGCATGCATATTAAAGAGCACATGTATCACATGACTTCGATCGGTCCTTGACGTCTTTGTGGAAGATCTGAGGTTTGGAAATCTGACCTGTTACTGATAATCCTCTACAAGGACAATCCCAGCGTCGGAACGATGATTGTGGGCGGTGGAGGAAAGCGCGAGTTTTAAGAGCCGACCTTTCTCAAGGAAAAGAGGGGAAGTGTATGCAGTAGCCCGTTACCCTTCCGTGTCCAGAACTTTCGAGGCCTCGATCACGCCGTGTGAGAATAAAGGCTCCTGAGCTCTCATTGCGATGGTTGTGTGGCGGCGTCCATGCACTCCGTGGCATTTATTGCCGTCGTCTTCTTTAATAACCAGACACTGCATAGCTATAGAATGGCATTCCTTTCATCTGTGCCGATACATTCTCTGTCTAGCACGGAAGGCTGATGATTCTCCTCGTACATTCTTCTAAATGGCGACTATCGCCGTCAGCGGATCTTCCCTCAAACCCTTGTCCCTTCTCTTCCCCAGCCTTGTGCTGTCTGTCCACGAGCTCCAGTAGGTCGTTCCGAGTCCTGGCCCATGGGGATGTCTCGGGTGCTGCTGGTGAGTTCATCTTTCCAGTTCTCGACGTGAGATCCGACAATAATTTTCTCGATGGCGACCATCTCTCGAGGATGATCGCTGAGAAAGTAAGAAAGCGGAAAAGACTCGGTTAGGCCTTGGGCATGAATGCAGTGTCAAAGCGGAGGGAGTCGGTCGTCGGATGAATGAACTTTTCGACAAGATATCGACTGAGGCTTAAAATGCGCAGAACGCTATAACCTCTCTTTTTCGAGTTCGACGTGCTCGTGCCGATCCGACCATCCGGCGGAGCATTCATCCTTGTCGGGGCCACGATTGAACGAGCTAGCGGGCCGCAATAGGATGTGGACAAATCCCTCTCGTGTCGATCCGTGGACGGTTCTACCTGTGGCTCTCTCTTTCCAGCGAATCGAACCCACACGACCTTCCCTCCACAAACCCTTTGATTCCTAAGCTTCTTGCTCACTCATTCACTTAACTCCCTCCCTCCCTCTCTGGCTCGATCTCCCCCTCAGGCCTCTTCAGTTTCCTGGGACTCAAAAGGCTCAAATGTCCTCGACCACCCTAAACTTTCAGGTTTCGAACAATGACGAGCGACGTGCAACTACATAATCTTTGCGTTTTCTCGGAGCAGGTTATTTTGAGATGGACATTATTTCACTAATTCTTATTTCTTCTCAACTGAACCATTGTGCAGCTCTAGGACTGAGTTGGCCTGTTTGAATCACCGGCGGTTTGCCCTCCCCTTGCTGCTTTGAACACCGCGCATTTGGAAGCGATCCTTTCGTTGAGCGAGGTTGGGGTGGGATCGAATCGGTCGAAGTCGTAAACGCGTGGTATTCATTTCTGATCGCTGTAATGTTTCGCCCATCCTCACTCCAAACTGCACAGTCTCACGACGTCTTTGGGCTTCTGGAAATCATAGCCCACGATCACCTTGTTCCAAAATCCATGACAGGACGGCTCGGGCTGCCCGAGCAGATCCCCCTTACCGCAATCGATCCACTCGCGCTCCAGATCCTCCATTGTTTTCTTCTGAGGCGGGTCATGTTTACCCAGCCGACTCGTTTCTTTGAACATTGCTTGCGTCTTTGATATAATAAACAACATTCTCTGAATCATTGAATGTTGACCCTCCACTAGCTGCCTCGCGCCAAAGAGACTCAGCAGCAGCTCAAGCTCGATGTGAGCCGTCGTCAAAGGGACACAGAAGCAACTTGAATGTCGTGTCGAACTACAGAAACGGAGGCATCGAAGGGAAGCGAGCATTACTCTTGGGCCAGTTGGCGATGCGCAGGAGATGCAAAGCGGTGTATATGGGGGATCGGAAATGGCTTCCCCGCCCGCCTCCCGGTCGATCGAGCGAGCCATATGAACTTGGCTCATACACGACGTTGATTTTCTCGCGTTGCAGACAATCTACTTGGAAAAATAAGACTAGAATAATCTCAAGGCTGTCTCGTTGGTTCGGGTTTAGAGCGTCTAGATTTCAAGCTTGCATCCCGTTGAAGTGTGATCGGGTTAGAAGGTCGAGACCCAACCTGCTTCGAGGATTTTGGCATTCATGGCTCTTTGAGTTTGGGATTCGATTCTGGCACTTGATTTGCCTCTCCAGTTGCCATCCATATCACTGACACTCCGCCAGTGGTCGGTCCATCGACGCATATATTTGCCGTCTTGGCTGGCAGAAGGAGTCGGGGATGAGGAGTCAGGGGCGGCCCATTTGCCTTTGCTTGCGGCAGGCGAGCGAGGGGAAGCCGGAGGCGGTGGAGAGTGCAGTCCTTTGGTGAACGCGTTGTTCCAGCCTTTTTCGCAATCCTCCAACCTCTTGGCGTTCGGTCGAGGTGTCCGTTTCCGAGCTACTGCCAACGAGCGCAGACCTCCCAAATCTCTTGGCATTCTCTCGTTCATGCGGAATTTGCCATTTTCGAACTCCAATAACTGCTTCCTTATCCTCGCACTCTCCGACTCCATGGCCGAGCTTTGGACTGCGTTATGACTATAGCATTTTCTCTCGACTTTGGTTTCTTGGCTGAACCAGGGAAGATGGAAGTCTTGAGATTTAAACCGACACAGAACCACGAGGAACGTTTCCTGCTCCAATCGTGCGATACACGTGAACAACCCCTTTCTTTGTGATCATATTGCCCGGGCTCTACAAGAAGGAAGACAACATCAAGCTGTTCGACCCGAGCCTCTAAGAGATCAGCCCTCTACCCATGCATGGTCCACACATCATGACTTCGCGGTAGATCCTTCCCTCTATTGCTCTTTTATACACAGCCATAAAAAATTTGTTTGAAAGAAGTGCAGTATTTGCATAATGAGGTATCAACTTATTTGTCATGGCTTAGAACATATTTTGCAGTCAATTAGCGTACTTGCACTGGTGTTGTCCTTAGTCGATGTCAATTTTCAAAACCCAATTTCCAAACTTATGAGAACGTAAATTCAAAGAGTCTGGTTTCAAAACAACTAGACTCTTTGAAGCACAAAGTAGTTATCACTTACTAAAGGAGTGTGAAGGATTTGACAATAAAAGAGACTTTTCCTTTACTACCTTGACGGTATATTGTACTTGATTGATTGTGGCATTTGGTACGAGAGCGATGAATGTTTTGATGCATCGTGGGTGTATCTGTTATACACATCCCTTTATTTTGGATACCTCAGTGGATATGTTGCACACATGAGTTTTCCAAGAAGAGCTTGGTGCTATCTCCTCATCGTTGTTTCCTTGGGGTAAGTAGTCCAGGAAACAGGGATCACATATGAATGCCGCACATGTGGAAACTATAAGTTTCCAGAAGTTTGATTATCATTAACGTGATAGTCCCGTCCCCAAATAGCTTGGAAAGTACAATCTCTTGGACACAACCGAAAAATCTTTTGCCCATACAAATTTTCGTGAACTATCCTCGAGTTTTTTGAAACACTGAAAGTTGTCAAACAGAAACTTGCCAGTCAAATGTACTCGGGGCCTTCAAAAGGCCAGAAAGTCTCATGCCCGTTACATACAAAGAAATGAGAGACCTCCAGACAAGAATAAGGGAGAATTCTGAATTCACTCGAACCACTCCTCTTGTGGTTCGAATGCTTTCAATACATTATTTCATTCACAAATGTCGATAACTCTTTCCTTGGTTCAAGAATCTAATCCGTACCATGAGCCTGGACTGGACAGATGTAGCCTGATTCTTGGCTCTACTCTTTATATCAGGACCATTCCGCACTGAGAATGAAAAATATCTCACGTAGTTGCACAGATAACTCTGCTCCAAAAGGTAGAAGGAAGAGATCAGGCCTACATTCAAGTGAATCTTGCAGTCTCGAAGAGAGCTGACAAGACAATAATTACCCACATAGTTTCGGTAGCAAGGTAAACACAGACGCAGCAGGTCAGCTGACTTCGGCAAAAGCATCCGTGTCACCGTGTGCCAACTCCAAATGTCCGTATGCAAGCATTCCATACAGAATTACAGATGAGGTTTCACTAGTTCCACACAAGCGCAGAGCAGGAGCCCTATCACATAGCACAGGACTAAGTTCATGTGGAGACCTATCTGGGGAAACAGGCAGGACAGCGAGTCGACTTTAAACGTACATTTTCGACTCCCTAAAGTTTCTGCTCTCTTAAGAGCTACAAATCGTGCAGGGCTCTGAAGGAAAATGCCAGCACACAACTTCAAGACTAGACCTTCACAAGCATCAATTTGCAGCACACTGAGCGCTGCTTTCACCAGTTCCTTACACTACATCCATGGTTGAGAAGCCCTTGCATATCTATGATGAGTTGCAGAAAACCCTGCAGCGTAAGGGGCTAGTCTCATTTGTAACTGTTACAGAATCTCCTAATCTTCAGGGCATCTTCAGGAGTGCAACTTCGCACCTGAACATCTGAACTCAAGTTTCCTGAAACAAAAATGGGTATGGGAATGGAAGCCGCGCACACTTAACTCTATTACTGTACTAGGTTGTAACAAGAATGTGCTAAGTCTATCTCCGGAATTACTGTAGAGGTATTTCATCCACGTGAATTGAATGAGCAAGTAGTACAAGCATCCGTCCTGCACGAGAAGAATGACGCAAAATAGAAATGTAGGTATCAGCCGTCTATCCTTCAACATCCTGAGTTTTCAGATATAAGGATGCCTTATAATGCCTCGGTGTCACATCTTCGAGAAAAGTGCATAAACTTCATTCGTGCCATACGCGAACTGGCAATAAATAGAAGCTGTCAGCTCTTTGCATCAGGTACAAACCTCAAATGACCGCATCATCTTCCAAATAAACTCCACTTCTTCAAAAATCCTGTAGCCTTTTCCTCTTTCTTCAGTCTTCCTTCTAGAGATGGGAACTCAATAGCAATGAGGGCCGTGTCTAAAACGATTGGTCTACATGGAACAGCTTGAAATGATGGCAACACTTGAAAAATTCGAGGTTGCTCTTTTGAACCGGCAGGTCCCAGTACTGACTCAAACATATCCAGTTTATCCAGTAAGTACCCTGCTTCTTCCTGCATTATTCGATTCAGAGGATAAAAATCAATTCAGTACGAAAAAAATTGCCACTAGGATAGGCAGTGTCCACCAAGTCATAAATAAGATTGGCAAGATCGAGTACTAGTATTCTCTACAAGCGGCAGTACATACGTCAACAGTGTCACACCCAAACAATTTAATACCACGTGGAGTGATTTAGGGTAATACTGTGGTCTAAGGTGATAGATTCTCTGAAATGTGAGAAATATAATACAAAGCTGTATAGTGGAAAACTTTTGGGAACAGTAATCGGGATCCACTAACATACCTTTTTGACAGCGTCTTTCGACAAATTAAGAGACCCAATACCCTTCTGCACATAGTCATGTGACTTCTGCTCTTCCATAACTCCACGTGCATGAATCAAACATTTTTGAGCCCTGCAGTCCTCAGCTAGAGTCTTCAACTCCTGTAAGACAACCTGCATAGTAGTAATACAAACGGGACATGCAGGAGTACACAGTCAAAACTTAGCTGAGGAGGCGTGCCGACAATTTTAAAGTCTAATAACCATAAAATCCTCGAGGTGTGTAATCTGGATCTAAGATGTAGCTTAAATCAGCAGCTTATTATTCCCTGACGGTCTCCATACCTCATCTAAGACGACAGATTGACGGAAAATATTCATTGCCAGCTCAGCATGCTCCTGAGCGCGCTTGGTTAGAGCGTAGGCTTCGGGAAACTTCGCAGCGACATTATATGCCTGTGAAAGATAATAACATCTGTACAACCGGGTGACTTCATAAGGTCATCAGAGGATATAAAATGGAAGACAGAAGATACTGAAGAAATCCACAGTCCAAAGGTTTCTAACGATAAGTTTGTGACATTCCTGGCTGAACAACTACCAAGCAGAAAAAACATCCCCGTTCATCACGTGAAAGAGACATTATAGCTTACCGTCCTGCTTGAAAGCCAAGCCGTCGGGCATCTAAATCTTTGGCGAAAGATATAATCTTGGCGCTAGTTTCTCGTCCTGAGGTTACTAGCTCCGCAAGATCTGTAATATTCTGAATAGCAAGGGTAATCAATCAGCCTTCGTGCGAGATCATCCTGTCATAAAGATGACTACGTCATTGCTGATTATTCATCATTGAATTGAGAGCAGAGGAAAGTTCTCTAAGTTCCAGTTATTTCGGTTTCAGACCTGTATAAGTGTGTCAAAAAGCCGAACAAGATCCTCTGGTTTCGCAGGCTTTTCGCCCTTTTCTTCTCGAAGTCCTTTTTGAGCACGAACCCAACGAGCTTTTGCGATGGTCACCAAAACTAAGTTACGCTCTATTGTCTGCTGGAGTAAAATACTGCTTACTGCTCTGTCTAGTCCGTTGAGTTCCTCTCGCACGTCTTCCGCAGTTCCTGCAACAGCCTGTACAGTCAAAATATATCAATCACTAGTAATCCTGTGTAAACGGGTTGGCGTACACAGTTACTGCGCAAGCGACTACGTCAGACGTTCACCACATTTGGTTTCTAAGGACGCTGAGATTCAGAACGATGAACTGTGAAGGCACTTTCCTTATACATACTTGTTGAACGATCGACCAAAACGACACTACCCAGCTACCTTACCAGGTCATCCCGAATATGTCGCTTTGCATCCTGGTAGGCGATGAAAATTTTATCAAAAACAGAAAGTTTTTTCTCAGTGAGATTTGAAGCAGTAGCTACCAACTCCTTTTGCAGCTCTTGTCCTGTTCATCATGCCATCGATCCAATCAAACGCATGTTAACTTAGCATATAGCACATGACACATGTCAAAACTATAGGTGACGTGATTACTGCAGAGAGACAAAAGCAATATAGGGAAGCATACACAGCAGTATAGTCAGTCATGGACCTTTCAGTATGCAGACACGAGTCTTGGGATTCTTGACAGGGAACTTGCGACCAAGCCACTCTAGTTCTGTCATTGAAACCGCTTGTTGTGTCCGTGCTTCCGCCATGACAGCCTAAGACATGACACATTCAATATTAGCTGATCCATACGAGATGGAAAGCCGGCACTCAGGGATCGTCTGCTGTTATCTGAAGCCTGAGCAATCGTGGCACATCATGATAACACATCCAGCACATCCATGTTGAGCTAACCGTTGAGCTACATCAAGCGAACCATGAATGCGCTTGGGGAAACAAGCATCTACAGCTAAAAATTTTCAGTGACAGAAGTAGTAATGGACTAAGTCCAACGAAAACACACAAAATACCATCAAATAACGTCTTTTAGACTCCTAAAAGTCTTCACCCTAAATTCACAGCAAAACATCCTGCTTTCCGACGGGGCCTACACAAAGGCTGCAAAATATTTGAAGAGTTCTTTTGAGGAGGGTAAAGAAATTGTACAGAAGGAAATCAGGAGATGAACTACTAAGACAGAATTAGGATAAAAACTGTACCTCTAGCTTTGACTGCAGCAAGTCAAAAGCCGGCCCTTCCTGGGTCGTCAGACCCAATAAATCAGAGCCCTTCAGATCAGAACGGCCCATTTCATACATGCAGAACTTTATGATAGAGTCCAACTCTTCCACCCGTTGACGGCACATGACCTGATTTTCAACGTCTCCAAATTTTCCCAGCTCGTCGTAGACTTTCCTGTACAAAACTTCCAAAACTTACCACTTACCATAGACCGACACAACATGCTTGAAACTGACAGCTCCCCGAAGAGTTCATTTTGCAGTGCTTAAAGTAGGACAGAAGCAGAAAAGAACCTTAGTGTCAAACCTGGCGCTCTTGAACTTCTTAAGAGCTGTCTCCCAGTCAGTCCCTCGTTCTAACAATAAATTGCCTCGCATGTGCTCAGCATAGGCCTGTTCGCGAACGAAAACACAAAGAACAGTTTATATTCACCAAATTTAACTGAGCCTGACGCTGGACAAAAGATATATACTTTTTGCCAAAGTAACCATCATAATAAATAGGTCTTTCTAAGAGAGGATGAAACAACCGATGACAATGTAATTCGTTCAGAAGTGCTATCGTTCAATTTAGGTCAAAAATCTGAGCAGTAGAAAATACCCAAGGCACTAGTCCCTTTGGACTATCTGACAGGAACGTGAAACCTCATGCTAGGCATAAGGTTTCCTGTTCCCGTCAGATAGTCCCGGGGCCAACGAACTCAATTTGACCTCGTGATCCCTCTTCAACTTCAACTTGTTACATTATATCCCAGCCTAACGACAATTCACAAAGTTGACGGAGAGAGCAGGGAACAAATAATATTAGTGTCTTATTTCTCTTAATATTAGTGTCAATAATAAAGAAGGCTTGGGACCAAGTGCATCTATCAGGCCTATCGAGAGAACAAATTTCCCTCTGCACCAAAGATCACTCCGAATTTCAAAAAGGAGCGAATTGCAAGCATACCAATGCTTCCAGACCGGTCCTGGAATCAGCCTTTTCCGAGCACAGCCGATTGAGCAGATCTCCCCATTTTGCTGCTTTGGTTAGTCTTCGAATAAGGTGAGCCTGCTGACGAGCATTAGCTCCGGCAGTCGTTGACTTGATTTCCATAGCATAACTCCATGCTCTTTCTGATGAGTACAGCACCACATGGAGATATCTGACATCTGTAACTGTTGCCTCAGAAATCTCTTTCTTGACGTATTTTCCTCGACCGTGCTTGAAGTTCAGCGACTTGTAGAGCCGCATTAAACGAGCAGTGCAATAACGTCTGCAGAGAGTTCCATATGTTCAACTAAGAAAAAAGAAAGCGATATCAATGCGTACTATTAATTGTCCATCTGCTCAGAACCGTGTAAAACTACAGCTGCCAGTGAAAAAAATTTCTCGATTCTGAGTGATGGTCAGAGGCCTACGACAAGGTTAAGAGCCATCCCTATACACAATTACACAACTAGAAAACATTCGCTTCATTCTCTGCACAAATACACATACCTATACCGTTTGTAGTCCCCGAGCCGCAGACCATGCTGTGTCTGTGCGGTCTTGATCAGCTGCAAAACTGGAAAATAACCACCACGATCCGTAAGAACTCTCAAAGCACTGCAATCAGCCGGCCAGCACCGTGACCCAAAGACACTCCACTCCGAATTCTCAGCTAATCACACACACAGATCGGAAATCTCAACCCACAAGCTCAAATCAACTCCCAAATTCCAACTTCGAACAAAAAAAGGTCCCTCGCGCGCACCATTGAACGAGAATTTCGCAGCAGGGCGATCGGCCCCGTCGACCTCCATAGCAGCCGCTGCCATCTCCACCACAACGCCGGGCCGTGCCCAAAACTTCCTGAGGTCCGGTGTCCTTCCTTCTTCAGTCCTTGCCTGCCGGCCTCATTGTCATGCCATCAAACGTGCGAACATTCAATCTCGTTGCTCGATGTGACACCACTGTCCTCCCCCTCCCCGTCCCCGAGGACCAGACTTCCCGCAAGGGTCAGTGTGCCTGTCGTGAACAATGTGCAGAAGCTGCTGCTCCTTGTCCAGAGGAGCGTCAGACTACTCCGCACTTCGACCACGTACTGCACCGTACGAACTGTGCTCTTGCACAGTTGCCCTAAAAATAGGCACAGTCGAGGCCGACGTGGTTTCTCACTGAATATCGAACGCCATGGTTTGTCGGCAGATTTGGCCTTTTAAGGCCGACAAACGATGGCTTCAATTTTCTATGTTTCGTTGAGAGTTTCAGATTTTGAGGTACAGTCTGATCTATACTGTAGAGATTCCCCCGTCACTTGTGTCTCGAGAAGAGGAATATCTTCAGTACACCACACCGTAGCTTAGGTCTGTTACAAGGTGTTATAGGTGTGACCGGAGTATTTGGACAGTAAAGTTGGGCCTCGTTCACAGAAAAACCTCGAAGACCATGGCCAATCTTACAGGCAAGTACGAAGGCAAGACGACGGGCGACTACGAGAACAGACAGGAAGCAGGTTTCATGCTGATGGTCTGAGATGATTGCAGCCGCTTCTCTCTTGCTTTTTCATCTGGTTTCCCTGTGTATCTATCTGCCCGGCATGTCGAACTACTTTCCGCCCTTCACAAATTTTTGTTGTAGAATCTATTCGCTTGCGATTCTCCTCAGGAGAAAGGAGGGAAGGCCATGGCAAACACAGAAACGCTTGAGCCAGTCGCAGGCGAAGGAGGATGGAACCTGGTTCTGACCGGTGAATGTTGTGTTATATAAGCGAATGCACCATTTGGCTTTTTTCTGTACCCACTGTGGCACCAAAGCTGACATTTCGCAAGCTGCCTTTCATCTTCTTCACTGCTTCTTCACTTCACGAGATGAATCTCGTATCAGATTCTCGTGTTTTAACGAAAAGAATGTACAGTACATTACAGTACAATACAGTTCGGTATATCACAGTACTTGAATTATCTTTCTCCTTGAATCCGTCACTCTAAAATCCTTCCTCCTGTTGTCACGTCTCCATGGAAAGACGAAATGGCTCCAATCAATACTGTGCTACCACAAACTGGCAGCAACTAGCACGGTACGCCTTCTAATCGACCGCGAGAATCGTCAATCATCCAAAGTCATGTCCCTGCCCCACAAAGTTCTCGCTGGAGTTACATCACTGTCGGAAAACTGACATCCTGCGCCGTGGATAGTCCTCCATAGTCCAGTAGGAAGGCGAGAGCAAGAATCACATGAATGCTCGTGAAAAGGGCACCGTCTTCGATCATGAAAGGCTATGTTCCACTAAGGGCTCGCTCAACGGTTACAAGAACCGGGGCACCTCGATAAGATGGAACAAGCAACTGGCAGCCACGGATGAGGCTCGTTGAGCCGCGGAACATGACAACGGAGCCCAACACGTGGACAGACATGGGAGCCGCTCACAGACGTTCAGGTGACAATCGCAGAATCACCATCATCGTCATCATCGCCACCATCGTCCAAGAATCTGCTCCGTTCCGAAAGCGCGAGAGGATCACTCTCCAGTCCCCAACTCGCGCCTCGTAGCCATCAGTGGCCGAGAGTGGGACTGATCTCGTGGCGATGCAGCCCACTTCGACTTCTGCGTGCGGCCTCGCGTTTTCGACCTCCTCCCTCTTTGCACCCTCGGTTTTGCAACCCAGGTGCTTTCCACGCATTTCGAATGCCGGACATGGTGTTTGCTCTTCCTCCGCCCCAAAGAAGTTGAGGAGTGTTGTCTGCAAGAGTAATGATGAGAAGAGGACGCCTCCGACTGCGGAGGCCAGTCCGCTTGTAAAACTAGCGTGGTATGGATCCGAAGCTTTTGGAAATGCAGTTGCCACGTTCCGACCGAAGTCCGGTGAGGATCAGGCTGACGATGACGGAGAGCTAAAATTCGACGGCCCTGTGAGTAGAGAAGACGCAGTGGACCTCATCAAGAAGGACTTTGATCGATCTTACTTTGTTACTGGTGAATTATCTTCTCTTTGTCCACCATTGATTATGGCGATTACAACGTGGATACACAATGTGTACGGCGTGTACTCTTCAGGCTTGAACTCTCTTGGAATGCGTCCAAAGACAACCAGCTCCTTTTTTATGATTCTATTCGCCCAGATTTTTGAATGTGAGGATAGTTTGAGCTGACGATCATGTGTAGGACGATGCACCGAAGAATCTATGTCCTTTACATCTGAGAAAGGAAGGAAGTGCCCGAGATTGAGAAGAGTAGGAAGTGTTCGAGGCTCTGGTGTTTGACGCAGCAGTCAACATGTTTCCTCTCTTCGAGCTGCGTTGGCGATTGATCCCTCCTGGAAACTCTGTTCTTCACCTGCAGGTAATATGGCGACAGGAATTTATGAGAATGATTGTGAGTTTGCGGACCCGTTTGTGTCGTTCAAAGGACTAAAGCGCTTCAGGCAAAACGTCGGGAATCTCGGGTCCTTCATGGAAGAGTCCAGTCTAAAGCTCACTGAATGGCAAGAGTACGAGGTACGTGCAGTTAATTGCCTATAAATCAAGTTATCAAAACGAAACCCTGTGAAGCATGCCTGCCCCCAATTAGTACATAGCATTACGATTCTCTGTATCTTCCTTGTCCTCAGTCTGAAGGCATGACGAGTCCATCTTACAAATCTACCCGCAGGATCGAATATACGCGCGGTGGCGCTTCAATTGCGTATTGTCTCTGCCCTGGAGACCCATCCTTGCTGGTGAGTTTCTATTCCCTCTCGTCTACTAGATTCGTACAGGAAAAGTTTATTACCTATCAATTTCGGTGACACAAATTTGCCTAATTCTTCTTCGGATGTGAATTGATAAAAAGTTATGTACCTTCTGTCGGTCGATGAACCTGATCACTTTAGGTTTATCGGAATTTGATATCCACTGGTCTACAGTAACGAAGTTAAGTTTGTGATTATCGAAATAGTGGCCGCAATGGTAACTGCGGTTTGCATCAAGTCTAGGATTATATTTGCAGGGGTGCCTGCTATTGACAACAAGCCCCCGTAGCTCAGTTGGTTAGAGCATCGGTCTTATGAGCCGAAGGTCGTGGGTTCGAGCCCCCCCGGGAGCATTCATGTTCCACATGTGCTACTTTTGCCCCCTCTCTCGCGATAATCGGGCTCTTGCTTCGGGTTGACGCCTGCATACTGTATGCGCAATGGAGGGAGGGCGCATTTATTTTTAATTCCGGAAAAATAAGATTCTTTTTAGGCCACTATTTCTTAAGTTAGCGTGATGGATTTCGTTAAATTACAGACGAACAAGAATATTGAAACCACTTTCTCGATCCTTTGGTTCTTTCTAGAGTTTCAAATCAAGGGCTGCTCGTTCCTCCTCTCATCTCATTATAGGAAAGTCGAGTTTCTTACCTCGGACGTAGAAGTTCACGCAGGATAGCTTTGAAAAATATTTCTGTCATCTTACGGGCATTAATCCTCTTTCTAGTAGGACTGACCTCTTTTGAGTCACGAGCAGGCTTCAAAAACACAAGAAGCAGTGAAGAACGGGCTAGAAAGTCCTGCCTACACCGGAAGAAGTTTGCATTTGAAAACTTTTCGCCTGTGGACACTCTAGTTTACCTCCTGATAAACCTAGAAGTCGTCAGAGTCTTGTATGAATTAGAGATCAATGAGGATGCCGAAGATAAATCTCTGATTTATCCTGAACAGAAGGGAGAGCATATCCAACTCCTAGGGAAATGGATTCCCCAGGTCCTCGTGTAGCCGAGGGTAGAATTGAACTCCTTTGAAGGACAAAGGAGTTCAATTCCACCCTCGGCTACACGAGGACCACTCCTGCTGATTCTTTGGTAGTCGGTGGGGGTGATCGAAACCATGAGTTTGGATTCTCGCAGCGGGTTCTCCTTGCATTTGCAATTTGAAATAGTACTTCAAGTGTGCTGATGTATGACTTGTTTGCATGATGCAGCCACAGGCAGCACGGAGTACTTCTTTAACAAGGATTCAGGGAAAATATATAAGTAAGCACATCAACTGTAAAATTGAGGATGAGCTCTTTCTTCTCCTTAGAATGCCACAACCCGGCGTGAATTCCTTGAATATATGATTCAATTTTTACTTCAGTAGAACGTTGGTGAATTATCGATTGACTATCCTAGATAGCAGCAGCCCTTCCGTTACGTAAACATGAGACCATGTTCGCTTTCCATCTGCACACCTTCCTTACTAACAAAGCAACAAATTTCTTGGAGTTTATTTATTGAGCTTTTTTTTAAGAGTGACAGCTAAGGCCTGCTCTCTATTTTGCGCAGACACGTTGAGTCGTGGGACATCTCACCTGCAGACGGTGTTCGACAGCTTTTCAAGCCCAATCCTCGACCCAGAAAATAGGAGGATTTATACTCGTAATCTTGATCAGTCTCCTATTTCGTATACTACTATGTTCTCTAAGACCTTGGTCTTATAGTATATCGGCTCTAGGAATGAGCACATGATGAATCAGTCAGATCATCAACTGTAAATTGTTACATTGAAAATGGTTCCGCATGTAATATAACTTTTGAGATGCTACCATGACTGTCTGACATTTTCGTGGAATAAAGTTCAGATACTATTGATCTTCAAAGTACAATATACTGCACTATCTGTAATGCTCATTAAAACACTGGTATGTACGCTGTATGATGTGACGGAGTTACGATCTAAATTGGAATACGGAATACTTATATAGTTTGAAAGTGCCTTTAACTCTTCTACTGCTTTTATAAGTAACTCCATATATAAGTAACTCTGCTTGGTTCCACCGACAGTGTTATATGAACACAAACCTCTGCAACCGACATAGCTTTCTCAGATAAACATTCTGATACTGATCTATAGTTTGTAATCATCTGACCCGTCTGTAAACATACCGGTGTGTGAAACAATTCCAACAGGAACGCATTCCAATTTTTCAACCCTCTCTGGTTAAGAATATGGCACAAGTGCTGTCCGTGTTTACATCGGTCATGATACACGAAACACTACTATCAACCACCTCCAGGAGCGCTCACTTGCCGCTCAATTATGTACACACAACTACTCATTGCCTTCGTTCATATACGTGCGTGGACGAAATCCAGTTGTATGAACTCTCTGGTGACTGCAACAAACGCTGCCTCAATATAGTGCAACAGAGAGTTGAATGATGTCGGACATACAATCAATTGAAGGAGTAGGTAGATGTAGTTAAGTTAGAGGAAGGGCCTCTTTCATAAGGGCCAAAAGAGATGTGAAAGCTACAAACTTAACCATAACTCCTGACCTGTAAAAGAACTGAGAAATGCCTTTGATCACCTGCAGCGAGAGTGTAAGGATTCTAATTCTACTTCTTCCTTCAATTTTGGTAAAAAAATCGTTGGCAGATCGTGCGTTCCAAAGAAGGTACGCGAAGGTGAAGGACAGTAAAATATACGGCATATCCCGCCAGAGTCCAATAGATGAAGGATCCGTTTTGATGAAAGCACTCCAAAGTGCAGCGACCAGCTGCACCGTGCCCAATATCAGAAACCCCGTGCTGAAGCTGGCCATATGATCCCTGAGAGAATTCAATGAATCTCTCACTTGATCTGCTGTATCTGATAGATCTCTCTCCACTGTGGGTCCGACTATTTCCTCATGCTGGAAGTCCTCAATGCTACGGGGAGGAGTTTTCTCGGCTCCACCTTCAGCTGCAGATTTGTCGTCTCCACCACCACCCGCCTTGGACGTCGACAGTCGACGCTGATCTGCTGGATAACAGACAGACCTAGTGTTCGCAAGTGAACCTCCCACACAGAGATGTGGATATGTCCGCAATTCTAAATTGTTACTAGCTACGAGGGGTATTCTCCGCGAAAGTTTGTGGTTATCTCCTACGGCTGTGGATTGAACATGACTCTTTGATTCCTGATCGACGAAGAGGGATCTCAAATTCCGGGCACCAACGCCTCTGCCAAATTTGAACTCATCAAGTATGAGCTTGTTGGACTGCGCGCTACAGGGTTCAAGTCCTGGAACTTTGGGGCACAAAATTGGGCCACAACGAAGTAAACATTTCATCAATGTCAAATAAGATTGTTGCAGTTATTTTCACTACAATGAACCTAACGAAGGGGAATTACTTGGACAAACAACAGTCTGATCAGGTGAGACTGACTACTACACCTCGTGGCTCACTGCTGGCCAGATTGATTAGCTTAAACTGATAAAATTTTCTATGAGTGCTCATACTTATATCACTGTCTTTATGACTCTCACAGTCGATCGTGTTTACGGATGACCTGGAAGTATTCACAGAATGAAACCTAGAAAGCGTGAAGCAAATCAGTAAGGAAGATGTAGCTGAAAATTACCATACCAGATACTGGACAGGGGGGTACCCGGCCAGCGATGTTGTCGACTCCGCCCGGGGAGGGACAATGTCTGGATGGAACATAATCCGTTCCACTGCAGCTCGACGTAAAGCCCCTAGCACCAACCACCTCCCAGAGTCGACGATTCGACCCAAGTGATCTCGCAGATCTCCGCAACATTGTGGTCGACGGGTGACGATCGCTACTTCGGTCAGTCTCACCGCCTCTCAACAAGTGCCCGAGTTCACAGAAGCTGGAAATTCGTCCTCAAAATAGCACCTCGGAGAATTGATCATCTTTCCTCACTGCCACCTTCCCATTGTCAGCATGCTGACGATGACCTGAATCGTCGAAGGTCTCCGCGCTTGGTGGCTCATAGTGACGAGGCTCGGGCATCCTTGCAGAGGCGGATCGAGAAAGGGCCGGACGACACGACTTGACCTTACCTGACCGTACCTGACCGTACCTCCTTAGCACCTTCTCAGGACTCCACACATCTTAAATCTCTTGCACTTAGTGCTAAGTACGCGACCAAAAAAAACACGGAAGGCAGCAGTTCATATAATAAATATACCAGCAGTTCATATATTCCATGAAGACGTACTTGAGGGACTTTTCCATCACAATACTCAGAGCCAGTGAGAATGTTACTGCTGCTACCAAGGTAAAGCATTCCTTCGTTAGATATGTATTATCATCGCAAGGTGCATTCCAGTTCTTGAGATTGAGTTGTGGGCATCTCAAATCTTTCCTTGAAGGAATTTTCCATCACAATATTCAGAGCCAGTGAGAATTTTCCTGCTGCTACGAAGGTACAAGCATTCCCTCGTTTAAATATATTATCATCGCAAGGTGCATTCCAGTCCTTGAGGCATCTCAAATCTGTCCTTGAGTTCGAACCTCGATCACAGCTCGCTGACCGTCCTACATCAGAGTAGCGAGATCTTTGGCTTGATGCCTTGATCGTCCAAACTCTCAAAACCTCGTTTGTAGGATCTAACTGATCTTTGTCAGTGTCAGTGTAGAAGGTGTCGCGCTATGCTACTGCCAATAATTACGCTAGTTTACCGTCTGCTTAGTGCGATGCTCAACTGTGGAGCCCGAGCGGTGGGAGCGAGGAGAAAGGATCAACGGGCGCGTTCAGCACACCAGGAAAAGGCACCGTGCTGGAAGCCGTGGTTGTAGGAGGATGACGAAACCTGAGATAGATACACTGGCCTGTCAAGCGCCGCGGCCGCACAAAATCGCTGCTGCTGTAATGATGCAACAACAGGCGCTTCAGAGTTCTCTGAGGTGCGTGACCGGGACCTGAAGGAGAGATCCGCAGGAAGGGTGGAGGAGCAAGTCAGGCCTGCAGGAATCTGTTGTGAACCTCGCTTGTCTATGCCTATATCAGTGGGATGGCGCAAGCTTGAAACTCAGTGGAATAGGATCGACCAACTCTTCGTAGATAACATGTCAATTCAAACCATGACAGACGACCAATACGCGAGCTGGAAATCATAGGACCTCAAACTAATCACTTAATCAGTCTGACGAGAAGAGACCCACTTTCAAGGGCCGGTACTAATTGCTGCTCCTCATTTTCATCATACTGATACTGATGCGATGGGCTGTGGAGCAAGTAAAGACCCGATCGAGACGAAGAGAACGTCTTGGTATGGGCCTTTGGACGCACATTCGGCGACCATTCTGTATGCCATCCACTTTCCATTCGCAGCAGAGGATCCAATGAACCAGGCAAAAGAGCATCCCCACGTGCCCAAGAACATGAAGATAAAGAAGTGAGCAATCTGACATCCCTGCTCCTACGTTGCATCCCATCCATGCAGAATTACGCCATAAGCCTGGTTTGCATGCTCTTTCCTCTGTACAGGACTCGCATACATTCTGCTCTATTTTCCGAAAACAAATTTATTCACATTCGGAAGTCAGCTTTTGCTTTTCATTTCTGCTCCCAGTCCAAAGTGTGGAACTTGGAACAATTTTACGTGGAATTTAAGGTCTGTCCATCGAGGACGACATTCCGCTCTGTGATGATGGATTCACTGGGGAATGACGTGGAACTCAGAGCAGCAGCAGTAGGTCGAGTTTGAACGCTGATCTCATATGCAGATTGCAGGGCATGATGGTTCAAGGAATCTGTAGAGATCGATAGAGTGATTTGTTGCCAAGGCTAAGCCTAAACAGTGGGTGACGAAACTGGCTGTATAGGTCGGATCCTTTGGATCCTTTGAGTCTCCTGAATTTGGCGTCTCCTCGCGAAAGAAAGCTCCAACCATCTCCTTCAGCACGTCACTGCGTACACACGACGAATCGACCGCAGCGAGTGAACAACCATCGAATCACCGGCGCAAATTCTCATGGTTCATGGGCGATGTTCGCTCTGAAACTAGCGGATTGTGATCATCATCATCATCCAATTCAAAGCCCGAGGCTTTCCACGCATCCTAGCTATGCGCTTGACGGAAACAAATAAATTATCTGCACTCAAGAACACGGAACTCTCCACAATCATGGGCCAACAACCTTTTGATCACTGAACCATATCCTCCGACATAGTCCTAACACTACGGACGCTACAAATCAGGTGCACCAAATGGAGGTTAAATCAAATTACCTCCAGTTGATGATACCCTGCAATTCGCGCTATCTGCAAATCCCGCTAGGATCACAAATCTTCGGTCTCCGACGACGAATTACTTGGCCCAAGAAAATGATCCATGGAGTGACCATGCGACCTGATCACTGGCTGGTCTTTGCCAAGAAGAATTGCAGCTGCCAGAAATGCAGCCCGTCTTGGTGTATCTCCCAGCGAAAATTCCGACTTTCGAGACGAAAATCCCGATCAGAGCCAAGCCCGAGAGAGCACACAGATGCGACGAAGCAGCAACGGATTTGGTATCGCGCATCGTCTCGGTGATTCTCGAGCAGGGCGGGCCCATCGGCAGAGTGGACCGAGGGCAGACGAGCGGAGAAGAGAGACGGGCCAGGGCTTGCGTGCATTGGCCCCGGAGGAGCCTGTGATAGTGTCCGAACTTGTCGGAAGGACCGCAGGGCTGGAGGTGCGTGAGAAGCCGTCAAACGCCGCAGCTGTGCCTTGAAGGGGCGGAGAGGCGCTGTCAGGAGGGCACGGGTCCCGGATTTTCATCGTCCGGGGGTTCAATCCCAGCCCGGGACCGGAGCTTGTTTGATCTTCCAATTAGCTAGTGCAGAGCAGAGCGTGACGCGTAACCAAGTGAGAAATATCTACGACGCTAGGTCGCGGAGGAGGTTGAGCTTCTTGGTTGGCAGGTGGAGCCGGACTCGCTGTGGCAGACCGACACGCGGGCTAACCTGCAAACACACACCCACGCATTCAAGTTCATCCAGAGCTATGGCGACCTCGGCTTCCAACAAGACTCCGTGCGTTGCGTTTTGAAGATTTTTCGCTGATAATTTCTTTCTCTTTGATTCTTGGCGACGTTGTTTCGAATGTAATTGTTCCGGAGGTTGCCATAAAAGGCAACCTCTGGAATTTATTGAAGAGCAAGTTTTTCTTCCAGCATCTCGAATAAGTTTTTAGAGTCCCAGTTCTTGGCCTTGAATCCCCAGCAGTCCCTAAAATTTGGCACTAGCAAATCTGGCCTTCGTATGTTGCATCGTGAAGGGAGTCGTCATCCCTTTCCGAACCTCCTGAGTTACTCCGGGCTCTGCTCTCATACGTCTCGTCTCTTTGCTCGGCCCCGGTCCTAATTTGCCCGATCTTGTATCTAGAACACCACCTTTACCTCTATAGATATGGTTTTAAAAAAGGAAACAAGAATTACGATTTGATGAATTCAGGAAGAAGAGAGTTATTTCCCTCCAAATCTCCTCGTTCCGCCCATTGATCTCCCGTGCCCAACCTTTTCTGATAGAAACTCTTGAGGACGGTCGCAAGCGCTGGATCATTAGAACAATGGCAATCAGGTCCTTGTGTATCAGAAGACCTCTGCATCATGGCCCCGGATGGTAGATCTTGATCATAGAAACGAAGTTCCGAGAGAATGAACAGTACAAGCTGGGGCCAGATGACAGGGATTGAGAGATCATTACCATACAGATATGAAATCAAATAAGGTCGCGAGAGCGAGATCCAGAGTCAAGTAGAAAAGAGAAGTTCAGCTCTCTAGCATCAAGTATGGGCTGTCAACAATCCACTGGCGTCGGGGGATCGGCCGCAAAGCGGAGCAAAGAGTCTGATGACGCTCTGCGGGGAACGACTCTGGTCATGCCTCCGAAAAGTGTTAATCGGCCACAATCTGCTGATAGCTGGAAGAGTTCTAGCCTCAAGAAAAGTAGCTTCAAGCTCCAACCCATCCCCCCAAGAAAGGTTCCCTCTAGTGGGAATCTAGGGGCTGGTAGCGAACTAGTGAAACCTAATCCAAAAGCTCCTCGACGTCTAAAGTCCTCTTTAAAAAGCAGAAGTATGAAAGCAGGCGATGAGGGGGGGTAAGTTGATTGCTCTACCCTGAATCCACATTGTCACTCAAACGTAGAACAGGCCGAATTATGATTCGAAAGACCTTATAGCTCGCACTTTACACCAAGCTTAGAATGCGCATTAGTGAGTCTACAAGCCCCGAGGATGTTCGCCCTAATTTCGTTGAAGGTTCTGGTTCGCCCTAAATCTTATATTATCTACAGGCTGATGCGAACAGCGTTTTATATCAGACGGATCTGAGAACAGAACCAAATCTCGATCACGACAGAGAACAAATTGGGAGAGCTAGATGAAAATGATGACATTTTCTTAGACGATGTTAAATAGTCGGCCTCGCTTTGCTCAGATACCGTAAACTCGATGAGATTTAAGTCATTCAAAATCCGTTGACAGGCGCGGCGTGGTTTCCAACCGTATTTGTCGCCGTGCTTTGCCACCTGTGCCCCCCTGTGTCCAACTCACTCAATCTGAGCGCGATCCCTTCTGTTGGGCACATTTTGGCTTCTCCTTCGTTCGAGCGCTGACCAGAGAAGATCATTTATGTCACAGAGCGACCGGCGGAGTACGCTGGTGTGCGTAACCGTAAGTACGCTCGGCGCGGTCACCTTCGAAGGGAAACCGGCTGGCTCTGTCTGTCGTCGTCAGCGGCTGCCGCAGCTCGGCCAACTTGTGCAGTAATGCGGTTGCCAGTAGCGCAGCAGAGGCAGACAAGTAGTCAGGGCCGAGGACCAACACTCCACGAGATGATTAATAAGGTCACCAGAGTGGGACAGTCGTCAACCCACGACTGCACGTGAAATCCTGAGAGACAAATATGAGTGGAATTTGAAAAACTGAAGAAAACAAGCTTTATGAAACTGCGGACAGTTAAATGGTACTAACACTGGGCAATTAATACCATTACGAATGAAAGAGGGGATGCATGCGTTCACGTAATATTTCCCCTGTTGAGGGAATTTCTCAATTATAGTTTATAGTGAACAGGACACCAAGCCGGAATGGCGGTCTTGGGAAAATTTCTAATATCTTCATTATCTGTCTAGATTCTAAGGTCTTGTGGGATAACAACCCATTTCTCCTGATACGATTGGAGTGGGAGCCAAACTATGTATTGCTAAATCTAATGGTTTAGATTCTAGACTTTGCTGCTGATCGTCAGCCTGTTTTGATGGGCTGGAACTCTGCTATCTTTCCATTATTCCTGATGGGCTGCACTTTCCGCAAATCTTCCACAGATCGTCGCCTTGCTTTCTAATGTGCAAATCCAGGCAAATCTCTAGACAGATAGACGAATATGGCCATTCGTCTGTCTGTAAGTCGTTCAGCGTCCGTGCTGTGTGCATGCTCGATCCTGCCAACGAGTAGCAGTCCATCTCACTTCGGAAGTTGCAGTGAGAGTTCTCCAAATTCGCTCTGAGTCAGCTGGAGGTCGTTACATGTTCAATTTAAGTTCTCAAAACTGATCTTCGGCTCCGTGGATAAGTTGGGTGTCATCAGTTTTCGTACATCTCCACCTGCACTGTGCACTTTGCATGTTGCCCGGGACAAACGGCTGTGGTGCATGGATCTCCGATCAGCTCTTCTCTGGCTCCAAGGAAAAAAAATCCACTAGCTTCGCTGCTGGCGTTGCTCGCTCACTGCGTTGGCAGTGCCTTTCCGAGATCAGATACTGAGCCATTGAGAGAATCGGAGAAGAAGTTTGATCGATTTTAGGAATCCAAAAACCGACTCACTCGGTCCACGACGATTACTCTCCACTGCAATTGACGTGCCTGGTCGCAGAAGTGGCTTGCAAGCCTTTCTGAATCATACCGATGCTCATCACTCCTTCTCCACAGAGGCAAGCATCCGAGCAGCTCTCAAAGTTCTGCACGAGCGGCGATCCGGTGCAGTGACCGGAGCTGGATCTCTTCTCAGTCGTGCTCTGAAGAGCCAGTGTCCTGAACATGCCGTTTCTGGGCATCGACACGCAATCGTTCTGAGGTGAGTGAAGCTCATGTGGCAGGAAGTGAAGCGCACATCCGCAATGTCGGTGGTAAGGACCTCGAGATCCTCTCGCAGCGCAGCAAGACGTGACAGCGTTGTAGGCAGCCCAGAAAGCGGTGCTGGAGGAGGCCATGAATCCGCAGACTTTCTGAAGGAAGAAGCAACAACGAGCTAAGGATGTGAACTGCGAACTACAAGTCTGTTGATCAAACAAATCTCTCAGCTCCGTCTGCCTCGACGCTATAACGAGGAGGACTGTTGTCGGAAGAAGCTACAATGACGACCGTGGAAGGTGAAGAAGAGAATTGTCTGAGAAGCTGGAGCCGATGAAATTCTGGGCTCTGGTCTGGCAGCATTGAGCGACGCAAGGGTGTATTGAGTGAAGAGGTGCAGGAAGAAGGTGGGAGTCAGCTCAGAACTGCAGGACTTTCCAGACGGCTGCTTCCAGAGCTGAGAGGTAAAGAATCTCTCCACTTTCACTCTCTACAGTCTAGACCCAACACCTCACCTCGATGGATGCAGAGGTCTGATGTAAGAATGCGGCATCAGTCACCGGCTGTGGCCTGTTTTATACCTCGGTGTAAAAACGACAAGCATGGGAGGCCCTCCAAGACTTCAGGAGAGGGGGCTGGCTGGGCATGGAGCTCGGGCACTCTGACGACATAAACCAACAAGTCAAAATGGCATCGACGCGTGGTCATTAAACAGGACCCGTGCCTTTTGCTGGTGGGTACGTCCTTTACTGAGCACTCCAGCAGCAATCGGACTTTCCCGAGATTTCCATCATCATCTTCACCTGAGTTTGTAATCTCGCCTGGCGGCGCCTGCTTTTACTACGGATTCCTCTCGACGACGTCTCCCCACGTACAGCAGCTTCTTCTTCTTCTACTAATGCCCTCACACAGTTTCTTTCTCCCATATAACTTCCCCTCCTTCCCTCTGCAGCTCCAGAAGGCCACAGCCTAGATCGTCCTTGTCCCATCGGTAGTGCCGGGGCCTCGCATTCACTAATCACGGCGGTGAACTTAGTGTCGTTCTGCTCTCGCTGATCTAGGCATGGGCACGTAGCCGGCTAACTTTCGGCTAGCCGCTAATATTTTTTGTTAGCCGGCTAATCGACTATTGGCCAAAAATGTAATCAACCGAAATATTCGGCCGAAATAAATGTTTAGGATACAGTTTCGGCCGAATCTGAGGAAATAATCGTATGAAAACGTAAATTCCGTCCGAGATACAGTTTGTTTTCGGCCTCGGATAGCGGGTGGCAATATTTATCGGTTAGCCGAGCCGTGCCCATCCCTACTCTGATCCCACTCGGTTCACGTTCGGTTGTGCATTCATGCATAATTCGGACTTATGAGTCAGATTATTCTTTTGATCTCATGGAAATTGAGTCTGGGTCCGATGGGAACAGGAACTCGAACATACAAATGCTGGACATGAACATGCGGGTTCATATTCATTATGACAATATTATAAATGTGCACGCGCATGCATGCACGCTCGCAAGCTGGGCTGGGATGGTGCGTCACTTTATTTTCCCCAACTCAAAGTGCGAAGCGTGCCTGACTCCGACCAGCTGGAACGAAGCGGTCCATCGACCGTAATGTGCTGAAACCATGCGCGAGCAGTGACCAGTGAGAGCGTTCCACTTCTCAACATAGTTCCAGGATTCTGTGCAGCACTGTCCAGAGTTGCGACACTCGAGTTGACCTTCGGTGCCAACTACCAGATTCCTGATGATGTGGAGCTGCTCTCGAGTTCGCGGGGCCCGTTCTTGCGCTTCACTCGGGCTCAACAGAGGTCCGCAGAGGAGAAGCCTTTTTTGTGCTTCATGCGCATTGCGTGACAGAGAATTGTGTTCCTCACGTTCCCTGCAGTTAGTTGCTGCCTGGGACAGTCGGACATATGCCATGGTTGAGAGCGACACGCAGCAGGCTGCAGCAGGACCGGACTGCCGAAAGTACAATCGTCAGGCACCGACTCACACATTCTCTATTGTGCTTTGCGTAAACGAATTTGGTCGTAGGGCTTTTGGACCAATGATGCGTCATGTGCTGTGAATGACACATAATTGCAGCTCTGGTGATAGCTGTTTTCTAAATCTTAAAACTTATGTGCTCCGACGTCCGCCTTCATCAGCAGTCTCGGTGAACTGGCCATGGCAACATAGGTTTCAAAGTAGCGCTCAAGAACAAACGCAGGGATCGAGACTTTTCAGCGCAGGACAATGAAACGCGCAATGGGCCGAGTGAATACTTTCTCTTCATATCGTGCTGTCTGATAGTTGATTTGCTTGGCTTTATGGCGAATTGATGAACACTCTATTATCTTCACATCCGGCGACTTTCGATCCGTTTCTCACTTGGTCATCCGACTGTGGTAAAAGTGTGATCCCACAGGTCACACAACCTCCGACCCCGTTGCGTGTTTTTGCTACGGCCTGTGGAATTTACTCTGCTCTCAAGTACTCAATACCTGTGGTATCATGTGGATCATGACGAAGATATGGAGTCATTATGTTCGCATTCAGATCGTTTACCGTTTGTCGTTGACAATTTCGCACCACCTTCACCTCGCGGGTGCCGTGTTCATAGTCAAAGGGAACAAATGTACGTGATATCCAAATATTGATTTTGGATATATCACGTCGATTTCACTCTGACTTCTAGTCAACACGTCCCTGTTCATCAGCGGTCTTCGGAACAGTTTGTTATTCTGCCCAGTGCACAGTCTCGGCAGCCAATGGTAGAACGAAACTGATCCATTTGTGAAAGGAGAGGAGAAAGTCTTGAACTAACTAGCAAATGATCAGCCCATGGTCAAGTTGGAGGAGACATCCTCTGACATTTGCTTTCATGCATCATGCATGCTCTGGGGACGACACGAATTTGGAGTCTATGAAGTTAAAGACAGTTGACCATCGCCCTCTCGAGGCGACCATGGTTGAACCCCCTCAGTCCCTTGGTGGATCTTGTTCAGCTAATGCCACCGGTGTGAAGATTCGCTGTGTTGTGTACACTCCATTAAAGGGTTTGAGAAAATGTCCTGAATCGAGCGTTTATCGAGCTCACTCGCCAACGCCCTCTCTAGATTAACTGTCGAGCTTGGACATTCCTTTTCTGATTGGAAGATTTTGCTCTGGGACCTTGGAAGTGAGAATTGTTGACTCTGTTCAGAGCTGAACTTGTCACGGATATCTACTAACAGTGCTGGGTTTCAGCTGACAGTGTGATTCAGCAGGCGCTCTCAGCGATCATCGTTTGAAAGTCTATTTTCTTTGTCTGTTCAATCACATAACGACACTCATAATCGCGGAGGAGGAGAGTCTGAAAGTTTAACTCTTCATTTGTGGACTGTTCCGAATAAAATAAACAACTTGGAGTACAACTCACTTCTAAGAACGTAATCGAGCTCGCGAAACCGATGCAATACAATATCGATTTGGTGTATAAGATTTCCTAACTTCAAATTTCAATTGGCTTCCGTCCTCGGAAGTGTGCATGGGTATTCATTGCAGATGAAGTCCAGAAGGCGACCGATTTCCTGTGACTTTTCTTATAACTAACTACACAACAATCTTACGGATCTAGTACTGTGCATTCTGCCGTTTCTCAAGGGCGGTACTTTTCCTCAGACGCTGCTTGCCAGTACAAAGCATGTCCGCCGCTTGTATCGACTTCTCTTCATTCTCATATTGAGACCCACAGAAGTTTGCCGAATCTTTCTTTGTTCACAGCCAGCAATCAACGAAGGTGGAAGCCGAAGACCCATCAGATTACAAGAGCAAGCTGGAAGGTTCTGGGCAGCCGATGGAGAGAGGATTGACCGCAATTGAATTGGAACCGAGGACAAGCTGATTGTACGAACTCCTTGTAAATGGTGGTAATATGAAATGTACTGTGAGACTTCCCTTTTGATGGACTCCAAATTCAAAACTGCTATTGAATATATCGGAAGTCAACGATTCGAGTTCCCTTCTCAAAACAAATGCAGACAAGCTTAAGTATCAATTTAGTTGTTACTGGCTTTGTTCTTAGGCGATATCTTCAAAGTGGGCAGTGGAGATCTACAGTGAGCATGGAGAGTGGAATATGGAAGGCGTGAAGTGTAGCTGGTTACACTTCAACACACTGTTGTCATGAAAGACTGTAGACTTCACGCTTGACGAATTGTGGATCGACAGGCCTTGAAGATAATGCGCGTGACATGTCTTCAGCCCAATAGCTTTGAGGATCCACAAAATGTGGAAGGAGATAGGGGCATTCTTGTTAGAGCCTGAGCTCAGTTTTTTTCAATTGATGCACATTCACCATTAGTTTAATTGCATCCAATAGTTTTGACAGCATATATGCATTGCGTATATAATCTGCTTGAACTTAGGCCAGTGAGGGAGTAATGATATATTATATTATCTTGAAATAGAACATCTAGCAGCACTTATGCAATGTTCAGTCTTAGTTATGAAGAGAAAAATCATTTTGATTGGTGATGCTCAGGCATGCTTAAATTAGTCAATATACTAGATTACCTAAATAAACTTAGTCTCATCATGAAAGTTAATTTAGTCGGATGTTAGCTTTTCACGAAGAAATTCTTCCGAATGGCAAGGCAACTCCGGGTGGGGACCTAAGATAAGAGTGCCAACATCATTTATTCCTTTGCAGGACAAATAAACTTGTTTGCAGAAAAAAAAAACCTGCATCTATACTCACAAACAATTTCATAAATTGCATTCAACACTAGATTGAGAAGAGTTACCGCCAAAGCAATCTTGATTGTTGGAAGTGAGACTAGTATCTCTAATAAAAATGCTCATGATTGCTGGAAGTGTGGCTAGTAGTAATAGAGGGCAATCAAACTTATCTCTTCTAGTGGCAAAAACATGCAGTTTTACACAATGCATACTCCTTACATCTAAGATATATGTGGTTCCAAGCATTCCATAACATTGTGCGTCCACATTGCATCATCTTTGCTAGGAATTAGTCTTTGAATTTATAATTCACGTGCAAAGTTGTTAGCCTGTCCACTCAGTTAGTCACTAGTGCACATCAATAGTGAGTTCACGGTAGATTTGCAATCTAAAAATATGTGAACTCCGCTTTGCACACCGTATACAACTTTTGGAACAAGAATCTTGGTTCTCTTCATTCAATTTGAATCACATCACTTGTTGTGCCATTCTCTAAGTTAGAACAGCCTACTCCTTCCAAGTGCGTGTAGTCACTGTTCCATAAGGAGAAATAACCCATAACCCGTTTGTGAACTTACCACTAGTTAATCCAACTTCAAATTTTTTTGAACCAGATAACCCTCTGCTCAAAATCTAGCAGATTTTCCAAAAAGAGAGAGAGGTTGATCTTTGTACTCTTCAAACACTAGAAATAGGCTTGAAATATTCTGGCAAAAAACCAAAGGTAATGAATGATTACTGGGGCACAATGAAAATGGACAATATAAAGATTTGGTCTTGATGTAAGTTGACGAAACCTTGGATATCTCGGAATTTATAGTGGGTGGACAATGCAAAGATTTGGTATTGATGCAAACATTTCTTGCTTGCCTAAACCGATTTAGATAACGTAAAATGGAGAAGGCATATTAGCCTTAATTTAGTCGCCAGAGGAGAGGACATTTAGATAATTATGGCGCTCCGCTATACGTTCGCCTAAATTACGCATGCCTGGTGATGCTTGTTGTGTATCTCCTATTATCACACATACTGGGAATTTGCATTTAATGAATGTAGGAGGCGCTGTTGAAGACGTAGTGATGAATAACAAGAGTGGATAGATCTCTATTATTCTTTTAGAACCTGGGTGGGTCTTTTCTAGCATACTCTGGTATTTGCTTTGTGTTTGTGTCAAGCAGTTAACATGCAGATATTTATACCATGAGTCTCCCTTCTCATTATAAAGATATATGTTTGCAAAATGTATAATTGTTATCATTTTTCAAAAGGAATTGGAGGTAACACGCAAAATAGGAGCAATGCTGACAAGCATGGTCTGTTGGCCCGCAACACGACTGGGGGTCTATAGTTGGAGACAAATATTGCTATTTTAGCTTAAGTCTGCTGCACGAGAGATCAGAAACTTGTGACATCTCGCTGCAGACCTTTCTTGAAATCAGGGAATTTTGTGTGAAATAACTTTACATATTAGGCATGATGATGTGCATACGACGTACCATGATTTGACAACTGTGACAGACGATTCCATGTGATCAGCACATTATGGATCACATTTCTTTGAAACGAATTTCATGCTCTCCATATGTCATTATACCTATGTTCGCAGTTGTGTAGGAAGTCGGCGGACTTTATTTGACCCTTCTTGCAACTTATTTAGTAGGGGAGACTTTGATCGACAACTTCCCCAACTCCAACCAAAACTGGAGCACATGTAGCATACGTCGAAGGACGCATTTTGGTACTGGCAATGAGACGCATTTCCTGCAGAAGGTTGAAGATTCCTCTAGAAGCAAGAAACGCCACTGACGGTCCAAAGTGTAGTTTTCTGGTTGCAAAAAGCATGAACCTGAGAGCGACATGTATGGCGGATTTCAGCACAAGTTATGAGATTCTTTAAGAAGGAGCAAACAAAATTGAAGGTCACAAGTACACATATATGTCATCTTGATTGTGCAACTGCACTCTAGACGCCTGATGGGTTTGCGGTATATGATAAGCGTTTCCATGAAAAGGAACGGAGCAATCGAAGATCTGAAGCATAATCAGCTCGCAAATTGCTATAATTCTTCCCAAACTTCAGTAACCTTGCATACATGACAGTGATATTTGATCTTCTGCTTTTATTACCCTGTATCATCACCTGCTACGTCCAGGATTTCTTTTATCCCCATGATTGTCCTGTTCAACATTTTAAGCAAATAGGTTTGACGACACCCATTGGCCGTCGGAGACTAAGGAGGTGGCCACTACAAGACATATCTAGAAATAACTCGGACATCGTATGCTGAACCACGTAGTTCAGCATACTTGAGCACTGCCGTTCTAAGCAACGAGCGTCCGTCATGGCGCGGGTATCCGCCGAGCAACAGTGGGCCTCACCGGTCGCAGTGTCTGCACTGCGACGGGGGACGACTGTCCGAAGTACAGAGGTCTCCGTCCTACAGTCGGACGACAATTGATTCACCGCGACCTCTGGTCACGGACATCGAATCGATCGAGGCTGCGGGGGTGGGCCCCAGTTTAAACCCTGGCGAGCTCTCGCGACACGCCCGAAGCGCTCCATGGAATCTTGGTCGTCGCGATCTTTCTTCTCCCTGCGTTTTGACAGACCTCGGAAAGTCGCTGAAGCTGAAGATCTCGAGCCAGAGCGCTTTTGCGCTTTTGAAAAAGCCCTTCTCGGAATGAACACCAGAAGCGTTTGGCGGTTTGAACTACGATCGGCAGCCTCTGCGAGTGGCGACCAAGTGCAGACTAGGGGCGTTCGATTGCCCTGGTCAGTCTCGGTTGTTTTAGCGGCGGTGCAGCGGCGCGAGCGCAGAGTGCAGGGCTGCTCTGCCTTCGACATTCATCGTTCAGCGCTCTCTGCTCTTCGGATAGTGGCAATTTGCATCCTGTTTTGCCGGTGAACTCGCTGTGAGAGGTTCAGATACCAGCTCGGACTATTTGCTCGGGAAACATGGGCAGACAAGACGTAACGACTGAGGAGCTCCTCGCAGGCGCATTTTTATCCATGCAGCCGGCCTCGACCCTGATCTCTCTCGCCAGGTCTCAGAATTGTCCATCCATGTTTCTTGAGTTTTGCTGGACATCATTGCAATCGTTTGCAGGAAATCGCGAGGTGATTTCGATGACATTCTTTTGAGTGTCGTGATTCTATTAGACTGTTTCTGTACCCTTGAACCCACAACTCTGTACCTGTGTACATTGCAGCAGATTGAATTGATTGCTGTTAGTCTTCCTTTCGACCTCTCTAGTTTGAGTCTTCTCCTCAAATCTGAAACCATAGTGTAATCGTATGCCACTACGACCTGGTAGTCCATAAGGAGTGTTGGGATGTCTCATCTTCCACCCAAAATCCGTACATATAGGCTTTTGTGTATATTCGGAGATGCTTGAGCTTGGTTGTTAGTATCGTGTTAAAAGGTCTGAACCCGGAGTTGCCGGATTTCAGTTTGACAGAATAGATGCTTGTTTGACAAGCTGGTATTGACGTTGGAATTATACATGGTGTATTTAGTCTGCGAACCGGACTTGAATCATCAAAATGAGGAGAGTTGTCCTGTAGAACCAAAGACCCTTCTTTGAAATTGGAAACTTGAAATTCAACAGTTCCGTGAATGTTTTTCTGACATATATAAGCCGTAATATAACTTGAAGAGTATCATGTTTTGATTGTTATTTTGACAGTTTCATCGTATCTTTATCAAATGTACCTCAGAAAACCTTGTGGCTTATAGTTAGTCCAGAGCGGGGCTTCAGATCATAAGTTTTCTACAATATTTATGTAGCTGGATCAAATTCGAGATTTACTATGGATTCTAAACTAAAACAACTTTTCTATCTAATTTGAAGATGACATTACTTGAATGGACCTTTTCTTGTCATTGGTCAATTTTCAAAGCCTTGACATTTTGTGGATAATATAGACACCAAACTCTTGTCGTCCCTCTAAGAGGGCAACATGTATTCTACTGTGATGGTAGGAAACTAAACCCTAACCCTTTCTCTATGAGATTAACTGGAGAATTTGTTTTACACAGTTGGTTCCTTTTTGGTTCTGTTCATTGTGCTCGATCTCCAAGCTATGACAGACAAACATCAATCAATATCCGATATGTTATTCAATATACATGAAGGCCTATTTATGTTTGTAACATACTATACATTTGGATCTCTTCTCAACTATCCTGTTTATGGTGTGTTTTCATTGCGGTACATTACTTTATATTACGGGTCCTTAACATAGTTTTACCTTTGGATAAAGAAAGAAAACAGTCTCCCAACAGTCTATTTGTTATTCATGTTTGAGGTGTTTTAAACACCTGTATATGAGTTTTGTCAGCTACACCCTGTTGTAGTCTCTTCAGAACTCTCCAACAAATTAATATTATGTAATTTTATCTTGAATGAAGTTTTACAATTCACCCCGAGTTTGTTTCAGCTATACCCTCTTGTAGTTTTGGTTGTGTCATAAGAGTCTTCTCAGATTTTGGTTGTCTCCTGCCTCGATCATATCGTGTTGGATCTTCTGTCATTAAGCATTAGTATATCGAATATATCGCGAGTGTTTTGAAAATATCACCTTTCAACTACCCCCAATAGTGACTTTCATTCGTCTTGATCTAGCAGTGAATGTTTTTCTCGGTTTCCTAGTCTTCTGGAGTCCTTCTGTCAGTCTCATCTATGTACTTTCGTTTGCGTATACCGTTCTACTAAAGTAGTAGCTTCAATTCGCCTTGATATAATAGTGATCCTTTTGTCGCCTTCCTAATCTTCTGGAATCCCTCTGCTATTTTCATCTTTCTAAGTTGGTTTGTGTATGCAGTTGTGTACATCGTCGTTTTGTTCTCACCTATTTTTAACTACCTTACCTGTTGTTTCCACACCTTGTGCTTAAATTGTTGTTCGTGCACACAGTTTCCGATACTTCCGATGCAGATGAAGAATCCGGACTAGAATTTACCTGCATTAGTGGGTAGTGGCGGTGGTTTGATGCTTAAAACACTGATGTCAATTTATAACGCTTGTGACCGCCTTCTTGTAGGTCTTACTTCCATCAACGACCAGACTTTATTGATGCTGTCATCAATTCTTCGTTTTGCAATATTAACACCGAGACTTGGAAGTTGTTTGCCTATATTATCACACGATCCACATGAGGTCCTACATTTACGTCGTTTAATTAGATCATTCCTTACTTCATTTCATCACTTGCCTTGCATGCGTTATCTGACATTATGATCTATTTTCTGAACTAAATCATGCTGGAATTGAAACTACGCTATTGATTGTTTTTGGAACTCAGAGGGGAACGAGAGTTTTGTGTGCTCAATCATTGGACTCCGTTGCCAACTCGAATGGTTGTTATCGTGAAGTGATGTAAAAATTCAATCTTTAGTTTCTCACCTTCCAGTTTTGACTGTAAAAGTTCATGATGTTTAAGGTTTGCTGCTTTCTTGGTCATCAACGGTGAACGATAGACCTCGTTTTTGTTGCATGGCGAGCTGATAATCAGGAGTGAATTTTCCTTAAATTTACTCATATCGTATTTTTTAACTTTGTTTGCCCAACTCTTTCTTGCAAAAATTCGGAAATTGTGAAGGCTAGGATCTTAATTCGCGTATGGATCTTCCGTCTGGGTTGGTCTTCAGAACCATTTGTTTTAAGAAAATGATGAAGATTGTTATCGATAACTCTCCCTGTCCAAAGAATTCGAATAAATAAAGACTAGGGTCTTAGTTAAGCTAATTTTTGATATTGTAAGTGCGTCCTTGCTAATTTCCCTGGATATTTGATTCTTTGTCTGGACTGTGATTTGAATACGAAGAACGTGAAGAGTGGGAAGGAGCAAGTAGTTGATATATATCCGCTGGTGTTCTGGGCAAACATCTGTCTTGTCTAAGGGTCGGCACCCATTATGGGGTGTTGGGGTTACATTGCGAATTTACGTAATGTTATACCTCCTAGGTTTAAACCCAAAACTCTATTATGTGTTTCCACACGGCATAGTTATGTGACCATCTATGTCAGGGACATTCTTGATAAATTCAAGACTTAAATTACCTGTTCATGACAAGCAAGCTTAGAATCCCAGCTTTACTTTTAATTTGAAGTTAAGAAGCCCATTGTTGCCGTATGCTAAACACAAATCATTCTCTCCCAGATAATCTGTTTCGCTATTCGGTGTTAGAATGGCTTTTAAAACGAAGTGAATAGAATTGTGGCGTGTTGAACTTCTTGTTTATCACATCAGCAGGAGTACTTCCTTTGCTCAATCGGCTGAAGTATTGTAGGTGAGATAATATCAAGACTCGGCTTAAGGTGTCCAGTATTGCTGGCCGTGCAATTTTTTCGTCAATCATATGTGGAGAATGTAGATGAAGGGAAATCGTTGTCAGAGGACGAGTTCGCACAGCAGATGCGTCCCGGAAAGGATAGAGCCTCTAGAAGATGAGAAATTGATCCAAAGCGTTGGCTGGTTGGGAAATTTACAATTATGGTTTTTGGTATTTAGGTTTAGATATTGCACCAGACCATCTATTGGATTGTGGAAGCGGAGAGAAAAGTCAGTCTAAGTGCTTTGAATGGACTTAGAATAGGGATTTAAAAGGAACAGCATTAGCCTTGGCATTGGGCGTGGTATCATTGTGAACTTGATTATTTAATCAGTACCCTGATAAACAAGAGAAGAAACAAGTTTCCTGAGAAAGTCGTATGTCAAACTTGTTAAGCTACTTGGATGAAAGTTGTATGTGGCTTACCTTCTGCTTTCACTTGCATCTTTTGTCTTCTCCTCTTGTGAAGTTCATCCTTTTATCTGCATACAAGTGTGGTCACGTGATTGTTGTCAAAAAAAAACTTAATGATTTTGGGCTTCATGTCTGAGTAACTCTCTGTCGTTGAATAATTATACCTTCGATATGTTGTGCTGGTTGTGGAAGTAGCAACAAAGCAGGGTGCTTGAGTGTTACTTTCTCTTTATTACATACTTTCACAATTTTCTCTTCAGTTTGAAAAATTATATGAGTGATATAGAATATAATTGGTAGAGAGTGGAGTGCAGTGTTGTGCACTCTTTTCTACCGTGAACTTTTCTTAGTGGAACTTACACGGTTTTGTGCATTTTTGTTTTTAGTTGTAGGTCGTTTGTAGCTTATAATTGTACAACCGTCGAAGATGTTTTTAGGTTGGAAGTTTGTTGAGAATTCAGCTCTTAGAAGTTTTGTGGAGAAAAGTTACCGCGTAGTACACATGCGCGCGAGAGAAAACAGAAATTTATTTCTGAGAAAATGGCAAACCTATGTACGTCAGTTCTCAATGGCATCAATTTCCTCTTGTAACAGGGACGTCGGCGGGGGAATCATCTCAGGCTATGCTCAACAAACCCTTCTGATCAAATGTTTCAGGAACGAGGTGCGGGCAAAACAGGATCAAAAGACTCTTTCACAATTGAAGAAAACTTCTGTTGAGGAGATCCCTGTTGTTTTTTTATCTTTGTTTTTTGATAACTTCTACTTGTTTTCCATTGCCGCTCACGTCGCTTACACATATCAACTTAGAAACAGATCAAGGGATATGTTTTGGCGTATTCATTCTAGTCCTGTGATCATCCTGTCATTTCCAGGAACGTTGCCTTTCTAATGTTATCTGGCTTCCAGGTGTACATGCGCTATCCCGCAAGCAAAGCGTACGTTCGAAATGTATTGAAGAATATCATCCTGACAGCTGAGCAGGAAGGACAGGAGGTGCTGGATGACTTGTATGATATGCACTCCATCCTTTTTCAAACTGAAAAGGTTATTACAGTCACCTTCTATAGCTATTTCGCTAGCTCTGAACTTATTCGTTCAGATGGGAAAGTATTCTTCCATCGATTTATTATCGTTCTTCCATTTAGAGGTCATAGTGATCATTTCTGCATTATATTTAGCTTTGTCTTCATCGTTTTTTTCTGCGGGGGACCAGTGGGATGTTTCTTTTGAGATCTACTATTGAAGTCGTATACTTTATACACTTGCTGAAACCTGTTTAGCATGATATTGGTCACTGGCAGCAATTGGCAGAGCGATGCTACAAAACGATAACTTTTATGATACCTGACGAAACCATTTCAAACCTGACATGCACCTTGGGTGATGAAGGGATGTTGAAAGCCGTTGAGCGGAAGTTGGTGACACTAAGAGTGTCTCTCAACATGCTTGATGGTGATACTGGGTATGTTTCTCTTTTACAACTGAAAATCCAGCGAAATCTTTCACCATGATTGTCAAAGGCGAGGCTTTGAGTTACCGAGGGCTTTATAATCTAATTTTTGTCCTTTCCTTGAGAAGTAATTTAAAGGGATTTTGATTTTGAAGCACTCACTCGAAGATAACTTGTAGTCTTTGCTGTCAACAGATACTCCATTTGGCCTGCTGGACTTTTCCTATCGGAGTTTTTCCTGTATTATCCGGAGTTAGTGAAGGGTTATTCGTGCCTGGAGGTGCTGATTTCATTCCTGACCCTTTTGAAAGTTGGTTGGTTTTCCTGAAGTGATGATTTTCAATGTCTACGAGACTGAACGGGACGTGAGTATGGGTGTGCATACGCTGGACACCACCACAGCAGGGATAAGAGATTTTTACTCACAAGGGGCTTCGTGGCGTATTAGTGAGCTCTTCACGCAGCTACTAGATGTGACACACATACTGGGCTGGAATTTATCGGCATTTGTTATAGCATTTACAGTAATCGAGGACATCAGCGCAACCTGTGAAGTTAACGGTCAAAAACAATATCACCTCTTTTCCATGCCTCATCATCAGTCTCCTTATGGGACTTTTCACCCTAGGATCTCCTCAAACATGTCCTAATCGAGCTCCGGTTTCACCTCTTGATCATCATTTTGCTTCTGCTTTGCAGCTCGGCTCCGGGACAGGCATCTGTGGAGTTTGGCTGTCACGGTTGTCTTGTTCCAAGGTTCGATTACAGATCACTCTATATTGAGTCTGCAGTACATTCTTTAGGACTAGTTCTAGAGACTTATTTCTCGTTGCAAGCGAGTGGGGTCACTGGAAGGATGAACGACATTAGAGCTTACCAGCTCCTCTAAAATCTCACGAATTAGATTGTCTACTTGCAGTTAGTGCTCACTGACGGATCTCTATCAACTCTTGTGAATCTTCGTCACAACTTGTCGATCAACGGGATTTTGCAACCGAGTGGCGAAAACTTCCACACAACTCAAGACGTGAACAACCCTTTCAATGTAAGTGTCATCATACATGTATATCGGGACACTGTCTCACAAGCATTTTGTATCATGTTTAATGTAGGCCTTGTTATAATAATATGAGTAGCAACATGACGATGAGCAGTTTTAATCTCGAGTATGTGAAGGTCGAGTGTAGACAACTGCTGTGGGAGACGGCTACTCAAGAGGAGCTCGACAGTTTTAACGCTGAAGTCATGTAAGATATCTTCGGGGGATGTATTTCCATGAATGTTTTGAGTGGCAAATTTTGTTGTGAGTTGTCAGTGATTTTCTGATTTGTTTGGAGAAATTCTAACGTTAATTTTACTAATATTGGTGTGCAGTATCGGAGCAGATCTAATTTACGATCCGACACCCCTTGTCCCGATCTTGGCTGGGCTTTTACGGCCAAAACGAAATTCAAAAGGTAGCTCGAACTGCTCTCAGGTTACTCAAGACGAGCTAACGATCAACAGTTCTACTGAGAATGGTGAAGTTGGAAAGGTTCTACCAGAGAAGAGTAAAGGAGATGGGAACGGGTTGATCTATCCTGTAGCATATTTAGCCCAAGCTATCAGAAACGTTACGACGCTCGAGTTGTTTATCAGCATGGTCTCTCGAGCCGGTCTCGAGTTGATAGACGTAACAGATACAATGAAGCCTCCCAAGTGTCTGCCTGATCTGGACGGATTCGATAGGAGTCAAATAAGGATTCATAAAGTGTTTTACCCCTCATCGTAATCTGTAACCCGCTTATTGAGTAAAATGGCACATGCGGATTGATAACTCTCTCGTTGTGACCAACGTATAAACAAGGAGGCCTCCAGTAATGTACATTGGACTATCCAAGATGCTTTGTCTCAGACGAGCGAGAACCTCTCCGACATCAGATTATACTTTTATGTTCCAGCTGCTGCGGCTATCCCAATTCAATCACTACAGCTTGCTCAAGATGTCAGGTAAGTTGTCCGAAAGTGAAAGTTGTCGCATAACTCGAATCAACCCATGTCATCTGCTTGCACGTCGTGACAATTTTTTTGTATTTTAATTAGTTACAGTTTTGACTACGGGTTAAGTGGGTCCAGTCTTGTGGGCATGTGACGTAAATGGAGTCACTTGTTCACTTCAGACTCCACCGTTTGTGCTGAGAACATGTACCTCTGTATGGAGTACACCACAAGATTCACTTGTTTTTTATCTTATGTGGTACAGAATTTGGTTCATTTCAGAGGACGAAGATCTCAATTCACTCGCTGGGAAACTGGTCGATGGAAACGGGAGTGGAAAAATGTGGAGTGGAGCAGTTCTTGTTTTGGCTGCATGTGTACAACTGTGAGAACTTTGCACAACACTACTCGCGTGTTATGGAACTGGGACGTTTACATTTACATTTACATGGACGTGAAAGCGAGAGTGACGATGCACTATACCCACAAAGCGATGTGTATATTCCTTGTTTACCCATGTTCTTGCAGTAATGTACAGTTCCACTGTGAGCAGACCGAAGTCGCTCTAACTTGTATGTACTTCAACTAATAAGCATTAAACATATGAAAACAATGACCGCTGGACCTGTATGTGGAATTTAACTACTTTTAATCAGCCGCAGCCTGCCGGCCATCCCTCCGGCTTCAAAGCTTTAGCAGAAGCACCAATTTCCCATCCCCGCGCTCTTCTTGTCTCTTACTGAGTAGAGACTCAGTAAGAGACCGTGTTCCCCGTTTGCATATCTTGACCACAAGCCGTTCACTATCAAACTGAGTGAAGGATGCATGATTCAGGCCTGCGGGTCGTCTACGATGGGAGAAGCATAACAACTGATAAGCCAAGTTTGAAAAGAAAGGGAATCTCCTGCTATTAACAGAGTAAGCCAATTAATACATATGTTTGTATCTGTCGGGATCTTCGGAGCCAAGCTCGCAAGTGCCCCTACTCAACCAGTTCCAGATCCTACATGTGAGGGATCCCTGCCACTGTTGCAATGATTACATCTGTACAAACGTTTCCTCACTTCGGACAATGAAAAGCTGGAGTTACCAATGAGAGGTCACTTTGGGTCCTTGTCAATTGAAGGAGCTCTTCAGACTTGACTCTTCTGACGCAAACAAGAATCAACTCTTTTTCGCATGTTGAAACCAGCATATGTATCTTACAATTATATATCAGTAAATGTTGCCACGCTATATGTTTTAAGACAAGAGATAACACATAAAATTTCGCTTCCTCGGAAGATTTATTGAATTCATCAAGGATTTTGTTTGCACTTATAACTTACTGAAATTTAGACTCAAGTGGTATTGCAGTATTGATGATGTTCAGATATTAATGTCTATAACTGGTTATGTCCCATTGCTTACATTTTAATCCTATATTGATAAACTATATATATGTATTTGAAAATTACCAAAAACAATCATTTCCTTCTATACAATTTTTTAATAAAAACCAACTAATTGTAAATCTTAAAATCTAAATAAATAAAAACTTTAAAACTTCACCTACAATCTCAAAAATTTAAATCAAATTATATGTGATCAATGTCAAAATTCAAGAGTTTAATTTCTATCTAAAATATAAAAAATTTTGCAAATTTTAAATAAAGCTATCAAATATATTCAAATTTCTTCTGTTGCATAGTAATATGGAACGATGTGTGTTTAAGATGTGATTTTAAGTGAAAGTTTATTCTTAAAGCTTCTTTTTGTCATAATTTATAGTACATGGATTGAAAAAAACAAAATCAAAACACTTTTTATCAAACTTGAATCATGTAAAGTTTGTGTAAGGTACATATCTAATTACAAATTCAAATTTACAAAATTAAAAAATTAAAAATACACCCAAAGAAGGAATTTAGAAAATTGGTATTTCTTTCAAAAACTTGAAATAATTCAAAAATTAAGATATATATTTCCATTTTATGGATATTTTAATATAATTCATTTAATATGATATAATTTTGTATTCGAAATATTTTAAAATCCTGATATCTCAATTTTCTTTCATGCAGTTTTTCACTCATGAATATATTGAAATTGATCCTAACTTTTAACAAGCATCTATTCATGATAAATGTTAAGTAAAGTATTGTTTTATGAATTGACTGAGATGAAAATTTTATTCTTTTTACATTGCCTACAAATTACGCAATTAATTTAAAATCTTGTAATTTGCATTGCATTTTTGGAAATTGAAATTTTATTTTACTTAAATTATGAACTAAAAAATGAAAATAATATAAAAATAGATTAATCTGACCATAACAATGGCATGTAAGTGAAAATTTCATATTACTATGCAATCACATCTATCGTATCAAACAAGAACATTAAAGAATAAATTTCATACATCATATTTAAAATATAAAAAATTATTATCATTATTATTATTAATTAAAAAAAATTATTAATGCAAGTTTTAGAAGCTTCAAATATTATTGGATACAAAAATTATAGGTCAATTTATTGCATTCAGATTTTAGTATAGTCATAATAAAACATTCTAAAATTCCAATTATCAAAATTTTATATTGAATTTTTAATAATATATTTGAATTTAAAATTGAAATTGAATCTTAACACATGAATCTTTTTACTAAATGTGCTGATTTTTTAAGTTTTGATTTATGATGATTGCAAAGCCAAAAACTAGTCATGATTTAAAGATGTACATCAACTAAAAAAAATTAAATACTCAAAATTTCTATATTTACTTGAGTATTTAAAAAATTCAATTCTAATATTTCAATTTAAAAACCGAAATAATAATTCTTTAGACATTTTAAGATTTAATTAAAATCCCAAAGTATACACTTGTCTCAAATATTGGTTTTAAATGTTATCAATAAATCATTCAATTTATTAGCTTTAATCACGATTTCTTGATTCTTATTCTTATGCTTTTTTTTTTCAAAAAAACTAGCTGTAGAAAGGAGGAAACAGATATGTTTCAAACTTAATGAAGCTAGGCATAAATTAAATCAGATCTGTTATAATGAAATTTTACTATTATACAGTAAACCATAATTGTCATCTTAATTAATAATTTATATTTTCATTAATTTTATTTATTAAATATTTAATTTTAATGTTAATAGTAAATTTTTATAGAATTTTTTTATTCCATATATAAATTTTATATTACCATTATCATAATTTTTTGGATGAAAATCTGACATAACATGTGTGACTACATCTTTAGTCTCACATCTTTAGTTTGTTGTATTGAAAACATGTCAAAGATTTATTTCATTTAATTGATGTAATATGAAAATAATTTGGAAAATACGCACAGTAAATATATTAAAAAACACAAATTATTCCATATATCAATACAATTCCGTCAATTAGATTACGATAGAACGTTTCAAAGCTCATGAATTAAAATTTTTTGGCTCTCAATAAAGTGTAGTCATTTCATAAATGATTGAATCAAACAAGTTAACGAGTTTGACTACATTTAGAATATCTTATATAAATATCACCTTACATAACTTAATTACTATAATCCAATCAAGAGCTTAATGATTTAAGCTAAAGCATGTTCATATTTACATATTTTTGAATGAAGAACATACATCACCATGCATTAAACTAGAACATTGAGTATATAATTTCAATCAATTTTTATTTTATTATAAGTATTTTAAATGAAAATAATATTTCTCAATTTTGAAATTATATATATGTGTAGATATCCCATTTTTTCTAACACGCAAAGTGTTTCATCTCGAATATGAAATGATAAAGTTGATTTATTTTTTGTCAAATATATTTCATAGCTTGACTTATTATCATTGAATAAGTTTAAACATGAAAGTCAGACAATATAAAGTAAACATAAAGTAATGAATGAAAAAATCATTCTAAATGAGAATATGTTTTGAAAAAAAGTTTACTAGAAATTTGATCTAAAATTGGAATTGTTTACCTACTTTTCGAAAGATTTAAAGAAAATCACTCAATAGGATAACCGATGCAAATATATAACACTGTAAATTTTAAATCAATAATTATTTTAAATGTGTACTACAAAGAAACCTAAATAATTAAAATGAGTATAGTTCAGATCTATATCACTCAAGAAATTTGAACCATCAGTATTTGAACCAACACATTACTATTATGTGTTGAAAGATAATGATTGAATATAGATATTATGTTTAAAATTATTTAGCTGTTCTATTAGATAGAAATAAAAATATTAATGTCAAGAATTTTTTTTTTATCGATGTTCATTTAATATTTTTTATAGAAATAGAGACTATCCGTGAAAGTGTTCAACCAACGGAATGAAACTTTGAACTACATATTATCCAGATTCTTCATTAGATTTATCTTTCAATAGATTTATTATATACGATCTAATAGTTATCGACCTAGAGTAATTTATGGTGAAATCATAATATAATCTTTTTCAATATTTGACTCTTAGGTGTACTATTAAACTCTTACGTCTCAGATGTAAAAAGGAATCCTCACATCATTAATTGTAAAGAAAAAAATGTAAATAAATTGAAATTTTTCTACATGTGGCAATCGCACGTTTATTCATGGTATCGGTAACATTAATGCCTGCGGAACCAGGCATTACGTGAAGCAGAACATGGTTCTTCGAGAAGATATCAAAAGCTGAATGTCGAGTCCAGCGCTACTACTATAAACAGGATCAACGGCTGCACCCGACGTCTCACAGAAACCTGCACCCACTAAATAAAGAACGTGCCCATGTTTGGCGACAGGGCCAACAAGCGTGCTGATTAGACCTGATAGCGCCTATCTTGCCCTTTCAGAATGCCTCTGTCATTAAGCACATCGCGCAACGCTCATGCACGAACGAACCTCCTTCAGACATGTCATGTTCCCATCTCATCCAAGTCTCAGTGCCACCAACTTTCAGTCCAACTTTCGCCAGTCCCACCCGATCGACCCTTGGTTATAAATGGTTAGTTGGCTCTGTGTCCTGGCTGTCACCTGGAGAACTACGCTACATACTACGTCCTGCTCGGCTATTAATCTCCAGCAGCGTTATAATAGACATCCGCATGAAATCGGGCTGTTCTGAAACTCTTGCGACTTCTCGAATTCCGCCTCGGCAGCACCGTGAGAAGCCACAAGTACAAAGACTGCTGCAGTCTGTAGAAGGAAAAGGCTTGGAAGGAAGCCAATGGATGAATCGAGAATGGGGCTCTGGCCTAGTCTCCACACAAATGGGTTCTGGGTTGAATTCAAGATTTCTTGAACGTGTACTCCAAACAAAGAGAGGGGACGTTACAGATCGCAGCACAGATATATTGCAAAGGAAAGGGGAAGGGGCGAATCCTCCTGTCGACGACAATAAGCCACAGAGTCATACTGAACCGTGGATCTCGAGCAATCCATGGTTAGTTGGCAACAGTCACGGCTGATATGGAGGACGTGCATAATGGAAAGATGCACCATCGTACAGTAGATGTACTGTCCAGGAGTTCGAAGGCGATCGCCGTCGCGAGGATTATGACAACGCTACGTTTCAGTTCTGCGCCGTTGCCCTGCAGTCGCGAGATCTACACGCGACACAGTGGATGCGGATCGCAATTTTGGGGCCGGTGTGGGACGAACCCCGTTTTTTTATCGGTGATTGGATTCTTCTACGACGGCTGCAAACCGAATTAGCAAAAATGCAGACCTCTTTGAATAATTGGAAAGAAAGGCCAGATCGACACAGAAAGTGAGTGAAAGAGAATCTGACTCCTAGTGCAGATGATGGATCGACTGAGATTCTGGAGCAACAGCAAGACTGCCTAGCAGATCCCACATGCAAAGCTCGTGAGGTAATAGCAATTGTTGACAGAAGCCAACAGGTTTCGGCTGTCATACAAATACTACCTCCCCATTTGAACAGCAACAACAACCCAATCCCAGGATTGGGTTCAAGGGGCAGCTAGCGAGCCCTCCTCCTAATGCTGCTGCAGCTGCCGCTCTTCCTCCTGGACATGCTGCTTCCGAGGGTGCTAGATTTTGGAATCGAGGATGGGAATATTGCTCGCCTCTCTTCCCGCCAATTAGACTGTTGATATGGTTAACGTATTGAGAGATGGTAAGTCGATGCCGAGTTGACGAACGGAGAATGACATTGAGAGGGATAGGTTGGTGAGAAAGTGCCATCAACCGTCAGTCTTGAAGTCTTGAAAACTGGCCGCAGTTTGAACTCGGGGTAAACTTAAGATCGGGTGCTGTACAGCAAACATAAACCATTGTTTGGGGGGGGGGAGAAAAAGAGAGGGCGAGAGAAGTATGTCCATGAGCCAATATTGAGTCTAGTGGAGGACAGCAAGGATGCAGGTAGAGTGTAATGCATTCGTACACTGATGGTGTTTCCCATGTGTCCGGGGATGGTTGATTTTTGGTGGGACTGCAAGTTGACTTGCTTAAGACAAGGAGGAAGAAAAAGAGACTTTCGTACGTGAAGCGAGCACATGAACGAGATCAACCTCGGCCCCACCGTCGCCCCCTCCAAAGTCCAATGCAACCCTGTAAACGTATTTCCAAGAAATCACCAGAAAAACCGTTGACCCCGAAGAATTGGTGCGCAGATGATGAAGAAAAATGTACCGAACAGTGATGCAAAGAGAGCAGCAGCAGTAGAGCACGGAGATGAGGGCAAGCTATTAAGAGGGCGAGCACCTCGCAGTGAAAGGTAGAGGTGTAGTAAGGCCTCCTAGAGCGAGCGAGAAAAGCAGCCCCGGCGACGCTCGGTGATCGCTTGCTCGCTCGACTGCTCGCGGCGAGTAGAGAAGCGAGGAGCGTGAAAGAGCGCGTGCAGTTTTGAGGGTGCCAGAGTCCATCGATGATTCCAAGATAGTGCAGCTGCCTGCCTGCCCGCGAGTCCCCGAGTAACGGTCATCAGGCAGCCGCACACCAGCACGCGGACAGTTGCCACAGACAGAGCCCTCGGAGAGAGGCACGCGCTACTATCCGTCCGGCCGTCCGTCCGCTCCTCATCCACACTCTTCGCTACTCGATAGCGAGCCCGCCAGCCCTGACCCCATCTCTGACGGGAGCCCCTCTTTTTTCCGAGAGCCGGCCCGGATTCTGCCTCAGACGTCGCGGGCGTCAGCTTTTCTGCTCTCGGCGTTTGTCTCGATCGCCCGGACCGCTTCCGGAGGCGAAGGTCAATCAGTGGGTACATTCAAATGCTCGCCGGTTGCCCGCACTACTGTTGGTGCAAATTATGCTTCTTCTTCTGCGCATGCATCGAAGGCCTTGCGAGCCTCGCGTTCTTTGAATATTCTTGGCTGCGATGATGATGGACCTGATTGTGCATTGCTCGTTCAGGTTTCGCAACACGAGGAGGCCGGAGCCGTCGTCGTGTGGCTCGTCCGGTTCGTGCTCGCGGGTGTGTGTCTAAGCGCGCGGCGTCGAGAGGCAGCGCGGGCATTTTTCTGCGATTTTCTGCGTTGGCAGCGGTTGCGGCGTAGGGCAGGCAGGGCCCGCGTAGACATGCGAACTCGGTCGTTCGCGTGACTGGATTTTGTACATAAAAAAAGAGGCGGCTGTGTTCACTCTCAGAGTTGAGAGGTGGGAGGTGTGAGCGCGGCCGGTGTTGAATTCGGGATCGACAATGTCATCAGCCGAAAGCACGACGATGGCCCAGCGGAAGCGGGAGAAGAGACCTGCTTCTTTTGCTGATTTCATTGTCCAATTCAGATGGATTGTCGTGGTGCCCGTGGTGCTGCCGCTGTCGTTCATGTTCTATCAGTACAAGGCCTGGCAGCTCACAATACATCGCTTTCTCCATGGCCCTTCGAACGATGAGACTCACGCCGAAGCCATCAAGAAGGTGCAGAAGAGAATCCGTGAGAGGAAGGCCGCCACCGACGGGCTCATCTGCACTGCACGACCCCCGTGGTTGGGAGTGGCTTTGAGAAACAGCGAACACAAAAGATCAACCAGGTTCGAGGTCGAGCTCGGGCACCTCTCGACCATCGTCTGGATTGACAAAGAGAAAAAGCTCATGAAAGTCGAGCCTATGGTGTGCATGTCTCAAGTGAGCCATGCTACTCTGAAACTCGGTCTTGCACCCGCGGTTCTTCCCGAGCTTGATGATCTCACCGTCGGAGGTGTCATCAATGGCTACGGCATTGAGGGAAGCAGTCACATTTACGGCTTGTTCGCCGAGACTTGCACTGCTTTCGAAATTGTGCTGGGTGATGGAACTTTGGTCAGATGCACTGCCGACAACGAGCACTCCGATCTGTTTAAAGCCATTCCATGGTCTCATGGATCTCTTGGGCTCCTGGTTGGAGTTGAGTTCCGTTTGATTCCCGTGAAGGAGTATATGCGCGTCACGTACACACCTGTGCATGGAGACTTGAAGAAAATTGCCCAGGTCTACACCGACCTTTTCTGTCCTCGCGATCTTGACCAGGACAATCCAGAGAAGGTGGGTCTAACACTTCCATGCATCATCCACGCCCAAAGAAAGGCTGCAAGAATGACAGGAGGAGTCATGTAGCCGCGCTTCAGCATCTCAGTCCCTCTTAAAGGCTTAGTGATGGCAGGATTGTCAAGATTCTCAGCAACTGAATTTGCTCTTGAATTTGAATTTCAATTGCGTCCGCCCGGAATGCTGCGCGGATTCCATGCATCGAGGGTTGTGAAGAATCGACCAACACTAGTCATCTGTGAAGATTGCACTCAGTGTGACGAAAGTAAGACATTTTGAGAAAGGCTCCAGAGATTGCGAACAAGGAGTTGAAGTAAATGCTGAAATCGGGGACTATCAGTTAGATACTAGAAAACGATCCTGATGGCCGGGCAGCTTTTTGGTTGGCCGTTCCCACCGCCATCCACTCCCAGTATACATTCAAGTTTTCTCTGAATCCTGCGACGATCGAACAGTCGACGCTGTTGTCGGACCGTGTAGTTCTGTAAGCGGTGTTTCATGTTCGCGCAGCGACAGAGTTACCCATTCCGAGTCGTTCGAGTCGGGAGTTATCCGGGATCGGCTCGCTGAATGCTCGTAACATCTTCTTGTGTACTCAGGGATGGCAGGAAGCAGGATTAATTAGTCGTGGCTGATGCCAGAGAAATGTTTCCGTGATTGCAGGTGCCGGACTTCGTGGAGGGTATCGTCTATTCGGAAAAAACAGCCGTGATCACCACCGGTCGTTATGCTAGCTACGCTGAGGCTCACAACAAGGGCAACAAGATCAACGCTCTCGGGTGGTGGTTCAAACCTTGGTTCCACATTCACTGTGAGAAAGCCTTGGAAACAGGCGAGTTTGTGGAATACGTCCCAATCCGACAATACTACCATCGCCACACTCGCTCTCTGTACTGGGAAGGTGGTCTCATTGTTCCCTTCGGTAACCACCCACTGTTCCGCCTTTTTCTTGGATGGTTGATGCCTCCTAAGGTAAGAACTGGAGTCGCGATATCAATCTCTGCAGTAGACGATCCATAAATTTCACAATTCGGTCCATTCTGAAGTGCTAGCGGTGAAGACTCAAGCCTATGATTCAACGTCATGTATATACGCGTTCGCCTGTCTGCCTGACAACTATCCCTTTGTTTTCCTCTTGTTGATCTCGGTCTCGATCAGGTGAGCATTCTCAAGTACACACAAAACGATGCTATCCGCAAGTACTATATTCAGCGCCATGCTTGCCAGGACTTGTTGGTCCCACAGCACAAGGTCGCAGAATCTCTCGAATTTTGCCATGACGCCTTTGAGGTACGACGTCTTACAAAGGCCGATGACAGAGGAATATATTTCGTAACCAAGTTCCGCCCGTGCAGTTTCAAAGATTAGTCCTGTGTATTATCAGGTACTTGCCATCGAAATGGATGTGCGCAGAAACTGAACTGGCATTGTTATCTTGCAGACCTACCCCGTGTGGCTCTGTCCCCATCGATTGTTCAAAATGGAGTGTGGCACTATGCTCGATGCTGAGAAAGGGTACGCTAAGAACAAGAAGCCGGGTGACACAGATTACGCACAAATGTGGACAGATGTCGGAGTTTGGGGGGTTCCCGGGCCAGTTTTGCGAGAGGAGGTTTGGGACGGTGTGGAGGCTACCAAGAGCATGGAGAAGTGGCTTAGAGACAACAACTCTTACCAGTGTTTGTATGCTGTTGTCGAACAGACAGAAGAGGAATTTTGGAAAATGTTTGATCCCACTTTGTACACTGCAATGCGAAGAAAGTACGTCGCTCACCATCAACTCCAAGTACTGGTAGTGCCTGTCTCTTTCTGTTGTGTAAGTAGTGTCAATAATGCCCTCCTATTGAACAAAATCTCTCTTTGACTTGCAGATATGGAGCAGAAGGAGCATTTATGCCCTTGTACTACAAAATTTCCAACACCAAGAAGACGCCGCAGGCAACGAAGAAGGAGAAGAATCTATAAGATCACACGTACAAGACTCACTTCTGTCCCATACAAGTCTGTACTGCGGCCGGATTGTTAACTTTCTGTCATTAACCTTGCACCATTGTGTACATACCACTCTCCGCAGAAGATGTTAGATTAGGTCTGCTGAGGCGGAACTTTTTGACACCCGAGTCGCAAAGATTTCTCTTGGAAAGTAAAGTGGAGTTCCTATGCCATATAATTTAAGTTCGATCTCATCTAATTCGGGAACCCCACCCAAATTGTAACCTGCGCTCGGTTTTTATGCTTGGGACTCAGTTCGATCAACATGGTCTAATGTCCAGAGTGAATATGATTCGTGTCTCTTCATGGGTCCCTTTTAGGACAAACGAGGGTCATGCCTCGATGTACAGGCTTATGTCTTCACAGCCTTCAAACAAACATGTAGTGTGAAAGAAGAGGCGTATCTCAGCTTTTGTAAGCAGGCTCCTTAAACTAGACTAGCAGTTTTGTTATAGACTAGACTATCTGTGGTAAATATGACATGGTTTTGTCGTTTCTTAGTAATGTACGCTCGTTTGTTTTGTTCTAGATGTGACGGTCACTCGTCGATTTGTGTAGGGTGGAGATTAGCCAAGTTAGTACTGGATTTTGGTGTGCATTGTCGTCCACCCTCACACGAGGTATTTAGACCTCCATGAGACACTATTGAATAAACGTTCGACACTCAAATCAGGTTCCCAACTGGAAGCCCTGCGGTTTGATTCCCGGTATGTCTCGCACCGTCCCCCCTGTTGAGGAGGCTGCTTCCAAATTAGACCCAAGATTCATCGATATCAGACGAGATCGGATGTGCCTCGGCAATTTCTGCCAGCCCTGAACGGGAGCTTTGTTCTCGTGTTTCGTATACTAACTCCGGGATGGATTATCTTTCCGCATGAAGGGACGTGAACCCGCATGACACAAGACTACTGGAAGTGGACAGTACCAAAACACTCCCAGATGTGCGAGTGGAGGCAATTAAATGTCCGAATGATCGTAGGCTGAGGATGATACGAATGCTGGAATTCGGATGCGTCAGACTGTCAGAGTATAAGAGTAAATGAACGATAATAGATAAGATAGGGGACATTATACGGAACCACATCTTACGTCTATCGAGATCTGATGTATTAGATCTTACCACTTGTACTTTACATGATTCATACTCTGAATCGGTGCAGCTTAGCTGGTTCTAAGTACAGTCGATCCTTACCTGATTGAAGGACAGGCCATAGTCAGACAATTGAAGAGTAACGACATATTGGGTAAATTGGAAATAATAAAGTAAGAAGTTCCAAAAGTCACACTTTGGCTCATGAAATAAGCAAGGAGTTTCTCGAAATTGAAAATAGAAAGTAAAATCTAGTGAGTGGATATTAGTGTATGTATCTAGAATCCATTTGAATTATTTAAGATGATATCATATTATTAGCACGTGATGCAATTAGTTTACATAACATTTTGATATTTTGCTTAACTTTTGTATTCAAAATCAGATGGAGATAAATATGGAAAAATCAAAGTTCATTCTTTTGTACACTAGAACCAAATTCTCTCTCTTTTATAAATGATTAGAATTGAAACAAGTGAAAATTTACACATATTTAGGCATTGATTTTTCTCAAAATTATAATTGGACATTTTGTGTGCAAAAGAGAGTAGAAATTGGTTACAAAGCTCTATATTCATTGTTAAACCGATATAGAAGAGCTCATCTACTGTCTTGGAGTTTTAGGAAAATTTTATTTAGGAGTTTAGTGTTGCCGGTTTTATATGGGACACAAGTGTGGGGTATTGGGAATAAGAAGACAAGTTGGGTTAGTTTGGAGAGGGTGCAAAAGATCTTCTTACAAAAAGAAGTAGGTGTAAGGAGCCAAACTCCTTATATTATTCTTCTTGCGGAAACAGGTTATCTACCTTTCGAGGCTGAAGTTCTCTACTTGAAAATCACTTATATTAGAAGGGTGAGATCTCTTGATGCTTCTCGACTTCCTCTTCATGCTTTGCGTGCCACATGTTCCAAGGGATGGTTTGCAAATGTGATAACTTGGTCTTTGAGGTGAAATGTGATAGAACTTGATTGGGATCTGCAACATATGGCCCTTCGCAAGCGTATTAAAGAAGAATTTCTCAACATCATTTGGAGCCGACGAGGCACCAAAATGCATTTTTATCAACTTCATGTGAATCATATGCTTATTTATTGTGAGCAAGGATACCTTGTTGTTGAGATCTCTACATCTTTACTTCATATTATTGCCAGACATAGAACAGTATCTCATAGGTTTGGAGTCGAGGAAGGTTGTTGGTCGAATATTGATAGGATTGAACAGATTTGTAGACTATGTGATGGGAGAAATGTTGAGTATGAAGAGCATGTGTTTCTTACTTGTACTAGATATATTGATATTAGAGTGGGTCATAAAATTGTTGAGAATTTCTATTTTTTGCTTCAGCCTGAGCATTATGATTTAGGTTGTTACATTAGAGATGTTATTAGTTTTTGTTCTAGTGCTTTGGGCACTAGCTAGGAGGTTCTTTTCTTTCTCTCCTAGGTTGGAGTTGTTTGTATTGTGCTTTTCAACCTTTTGACACTTTGGGTACCACGGGCTTGATCTATTTACCATTCCATTAGACTTATAAACCTGACACATTAAAACTAGAATCGGATTGGAACAGATTTTTATCTATTCTGTTTTGATTATTTATCTATTTCTAGATGAACACAATCGCTTTCCGAAAATTACATATGAAGATTTTGACATCCAATTACTACTGCTGGAAACTCAAGAATAGCTACAAAAATGTAGCTAATTAATCATGGAAAATTACACATTCTATAGATTTATGTCTTCTCGAAAGCAAATCCAACAATTTTCCACCAATTCAATCATCACAGGTTTTCATTTCGTGTGAATTAAGATTGAGTTCTATCGTTGGATCTACCATTAGCCGTGAATCAGATTGAATCATTTAGCTGGATGTAACATTTGACGTTTATTGGGATCAAAGATATCATCTTCAAATTTGCATGATAGTATTGAATTAGCTTAGTTCTCTTATCAAACTTTGACACTAAATACAATTACAGTAAAGCTAATGTCTAAAAGTAGATTAACTCAGAAGCTCAACATTACCCCACGATGGACTTAGCTTGAAGATAGTTTGAGAAAGTTTTGTCGATTAGATTGCAACAATACCTACTAGTCTTTTACTTTTCAAGTTGAAAATTTGAAAAGCGAAAGAACCAATAACCCACACCATCTTTACTTTATTATCACATGGCATTATCTTGATTATCTGATTTAATTATAGATAAAAGAGTTTGATAAGTTTTGATGAATACACTTTGCATTCACATCCAATCATTTCTAGAGTGAAAGTTATTCATCAATTTTTAGATATTTTGCCTACTCCCAATGTCTCTCCTCGTTCAGAAGAATTACAAGATCATAACTCTACGGAGGTAGATACATTTATTGGAAAAAATGTTGGATAAAACACAAAAAGTGATGCATCCACAAATAAAATTGACAATAAGAAATTAAGTGATTCTTCACGTGATTTGTTGTCGTCAAATTTGTTAGTCAGATTCAAACTACGCTCTATGGGGTTACAATGTGTTATGCATATCATGCTTCAATCTTGATAATTGTGTATTTTATTCACATTCATACCTACTTCTTTCAAGAAGATAAAAACGCATGAATCATGTGTTGCCTTTGACATATTTATTTAATTGGAAATCATACAAGAAACTGATCATTTTCTGTTTGTCATGATTATTCATGAAATTATGTTTAGATTTGAGTTGAATCAAAATTTACAACATAAAGAGAGTGGTATATTAACGGTCAACTGAAACCTAGTTCTAGTACTAGGGTACTAGAACTTCTCCTATCTTTCGAATCTACTCTCATACTACCTCAATCAATCAACCCGAACATTCATGCTAGTCTACTTACATGGAGAGGACCATTCACAACGCGCATTACTCACTTGTTGTAGACAATTCTTTCACTCAACCCTCGAGCCCTTGGTTTTTTTGCCAAGCAAACTACGACATATCCCTATCGTGTAAAATAAATATATATTTGGGATATTTTGTTGACCTGTCCAACAAGAACGTTCAGCACAAGCAGTTTTGTTCCAAGACCTGAACCTTGGGCAGTGTAAATATTGGCGGCAGGCTCCGCTTCGTCCTGACTTGTGCCTTTCTCGATCTAGCTGGACAAAGAAAGGCACACGAAAGTTCCAACGAATTTCCTAGAACCTTGAATCTCTCCCTTGTGCTAATTAACGCTAGACTGGGTCGACTAGTGGGTGAAAATGGCAAAAATGACTGTAAGGCCAAGACATAAGAAGCCAAAAGAACCACGTCTGAATGGCTCTCCAAAGGCCAGGACAGAAGCCTAAACTCCCTCGTGGTACATGCTGTAGCCATGACCAGGTATACATAAAGTTCCTCTACGTGTATCTACAAGGGACTCGGGTCTGCATGCAGCATTCACTCCGGATTTCGTTTCGTAGTACTAAAATGAAGTTGGATAATATGAGGTTTTGTTGCATTTTTTAAGATTTCATTATTATTTCATCCCATAATGCCAGAAGTGTTGAAGTTTATTTTACTCACTGTTACATTGAGGTGCGCTATGACCACGTTCATGGGAAGATCCTTACGATATGTCTCCACAGATGGTACTACGTGCTCCAACCACTGGCTTGCATCTCATCCGCAGCAGATGGATTCCAAGTTCCAGGAAAATTGTTGGACATAACCCTTAATTCATTTAGCAATTTCACGCCACAAAAAAATATGAAAATTTAGGGCCGAAGGCGCAAAGCGCAACAGACTGTCCAATATACCGCTTTTATTTAATATCTCATTTCACTCTAGATTTGAGATCAAATTTGTCTTGTGTGAGAACTGAGTCAGACCAACTTCTCACAGTCGAATCTATGTTCCCACTCCTGTATGCCCTAAGTACGATCATTATGGCTTTCCTTGGCGGCACAGATACACACACGAACTCCTCAGGAAGAGTGGAGCATACAACTGAACATTGACAATTTAAACCCGCACATGTAGCCTCCACCTGAAATGACCTATCTTTGGGTTACTTGTTTTCACTTATAAAGCATGCTGTTTTGGAAGCTTTTTTTGGAAAATGCAGGAGATAGACTTCATGTGAAGTTAGGAGGAGTTGGATTAGACACTACTCTCAATTTCGTTTGGGACTTTCGTCACTGGATTTTGACAACTACTGTACCTGGTCTTCTTCTGGCGTCGTCGAGTCCAGTTGGTGTGCTAAACACTTGATGCCAATGCCGCAGTTAAACCTTAATATGACTGCGTAAAGGATGTTACAATAGCAATACAGGAGGAATGTAGATGATTGCAAAGCTGAACTTATATCTCAAGCATTTCCCCCCGCCACCTCTGGAAACAGCACAAATGTACCAGCAAAAATGAACATAAATTCAGGACCTTTTACCATGACAAAAATCATGAAGGAAAGGATAATTAATGTACAGAACCTAGTCAGGAGTGAATTGTCAAGATCAATAGTTTGCTTGTATGTATCCAAATCACCCTCAGCTGAAAACGGGTAAGTCGAGGGCCTGTCGACAACAGGCCCCTTTGAAGCGGGATAGAATTGTGCGCTCGGACCAGTTGACTATACGTTTTAGTTATGAGTCGTTCGCAATGGACCTGACTGGATCGGATCCTTTTAGAAACAAGGATTGAAATACCAGGCAAGTATGCAGATTCAATCTTCGAATTTAATTCCAGTGATTCCACCAAGTCCCGATAGTTTCGAATGAGTGGAAACAAGGGCGGTCACGCCGAGTTGTACATGTCTGGCAGCATACCCGCAGGAGGAAACTGATGGAGAAAAGAAGGCCCGGCAGAACGACATTGCTTCATCTGGCTTTCATTATTTTATAAGCCAGGGGCGTGATAAAAAGGAAGGAGAAAGCCATCTGACGCTATTTGTACGAAAAGAGCACAATAACATGACGAAAGAGCTCGGGGAGTTCAATGTCGTGTAAATCTGTTGCATGCAAATCACTTAAATGCATAGACTGGCGCTTAACTCTCAGAAGTGTCTCTTCTTGCGATTACTGTACATGTAACTCATAAGCTTACTAAATGTAAATTGGGGTTGAGCCATAGTTTTTATCCACTCAGTTTGATAGCTCACTCTTGAAAATATCGTGCATGATCCACTAACTCTAAGAACACCTTGAAAGGACACGGAAGCTGTCAAGCACGTCAATGTCAAACTCGATAAAGCTTCCATTGCAAGCATTTTGACACTTTCTTTTTGTTAGTTGGGTTCGAGCTACAAATGAAGTACATCGTTGCAAGTGAATATGTTAAAAAATTGTACAAGCTTTTATGCAACTGTCCACAGAAAGGAATGTGCAATAGTAGCTAAGAAAAACGTCGTTGTGAGTGATTTTGGTAAAGAGTTTTAAGGTAAAGATAAGTGGCTCCGATCGCAGCTCCGCATCGGTAAAGCCAGTACATCGCAAGCGTTTGAAGATATTTACCAATAATTATAGAGAGGAAGACAGAAACAACTTGGAAACAAAAGCAGAGACCTGGCCTGTTCAAGGAGATCAACGATCGATTTGCAACACTGCAGTTACAAATCCCTGTCACCAACGTAGGCCCGATAATTACTCCAGCTACCCTCACACATCTCCGTCCTTCATAGTCTCCTTGTATGAGATCACTCTACTACTACCACTAAACCTCTTTGCAAGCTCGCAGAGCCGTCACACGAGCCAAAAAGGTACAGAAATGATTGCACGAATCTAGCCCAGCAAATTCTGTTAAGCTGACAGAGAGGACAGGAACATGATTCATACTCATACAAAAACCTCGAACTTCGATAGTTGTGAGATTGCCCAAGTCTATTCAAGAATGAGTTTCTCTAACTTCAAGATGTATCAGTTCTTTATATCAAAGACACTTAAACGAAGGAAGTGCAGGCCCTATGGCATTATTCAAATAAGATCAAAGATCGCTTCATTAGAGGCATCACTGGGTTTGTGACTACCGTGTTAAGACCTCATCAGTAGCATCAATCTGCAAGGGCAATCTTTCAGCCTGGGCACAAATTTTAAAAGCCAAACTTCCGATATAGTGCTCCAAACAGGAGTGCAATATCCACATCATCATCAATGTAATGATTGCTCAGAAAGATAAGGCAGAATAATGACGCTGTAAATAGAATGACGAGTTGCAGCCTTGCCTCAAAAAAGGCCGCATCAAGATCCGACGACTCACCTCGTTTGGAATAAGAATAAAAATGACTAGTTGTTCTTCTGATAAAATAGGTGAAATATATAACAATGATCGAGTAGAAAGTGCCCAACCCGACGGAAGCTGCAACTTTGGTGAAGAGCAATGTTGTCTTACTGGAGCGAGAAAAGACGGCATTTTCTGAATGGAACAACCTACACAAAAATAGATAAAGAAACCGAAACAAACATTTAACTTGGCGCTTTAAGAGGACATTTGAACTCGACGTGATCCATCCTCACTCCTCATCAAGCAACAAAGTTACGACTGAAGGTTTGCGGGAACAGCTAATGTGTGCGATGGTCAACAACAGCGACGTAAGGTTATTTACTTACAAAATCCATAGTTGTTTCAGAGATTCAAAGTTCGAGGGCTGTTGAATACTACAATCTTCCGTCGTGTGTTCAGCAATTTCCACTGTTTTCAGGTCTGTGGGACTATACTTGCAAGGGTATGTGCGATTAACCTGCATGCACATGTTCAGCCTTTCAAGGTCAATTTCTTAGAGATTATCTAAACCAAGGGAACTGTTGTGAGGTTACGAACCTATTTCTGCAGCTTTTGTATTTCATTATGACAAGCATTAATCCAAACTTACAGTAACCCTCCTAATTAAGCAGAAACGACTAAATAATACTGGAAGGTAGAGATTTTATTTCCTGCCTCATAAGTCTCCTTGGTCCTCCAAGCAACACCAAAAGATGGCCTGCACTTCAAAGGAAGCGCTTCTCTAGGTGCTTCGGCACCTGCTTGTACAGCCGATTGAGAGGCATGTGGTGTGAACTCGACCTTACGTAAGAAACCACGTACAATTATAATAAATACAACAGATAGGTTACTAGTGTTAACAACAAATGTCAGTGTTCGAATGTCCAATTCTATCTATTACCGAACTGCAGTGATCATGAAAACACTAGCAACTGCGCAGCAACTGGAGGGAGTAAATGTATCCATCTCCATATCACCACTTAATTCCTACAACTTCGGCGCTCATGAACACACACAATTCTATCGGTGATGTAGTTATCTCTCCGCAGAAAACGCCACTATGTTAGAGTCAGAAAGTTACATCTGCTGATTATGATCGATACTGACAGGGAGGAGCTTTTACTTTAAACAAGGCGAGCTTAAAAATGTGTTGATATCTTCAATAAGCGTCTATAACTACAAGTCCAACGATAACAACATCACTTAGCCCTCAGGTAAATCACGTGCTCCCAACAACGTAAAGCGCAATGCAGAAGTGGTGTAGGCACTGCTGAGCCTCATACCGCAAAATTATCATTACACAAAAATCACGATGCCTGCCCTAAATGGAACCCTGGAAAGGTGAGAAGTACCTTAAAAACGGAGGTCCAGTAGTAGTCCAAAGAACACTTGTACTTGGCAGGTGTATCAATACCCCTAACTCCTTTTAAAATGTGGGGCAAATCGCCATCGCACACCTTTGTTGAGCGTATGTCTACGCCTGAAACAACACAGGTGTGTTAAGCTATCCCAGCTGCTGTAAAGTGCAAAATGTAGCAACGGTTCTGCGTATCGATAATTTGTGATATACTGGAACCCTTACTTCAATATGATTTAATCATCGGATGTCGGTTGTCGTGCAATGACCATCCGTGGAATTTGGTCATGAGAAAAGAACACGAAGAGAAATTTCCGCCACTGTTTCTATTAGCATTGTTGGTTGGAAATGCCAAACGTACCAGCTCCGACCTTCTATTCTCGGGTGGCTCTTTTCTAAAGCATTCATAGTGGATAGTTTTTATGAGTAAAACCTGCGTTGATACCATGACGACTCTCTCAGAGAGTGCAATGCTGATGGGCGTCTTGTCTGGTTCCATAGAGAAAGGAGGAAGCCGCGCCTGTTAGCTAGTATTATGCTTGAATTTCCTAAGGTTAAAAGGTGAAACTTTTTCGCGCTCAAAAATTGTGAGAGACAGTGATGGACAGACTATAGGCGTATTTTACCAACTCAACAGGGCAAGGGGACCTGGAAGACGATAAATTGAAATGTTTAAAATGCCTTGAGTCATTATCAACGAATCTCAATACAATTCTGCTGAAGGAGCTTCAACTGATAGCCACCAATGGGGAACATAAAACTTCCACTCCGGCGTTTTTGTGGGTCAATCTAAACCAAATATTACATAACTTGGTTACGACGAAGATTACATTTCATACTTACTCCCGGCCAGAAATTGACCAAGTTGAGCGGAGAAGGTGAAAAAGTTGCCGATGTCTAGAATTATACTATTATTTGTGGGGAAGATTTTTGGGGTGAACTCTTAAAAATTGTTTTATTTTCTTTAAAAAAGGGAGATAAATTATGTGCATGTGCGTTGAGGCTCAGTCAAATTAGGCCCTATTGTAGCAATATGGCCAAGTGAGAGTGGTATCTCAGGATGTGGTGAGACTGCACAAGCGACAACTGATCGAAGGATTGCATCATTCACCAATGGCAGTTATTCTAGGTATATATAGACATTCTGGAGGACAATCACAAGAACCCCGCAAAAAGTTACGAGGGCTAAGTCATCACAGGCACAAAGGTCCAAGGGCAAAGACCCATTCACGTCTGATACGCGAATTTGTATTTGTATTTGAATCAGTAGAGGCTGAGGATTAAAAGTGCCCTTAGTGACCAGGTACCCCATAACCGTAAGGAACTACTCCAGAAGTACGAGGGCGTTTATACATCAGGGCAAGATCCGCTAAATCAATTGAATCGGCTGAAGTGAAGTCAGAAACAGAGAAAATGAAGGAGTTAAAGCGGAGGCTGAGACGGATTGTCGAGTTGACCTGACCTTTAATACGGTGACCCTGCAATGGTCGTTCGCTGGTTATCGTCTTCAACTTGCTTTCAAAAGCAGAAATCATCCCATTCAAATGAAGGTTGAGAACTATTGTCAACCTCTCCCAGAACATGAAGTGAGGATCCGCACAGGTACAGAGGTATCGCACCTTCTAATATCAGGCTTCTTGTGCAAGATGATAAACAGCCAGATCAAACCGTCTATGAAAGTAGACGATTTCAAAAACAAATTGGCGTCCAGTCTGAACGTTCACCAGTGACTTTCTGTGAATCTCAGACCAAAGTCTCTGTGATATAGAGTACTTATGGACAAAGTAAGGAGTAGGATCCGCAGAGGACAAGGGTAAGCAAGTTCGTACCACTGAACGTACCTTGAAACTAAATAATCTGATAATAGTTTGCGGAAATTGCGCAGTGGCACAAAGACAGATTACTGGTCTTACTTGGTCTTAAGAGGTTCCTTAGGTGCTGGAATATCACCACCAAAACTAGTATTGAATCTTCATCATGGTATTAGCTAAAATATGGAGCACGATGTAGAATACTAATAAAATTCTTGAATCTAGGCTGGAAGCAGTGGAGCTGAAGCCTTTTGCACCATGTTCTCAGCACCTTCTGGAATTATTCGGCCAGGAGTAAGGTCAAAACACGGGAATAATTCCCCTAAATTTCGTAGAAAGGTTGAAAAACTCGACCGGAGAGCACAGATGCATCACCCACTTTCTCACCGGTACCCCCTAGTCTTACTCGATGCACTATAAAATCATGAAAGGGAGAACTAATTTACCTGCTAAACCTTGGCCGGAAGCTCAAGCTAGAAAAACGGAGCAGGAAGAAAACAATGAACAAGTCTCACGTCTCCTCTCCGCATTAGCTCCTAAAGCAGTAGCGCTAGGAGTTATTTCTTGATGGTGAAGTTTCAAATGATGATCATCCCTCATACACAGGAAACGAGATCCCCTCCATAATCGTGATGCAGCAATCCACATTTTTAATCGCTGCATCACCTTTCAAAAACGGAATGCAATTTTCTACCACGACCTCATGGAGATGGAGAAGCCTGAAGTATTATACAAATCCTAAGCTTAAATTCAAGCCCAAACCAGTCCCCAAATTTAGGCTGGATTTGTTGGGGCTTTAAATTTCAAAGGTTGAAGGTGTTACTACTGGCGATTCACAATTTTCACTACTGGGGATGATTATTTCCGTTTTCCAGTACTCCTCTGTCTTTCTTGTCCTCCTCTTCCCCTCTCGCTTCCTCTTCTTCCTCTGCTCTTTACTACTAGCAGCCTGACAAGAGATGATAAATAATCGTACTTTATTATTCAAACTACTAAAACCACTGCAGGATATATCAAGAACAGGGGGTGTTTCCTTTCTTAAAACGAGAAGGGAAGAATGTTTCACAACTGCAACCATGCGAATTCTCCTGAATTCAATATCAAAATTGATGTCTTGTAATTTCATGAGACCTACACTGCTTATTTCAATCAGAATCTCTATACATGATTTGTCGAGAAAATCATAGAAAACATACTAATTGATTACAGTTAGTGGTGCCTTTCTACATTGCTGAGGGAGAAAGTATCTGAAATTCTCGATTCTATTACTCAGACTCATCGTGCGACCTTAGGCTGCATGAAAGGAGGCTGACTGAACGAACCAAATCGAAATAAAAATCAGAAGACTTACATCCGACAAAAACTAGGCACTCTTGTTGTCTAAGTCGCATATTTCTCCAATTTCCTTCCTTTCAATTAATGAGACAAACAACAACTTTCATCAACACTGGAAAGTGAACCAAAAGTCTCCGAATCGCCCTACCTTTGGAGATAATTTTGCAGTCAGTTGATAAAAGAGCAGTCCTAGGAGGTGGAATATTTGCCAGCACGTACCCTGCCACTCCGACAAGCACAGACAATAGCAGCGACAGAAAGATCATCAGCGCGCAAACAAGCCACCACCGGAAGAAGAGCACTTGCACGAGCCGACCTTTCCTGCATTCCCCCATATTGTGCCATAGCGGCACGCCCAGCATAACCACGGCCACAGCAACTCCGTAAACATAATCTTCTTCAATCACCATCGCCGAAGGCACCAATGGTCATTCCACGAGAGCTGCAGCTCAAACGAGAACTGGAGGCACCCAATTCGAGATCTTCCTAATTTTCCTTCAGCATATACCTCGTCTGACACTCGCCAACCAATTTCATTTCTTTCCAATCGGAGCATCTGCTTTGTCCCTCCAAACCTTCCGAAAGAAGGACCAAATTCTTCAATCGGCGACCATCACCCACCGCAGAGATTGTCTCCTTACATTTGCTCGTCTGTTCCAGATGCCTGCTCCAACCTAGGCCTGTGCGCGTTCTTCCCTCCCAACCTACCTGGCCACGGCTTTCTTTGACATCTCCTTTTGTGTATACATCACCGAATAAGGGCGTTCGCAAGGTGGCTTCCTGCCTCCTGTACAATACAACGGGCAAGTGTGGATTTTGTTCAAAGTGACCCTACTTGTGTATAACGCCTAACTCTAGTAAACCTGTTGTCTGAATTGTGGAATGCAAACCAGTGCTTTGTAGTTTTCAGATGTTAAATGATTATCAATTATTATGATTACTTATCACAACAAATAGTAAATCTCTACATAGACAAGTCGCGCTTCACAACTGAGAGAGAGAACTTGGGACCGCAGTTTAAGTGGGAAGAAATGTCTCGTGAATCAAGATTACTGTGAATCGCATTAGTTCGGTGTACTTACTAAACACGTTTGCCCAATTAAAGTGGATAATAAAATAATATGATCGAATGATAATGCCCCGAGTCTCAGGAGTATAATTATCCTCTTTGAGATGCTAGATGGGTTACCCCATCCTTGTCTCATCATGTCAAACTTGATGACATTTTTATATCCATTCTGCTACATTTCATTACTATCTGCTTCATTACCGATTGTTTAAGTTCGAATGTTGTCATATTCTTGAGCTACGTTGTACTTGGAGACAGTGCACGTCTTAACCATGTCCTTCCATGGAAATAAGTTCAAAACTTAGAAAAAATTTGGGTCAATAGAAACTATTCTCCAACTCAAATAATATCACCAGAAAGAGTAAATACAGAAAGGAAAAAAAGGGCCTCTCATCGCCATACGGAAGACCTGCCAAACAAGACTTAAAACAGTATTACTGATTTCTGATGACTCCAAGGTCAGTAGATACTTGCTCTCATCACTTGTGGAAAGCAAGAATAATTAGAATATTATTAAGAACATTTCACAAGAAAAACTTAAACACATTGTGAATGATCAGTCCAAAAACTCCGTCCATATCAGAAGCTAGCGCATGAAGAGGTTTACTACTTGGTAATTATTACACTAGTACTGGTGTTGCACGACAGTGTGAAAGTTCACAAGGATATAAGTACTTACCGGATGACCCCATCTAATAAGGTGCAACATCATACAACACAACAATGACACTGATTTCTACAATTCTTTGAGTTTCAAAAGAAGAGTTCTTTTCTTGATTAGACAAACTCTACATTTTAAGATCTTGACTTTACGTTTACAAGATGAGACTTGATATTTAAATAGTAAAGTATGTGTTTAATGAAGTAGGTGAGACTCCCAATATATGAGTACTCGCAAGAAGAGATTACACGTCCACGCATGGTCAAAAAATTAGACATGACGACTCTGTAATGAATAATGACAAAAGAAGCTACTTCCGAAGCGGGTCACTCTCGACTACCAGCAAGTTACATATGACCATGACTGCCTCATGAGAAAAACCATGATGATGAAAAAAACATAAGTGAACCTTAATTTGATAATAGAAACTATTCATCTTATAAAACCAATTGGTTTCTATAGGTCTTAGATCCAATTTCATCGCAATGTAAATTTATATAGGATTCAAAACAACATCAATACATGCCATTGAATCGGTTGAATAAGATCACCACATTTGTTAACAACTAATATGAAAATTAGGAGAATGAGTGGCGCCGCCAAGGATGCGCTGCTTATACAATATTCTCTACACATTTGTAGAATAAATTCATAATAAAAATGACAATTTTTAATATATCGTAGGTTATGGCGCACCCTTTTATTGCAGTACCTCGTTGAAGCTAGATTCCATATCTGCAAGTCTAGAAAAAGGAGAAATTGAGGTATGCGGACAACAGAAAAGAATCGGACGGAACTCGCGGCCCATGCCGCCCCATCCCACGGATCGGAAATGAGAAAAGGCGATCTTATGACCAATATGAAAATGGACAGCGGGCAGAAATGAAGATGTGCTTGCTGTCGGGCAAAAGAGCGCAGGGCACACAGCCTCAGATTTCGTGCTAAAGATAGCCTCTTGATATGCTACGAGCCTTTCAAGTGGCCGACGTACCGAAAACAGTGTTCGAAATTAAAAAACAAGGAACCACAACAGGGGAGGGGCTGGACAAGCTCCTGAACGATGCGTTTCCAATAAATTCGTCGGACCAAGCTCCGGTCTGATCGTGCTGGTGCACGAATTTGTCACGCCTGCAGAAGCGAGCCCTGATTTGGCTGTCGATTGACGAATGAGTGATTGAGTGAGCTAGCTTGCAGTGAGCGAGTGAGTGCGTGCGTGCGGGCTTGCTCACCAACGTGGGTGGAAATTTTAACGGAGCCGCGAAGCGAGTGAGAGAATGGAGTCGGAATTGGAGTGAGTGGTTGTTGCGAAAATAGAATTTCACATCCTTCCCTTGCGAGAGCAATTTGTTCCTGAGCGAGAAGCTAGCGACTCGGGAGTCTTGGTACGGGGACTTCTGAATCGGCCTTGGCCATGTGGATGGGCTAGATAAGGTGTGGAAAGGATCAGAAGTATGTTCTGAAGGCTTGGCTGGCTGAGAATCCTCGATCTCGAAAGATGACGAAGAAGGTGGACAATCATGGCTGACAGACATCCTGCATATCACCAGCATAGGTGTATGTGAGGTACCAGAAATCTGTGCTCAAACCTAGGAAGGTTTTCGATGGTAGCCAAGGATTGTGGAATTCGATTGAAACTCTGATGGTTTACGTCCTGAGACAAGTAAGCACTCATAGACGGGGTTTTAAACAAACAGGCACGCGTCGTGGGGTGTTATATATTTTGCGAGGGCAATTTATTCTTTCCTGCTCTCTAATCTGAAGAGATGTTTCTGTCCCGACCATGTCATTCAGCACATTGAGGCTCTTTTTGGGCAGGAGAACGCACATGGGGGCTTTCCACCCAACCACGCCGTTCTCGCAGAAGATTGCTCAAACCTCATGCCAGTGAACATCAACTTCAGTGCGTTTGCTTATCTTTGCTCAATAGATTGACTAATCAGCTGGTGAGCTAGATTGTTCTGAAGAGGACCTAGCTCATAAACTATTAGCAAATTATCGGTTAAGTTCACTGAATAGGGAGCTGTTGAATGAACGAGATCACAAAGGCTAAGTCGAGTGATATCTTAGATTAAACATCGGCATCTTAGTCCCTCACACGAAAGGAGTCCAACAGAGGAGCAAGCCTGACTTCCCTCTCTGCGCTCGTCGGGGATTATGCAGAGAAGTGTCCAGAACTGTTGAGATACACGAAGTGCAGATACGGAAATAAAACATCCAAGATAATCAACTCTTTAAGGAAAGTGGATAACAGAGATAAACTTGAAACTGTAATAAGTCGACGACGACACATGTCTAAATTATTTCAGAAAGCTTGGATATGTTGCCCCTGAGTTGGAGATATCCGTCTACTTGTAGGGAAGCGCCTCTGAACATAAGATTTGGCACCATTGCAATGGCGACTGGAATGAGGGGTTCTCCAAAGGAGGAGATGAGGAGTATCGAAAGAGCAGGAGAACCGTTGTCAAGCAAAGACGTAAAACTTGAGAGTTTTTCTGGCGTCGAAACTGGTTACAAAGGTATCTTTTGTATTTTAAGGATATGTTTTGTTTCAGTGCCTCCCTGCATTTCGGTCTCTCTACGGTTCACTGGTTTTACATTTTTTTCTGACAACCGATTGTAAAAAAAATTCACGCCTGACAAGAGCTTCCGTGATTTTCTTTAGTTTTTCGTATATGATGTTTTGTTCGGTAGCTCTTTGAATTGATAAGATTGTTCCCAATCTGGAGCAACTATCTCACTAGAAAGCTTCTTTTCCCACACGCTTCTGGTCAGCAATTTTCTCACCACTTGGTACCTTCCACTTGTCTATTGTTTACATATATTATGTCGGAAGATGCATAATGCAGTTTTGAAATATGCCGTTATCTTCTGTAAATTATTTGTTGTTGCTGGTCTTGATTATTTCGAACTTTACCCTTCAAGGTAATTCTCACTATCACCTGTTCAGTTACCTTCCGTCTCTCTTACCCTTCACACTTGCGTGAATTTGAAGGCACGGATGTGAAATCAACCACCTTGCGGAGCAAAAAGTTGTCTGTTGGAGAAGATGGAGCAAAGTCTCCAGCAAGCTCCAACAAGGTTTCATCGGTATTTTTGCCCAAAAGCTTACTGAGGAAATCGATAGCGCCGATTCTGTCAATGAAGAGGGTCCGCTTAACGAAAGATTCCACTGGACATTTTTTCGTTTTTTTGTTAAAGCTTGCTGCCTTAGAAGCCGTAAGACGAGGCACAATAGCCAAGTGTCCTCAAATATGGTGGGGACTCCAAGGAATATCTCTTTTTCAAGCTCCACCCTTCAGCTGGTTTCAACGATGGGGTCCCATCCGACAACTTGTGCAGGGCACGGAGGTAAGGATAATGCCTGGAGATGTCAAATTATAAGTACTTCAAATTCAACTCTGATTCTTGCTTGCACGTCGATATGGTGATAGCGGTTCAATGTTGATTACTGTTGTGAATGCACAGTGCGAGAAAAATCAACATACCACTAGTATCTTAAGAGTAAATATATCTGTATATTTTTGAAGTTCAATTTTCAGAGGGCATGGAGGGAAAGATCTGAGAGTTTTGCTCCTCCCTTATTTGGATGCTGATGACCCTTTTCTCTAATGTGCAAACCGAAACCTTGCAGCATGCCACGGTGAAAGGGCACCGGGGACGCTATATACTTGAAGCGATTCCTGAAATTTACTTGTGTTTTTTATTCATCATTCTCTGCAGAGCTTTTCCAAACCTATGTTTGTTCTCTCCCTTGCAACAGCAGTGACGGGTGCCGTAGAGGAAATTCAACAGGCCTCACAACCGAATTTGCTAGATAGAGTATTGACCCCTGAGTCTTCACTTATCACAAGGTAACAAATGGCGGGAGAAGCTGTACCGTACTGCAGTGAATATGTCATGATTGATATAGATCGTGAACTAGTTGAGCTTGTCTTCACACCGTCAGTGTTTTGATTTGTTCATGTCTTCTGTGGAGAGGTAACAATCATCCAATTATCAACTTTCACGGAGCAGATGATAGTACTAGGTTTGTAAACGATGAAGTATATTGTCATGTTATTACTAGACAGCATAGTGTGGTCCTGATGCATATCACCAGGGTACTCAAGCTATCTACATTCAGATAAAACCACGTTTTTGTCCTTCAAGCCCATAGGATCTGCATGTATATTTTCAGAGTAGAATGTTTTCTCAGTTCTTCCTGGATACTTTTGAATGTTGTCACTGATGTCGTTTCTGGTTCTGTTGTCTCTCGCGTAGAACTGATGCGAGGGTGTCTCCATGTAGGCGTGTACAAACGTTAAATCGCCTGAAGCGGGAATTACGCAGTGCAGAAATTGAGCTACCAGAAAGGTGCATTATTTATTCTTTTCTTTTGTGGAGAAAAGCATTATATGATCTCAAGACGGACATCCTCGCCATTGTTATATTCTGTCCAAATAATTTAACGTTCGTGCTGTTTGTACGAACGACCTTAACTTCTTCTAATTCCAGCATCCACGGGACCCATCTGACTACGCATGTTGCAACTGAATAACGGGTCGGAAGGTGATTTGAGCTGTGCTTGGTCTGCAAATGTGTCTGAGGATCGTCATTGCTCTATCTTTAAATCGCCAGTATCAATTAGAGACCAGATCTGAACCTTTATTGAAAATGCATGTGGTTCATGTGCATTGTTAACAGGATTAACGATGATGAATTGGAAAGGTTCCTTGTCGCTGCGAATAAGAATCTTGCTAAATTCGTTTCTATAGTTAAGAAAACCGTCAGCTGGAGAGAAAGCTATTACTTTCTCAACGCCCTGGAGCTCCGAACATGGTCACCACTAGTCTTCTGGCATGACGAAGATCAGAACTCAAGGCCCACTCTTTACATTCGTCTTGGTCTTGCTTATACAACCCTTCAACCTGAAGATCGACCCCGTTTCTGTCAAGCAGTCGGTGAGTTGATTTTCAATGTTCCCAGATTTGTTGGCTGGTAGTTGCCATGTTTGTTCTCGAAAGACTGGAACCTGACTCTTCGTCTGACACAGTGTCCCAAGTTGAACACGGGATTCTCCATCTTGTACACGAAGAAGATCCAAGAATCACAGTCATATTGGACTGTGAAGGGACGACGTGTGTTGGATTCCCTGTAGCGATGATGAAGTCCTGCTCTGTACTTGTACAAGAACACTATCCAACACGACTCGCAGCTCTTTTTGCAGTCAATCTACCTCCTGTTGTCAGGGTCGTCGCGAATGCTGTATTGCAGGTAGGAATCATTCATTGTTTTGTGTTTTATTTGATTGCTGCTAAACCACATATGAGCTTGAGTACACACAGCGTCCTGGAGTAAGACTTTATTTCTCAGGATCGTGTCTCTTATCCGGACGACTTTTGAAGCTCTCAAACAATTCCTATGTAATCTCAACAGGTTGTACGCCCAGTAACGAGGGAAAAGGTGACTCTACTTGGGGATGTGTTTCTCGGATCATTATCTGAGTTCTTGGGTGGTACAGACAAGGTTCCATCTTATCTTGGTGGATCATGCCATTGTGCCAAGTGCTTGGAAGACCGAAAATCGGAAGGTGTTTATCAGATTTCTAGTGAAAGAGCACCTTACGGTCAAATTCGACACGAAGAGGAGGAAGACGAAGAAGTAACCGAAGAAAGTGGGTATCACGAGGAGCGAATTACTACTGACTACCAGTCTTATAATTCTTCGTTGAGAGTGGCAATTGTAGGTTTGCTTATGCTTTGGGTTGTGATTGCTATGGTGGCGGCTTTGCAAGAACCTCAGCTTCTTCCGACCTGAAGGGGTATCGGAAGATGAATAACACACAATGGTAAACCATAAGATTCACTTTTCTTTCCAAGGTGGTGATTGGAGAACTAACTATAGAAATGTTGTGCCTCTAAGATTCTGAAAAGTCTGATAATGAACTTACCAGTATCTATAGCATGAACACGTTTGATACAGAAGGGCGGGTATACTTTTCAATGCTAGTCTTTGCTTCGAACTCAGGAGGATGAGTATCAAGAGGAATATCGCTGACGAAAACCATTTGTAATTATATGTGATTCACAGTAATATCAGTAGTGCACTTGCCAACTTGCAACATCATGTGCTGTGTTTTCTAGGAAATATCCGATTGGAGTATGCAAGATTCTGCTTTCGCAGTCTTCAACCGTAGACATGTGATCTGCATCGACGAAGCAAGAAGCCTGACTGGATTCATCACAGGAGTGGAAGTCCTTTTAGAGGACAAAAGCTAGTTTTTAGTATTTTTATTTCCTGGGGCTTTTTTGAATCAGATTCTTGGGCTTCTGGCAGAATATGGATCAGCAGTAAGCCTACTAACTGCACACTCTCCGAATACAGGAAAACCTTGTGCGAGAGATGCATCACAGATTTGTTAAATATCGTGGAGAACTAATTTGGTGGTTACTTAGCCGTAAGGCTTAGTCCGTGAAATACATGGCACTACATGTCTGGAAGCTGAAAACCCAGAGACCGTGAATTATAGTGAGTAAATTAGACAACCATGTATTGACATTTCAAGGAGGTCGTCCGCATGAGTTTTGACAGATCGCTCTAAACGTTGAAGCGATTTCAGTTGGTTTGACAGACGGCGGGTGCGAGTGCTCTGCTTCTGAGGCGTGTGAGCACTGATCGTCGTGTCGGGAAACGAGAAAATGCCGCATCTGCATGGTTTGGGGACAATGAGTTGATGGTTTCATCATTCAATTTCGAGCAAATTTGTACAGTTCCTCGAAAAGCTAGTAACACTAGTCCTCAGGAAGTTCATCTTAGCTTACATGCTTAACAGTTGCGCCCTTTTCCAGAGGCCTACAGATTAAAAGCATTAGAGGTTATGAACAGAAAGTCTTTCGACAGTTTGTTTATACGCTGATTAGCGTTGATCAGTGGGTTTTGTTGCATCCATTGTAACTTCAATGGAATCTTTGGAAACATTTCAAGCTCTGAAGTGTTTGATTTCAAGTGATAACCTTCTTTCATTGCACAAAGGATCTGAGATATTTTCTCAGATTCTTAGGCAGATTTGTAGGCAGTTGTGTACTTGATCTTAACCACGTATGAGAAACACTTGTGTACCTTCGCACTTTTGTACCAAATAGTAATATGCAGACACCTCAAATCTCAAACGACAAAGTAGCCACTCTAAACGTGGATTAAAGGACGGTTCTCTTCCCACCAGAATGTGTGCACAGATGATCAAACTTTACCTCATTGACCGAACATCACTCTTACCTCTTGATTGAAAAATCGTGGTGTAAGTACCTCGACCACGATTTTGAAATCAAGCGTAGGAAAACTTTGAACCCTTTGCACATACTGAAAATCTATATCCACAATTATACCACATTTTAAAGCTAAGTTTTGCAACTAGAAACATGCTAGGTCTTGTCCGTTGAAGTACAAGTGAGGAGCTAATACTCCGCAGTTCTAGACACAAAAGCTCATGTTCGAAAAATGTTGCAGACCTCTCGAATCAAGTCAAATGTTCTCATGTGTCGGCTCTCACAGCTTTGAGTTCGGTCTCTCATCGATCCGAGCATGCAAAAAATGTCGTTAGTAATTTTTTATGTATGCGACAATAAACATAAATTCAAAATATCTAAACAACCATAAATTCAAAATATTTAAACAACCATAATCAGTTGAAAAGTTATTAAAAATTGATTGTACTAAAAGTATATAAATTAATAGAATACAATGAAGTATTGAAAATTTTAACTCAAAATTCATATTATAAATTAGATTGTTTCAACATAAAATATAACTCCTTCAACTCTATTTGATTGAGACTTTTGAAAACAACGTTTTTATGTAGAGTATATAAGGAGATTATTAATTCTTTCCTATTTGCAATATATTCAAAATTATTTGAAATATACTCTCCGCCAATACTCACACTGTCTCATCTTTTGACACATCTAAATCACCAATTGGACACTTCAAACTTTAAAAGTTGTTAAGATTTCAAACTTATGTGAAAAAATAACTTCACTCATATTTTGAGTTATTATCAATAAATGATACATTAAATAATTTCATCATAAAAGTGAGATTTTTGATGAATTATTCACAAGTATCTATATACATTCTCAATTAACTCATTCAAACCGTGAATTTTGACACCAAAACCTTAATGATTGCTGGCTCATAACCCAATATTTATAGAACTTTAAATTTATTTAAAGTTCATATAAATCTTCTACTAGTATAATAAGCTCATATTGCAAATGAATGTCAAATATCTTTTACTCATGTAAACTAGCGGTAGAATATCTTGACTCATATCTGCATAAATATAAAATGTACAAAAAAGTAATTATTACTTCTAGATAAATGCCACATTTCAACATTAGAAGAATAAATTCCCACAAACAAGCTATGTAAAGGTTGCAAAGCAGACGGTACACAACTTTGTTTTGGAAAATATGGCCGGCGGCGAATACCGGGGACCCCAAGTTCCGATATTTAGGTCAGTGTCGTTTTTAGGTTCGAGACATCATTTGATGAGTATTGAAGATGAATGTCTTTAGAAAAAAAATTAGATATATATATAGATAAAAAATTTCTAAAGAAACTAAAGAATTTTATATATCTTCAGAATTTTTTTTCTATTAAAATATTTTTTTTCATTAAAAATCTCAACGGTAGAGAAATATCGTTATTGAACCAAATCCACAATGTGCGCCCAAAACCTCATGTGGCACTAATTACTCTTCAAAGACTTCAAAGAATCAACTCCAAATGTTTTTCTCGAAGAAGAGGGTTTTCAAACTATATCACTTATGCACCAGGTTGTAAGCCCCACGACAGACTTAACGTTAGAACCAATGAGGAGAAGAACACGTAATGCACAATTTTGATTTAAGTGTTATTTATGAATATTGATCGATAAGGTATAATCATTCCGATTGACATGATCGCAATTTTAGTAAAAAAAAATATGTTGAAGTTGCTTTTCAAAATGATTATATGTTTAGGTGGGTAAAAATCACAAAAGACTAAATAGTTCTCTAAATAAATTTATAAATATGTCGGGACTGTAACCATATTAGAATATAAAAACTTCATGCTAGTTCCATCTGATTTTGAATCTTTGTACATTTCACCAACCTTGGGCGAATTCTCTGAATTTGTGGATTTTCGTTTTTTAACAGCAACTGAAATTCCCACTCTGAGCGAAATGGACCATCTCTTCAAAGTGGTGGCCGTCCACTTTGACGGGCAAACAGAATGGAACGGAATGTAGTCGCCCACCGACGGTCGTGCACATGAGCAGCGTTGCCGAGAGTGTCATGGAATGGGCTCACTTGCTGAATGCGATGGAGAGTGTGCGGGGCCGAGGGATGGAATGTGCTGCGCCGGAGCATTAAGTCCACGAGGAAAATGATCTGAGGAGGTGGCGGGGGAAGTGAAGTGAAGTGAAGTCCTCGCGGGAAAGGAAGAAGGGCAGGCGCAAGTTGCCGAACGGACGGAGAGCCTGACCGTCCAGCGATGGCTGTTCCTCCACCGAAGCCCTTGAAGCTCGCCACGAGCATTCAAGCGAGTTTCGGTGATCCGGAGGATCCCGATTATGTGTTTGAAATTGTTTCGAAGTGAGTTTTACCTTTGGTTTTCGTATATTTTTATGAATTGGACTTTGTTGATGACTACAATCTACTCCAGTATATTTGTCATTTCCGCGGTTTCGAATGGAGGCTTTTAGTTTTAATCATCACTACAACACGAAAAACGTCACCTTCAAACGTGAGGATCGCTGGATTGTTTCTGTGCATGAAAGCACATTTCTCACAGCAGCGGCGTGTAGGGTTTAAGGTTTAGCCGAGATGCAGATTTTTCGTCATTTCTATCTCGTTCAAGGAGCCAGGAGTGGGCGTGCAAGATAATCGTGTCAGTGTAGAGTTGCGATTAGTGGCTCGTTCTTGTGCTGAATTGGAGCTTAAAAGTAGATTCCAGGATGGTACAGGAATTCGGTGAATAGAATAAAAGGACATGTTAGAGGCGCCCGCATGCTAATCACTGGGACGAAGTGATCTACATAGCATTGTCCATGTTCATGTTCATGCAAGGAGAAGCATTTGTCTGATGAATTTTGCAATGTTTTGATAAACTGCAGTGGCGACAAGTCGACCATGGCGGTTTCTTTGTCCACGAACGCCATCAAACTGTACTCACCACAGACGGGAGCTTTTCTGGGAGATTGTTTAGGACACACATGTACTATAAGTGGAATCTCGTTTCCGGATCCAAATTCACCAATGTTGCTCCTGTCTTCATCTGCGGATGGGACTATCAGGACCTGGGACATTCGGAACCGCAAAGAGGTTAGTTTTGTCTCTGGTCTCTTCAGTTGGCCAGCTTTTGGGGCCTGAGAGTCTGTTTTATTCTGACGACAGCGAATGCCGTGACCTGAAGGTTGCATCCTTAAATCATCCCACTCCGGGTAGCGAAATATGGAACTTTGCTGTGGGTGGCATTTCAAACCAAGTAGCGGGAGGTGGAGACAGTCAGGTGCGTCATGGTTTGTTTTTCTTGTTCCATCTACCAGTGATATTTGTTGGGAGGTTACGATTTGTGCCTTGGAAGATCTGCTTGTTGTCTGTGTCGAATTTGTTCACATGCGAGAATCGTGTTTCTTCTTCTCTGCTGGTAGTCATGCATCACCGAATTCTTCTGTCTTGACTTCATGGCTTCCGTTTTCAGATTGTTGTTTGTTGACTTTTGTTCTCATAGACCATCTATCTATATCATTCATTTTCGAAAAATATGTTTTGTTCACCTGTATTTTGTTTGCCCGCCTAGCTTGACCATCACCAGCTGAATTGTTCAGGTTTTTATATGGGACTGGAGAACTAGGAAGTTATTGGCAAATCTTGACGAGATACATACTGAAGCGGTTACCCAGGTTCTCAACGAACTCGGTTTTGGATGTTTTGCGATCTTATCCTAAATGTTGACAGGTCATGTATATTCGGTTTGCTTTGAAATGCTTCAACTAATCAGCAGTGGATGAAGTTGATGGTTGTTGTGATTTTGTGTACTTCCAGGGGAAAAATACCCATTTGAAGTCATTGATGTTTGTGAAAACTTACCCAAATTTCGGACTTTTTCTCTGAAAAAACCTCGTCTATATATGCAGGTACAATATCATCCTACCAGGAGAGAACTGCTGTTTACAGCCTCTGTAGACGGCTTGATAAATTTTATCGACACCCAACAACCACTTACCAACGAGGACCTCGTTTATGACGTGAGTAACCACCGTTGCCGGATTATGTCAGTAGTCCAATGATAGTCCAATAGGCTTAATAGACACATTCGTAGAATATGTTGTCTTTATGTATTTGTTCTCCTAGAGGAGGTGTCCTCGTCGTACCAAAGGTACCGAAGGCAAACATGCATTCATTAAAACCGAAAGGCGTAACGTCCTGTATCGTCAATTATCTTCTCAAATATCCACTCATGAGATTTGTTTTGCAGACTATGTCAGTAGGAACATCTGTAGGAAAGATTGGATTTTACGGGAGAAATAACCAGCTGCTATGGTGTCAGACTCACATTGAAACCCTCAGGTATGGAAATGTCCTTGATCGCAAGCTTTGAAAGGGTTGAGTTTGATGTGGTTTGCATTTTTTTTTGGCTGCAGGGTTTACCGAAGTAAAAGTTGTATATGTTTGCTTGTTCTTCTGGTTTCATCACCAGGTCTTGTCTTGTGTGCTGTTGATGAAGGAATCCGAGTATGTTTTTGCTGGAAATGTCGATAAGTTCACTACAGTTTGACCGTGTATACACGTGTATTTTGTTTTTCCTCGTCCTTTTTTCAAATACTGTATTCGTTGTCTTTTTAATCCGTGTGCGATCCTGATTGATTATGACTGTTGCTCATTTAGAGCACGCTGATTACTGTGTCCATTATAATTTTTAGGTGAATATCATGCACATTTACACTTAAAACATTGTGCAGTGTTTGGGATCTGGAAGAAAAAATGCAAGCTGCGGATTTTAAGGAGACACGAATGAACGCCTCATTTAATTGGAACCTGGATAGTGTAAGTATTCGAATCAGCCTCTGTATGGAACATACTGAAATCACTTCTCCCCTCACGCCGACTTGCCTCATTTTAAGCTCATCTTTGCAAGCGACACTTTTGTGTTTGCGCAAAGCATCAAAAGCTCGCCTAGTGTATGTGTGTAACACTTCGCGTGAAAAGCAGCATTGTAATGAGTTTTTTTGCATTCTGTTGCTGTGAGAGGCGCGAGTGATTTGTGACGGTTTGTCGACGTACTTTGGAGGGTTTAAAGGAATGGTTCCTCCCTGGAGCATGCATTTCAGACTTCAGACAGACTGCATTGATATTGCATTGAATCTGTATGTGATACTGGGAGGTGCTAATGCCGCCCAGAATTTGCTTCACAGGTGAACTACCTTATCGATTGCTATTCTCCAGCCGGGACCGATGACCTATGGCTTGCGGCTGGCAACAACAATGGTGTCGTAGGCTATTTCCCGGCGAGTTTTGTGAAGTCTAGTCATCCAAGCGTTCCAAGCGTCGGAGTTTTGGGTGAAGTTGGGGCTGTCTTAGAAGGAGGTCATCAGGGTGTGGTGCGCACCATCTGGTTGTCTCAGAATATGGACTCAGATCAGAATTTGTTCGGATGGACTGGCGGGGAGGACGGAAGGCTTTGCAGCTGGTCACAGAATGGCGCCACAGAGCATGGGCGCTCGTGGGTTTCAAAGAACCTGATCGCCAAGAAAGGCAGCAGTTCAAAAATGAGGCACAGCCCATACTAGCGTGCTTGGAAAGATGATTTTGTTGAATCCTGAAGTATCAGACCTGGTCACGTCATCACTTCAACCCCAATAGGTTGCCACTCATTTCTAGCGAAATTAAGGTTGGCCACAGCAGAGGTCATGATCTTGACCCTTTGGCGAGCTACTGCATAAATTGTTCTGGAAAGGGGAACGATAGGGACCAGCGTAGCCCATTTTTTGCACTTGACGTGCCCACTGAATCACCAGCTGTAAGGTTAGTTGAGAGTTTACTGTTCGTTGTACCATACACTCCACGCTAAGGCATGCTACTTGAACAGAATGTCCTGCCTATGTCCACAACCCTCGAAGAGCGACGAGTTGAACGCCATTTCCGACTAGTACGTGTCAATGACGCACGCCGCGCGAGTATTTTGGTTGGCGACGGCTTCTCTTTCCCCTGGTTTTGTCGTATGCAGTGGTTTTGAATGTTCGTACTAGGCTTGACAGAAAGAATCAAAAGTTGTGTGAATAAACGACGCAGTACAAGTATCGGAGATACTTTTAATTTTTCCTACTTTTCGCGTCCATTCTTCATGTTTGAGATTTCGTGGAACACTGGAATAGACGAGGTTTCAAGTCAGCATAGATGCGGATTTTTGTGACTTCTCATTCTTGGAATTCAGACAACAGCAGATTTTCACGCCCACCGTTGACATCGGTGTACATATTCCTACGTTATAGGTGATGAATGTGTGCAGCTTGAATATAAGTGTAGCACTCTGAAGTTTCTGGAATTTGTCTCTTAATTGCAACTGTACATAAATTTGATTTACAGCTTCTTTTCATATCCTGGCCTCTACTTCAGGCTGCTTTTGCTCAGATATTTCTTGTCTATAGCAACACCCTAATCACAGCCTGCAAATCCAGGATTTGAGCCTGCATCACACTACATTGTCTTCTATCAAGCCTGAAGTGGCTTGCTTTCAAAATTGGATATGGGACCTTTGAACCATTTTCGAGCGCTCAGTAGCCAGTACCCGAGGGCGAACACCATTACTCCGCCGACAGCGATTGGAGTATAATTCAGAGTGTTCGCCTTCACCGGATACACGGTTGGTAAGCAAAAGAGAACAGTCACAGTGATTACCCAGAGGACTGAAACCCAACCGAGGAAGAGGCTGTAGCGCCCGAAATTGATCGGTCCTGGAACGAAGGTGTTACGAGCCACTGTGATTCTAAACAGAATGGGCAGTGCGTAGGAGATGTAGAGACCGATGGTAGCAATCGAAACCATCGCTTGGAACGCCACCACGCTTCCCAAAGACTGCATCCAGGTCCAGGTCCAGATCCAGACTTTAGTTTGAGTTTACAATATTTATTACCTTTTGGAAACGATGCATAGAATTTGCAAGCAGGTGCAGGCCCCGCAGAGAGCACGTGATGTGTTTCATCCGATCACGTGGGAGGGGAGCCAGCAACACTACAGAGTAATGAATGACGTGACTGGGAAAGGAAAGAGGGCGAGTCTGACGAGGCAAACGCAAACCACGGACCATGTAGAAGGGTGGCGGGAAGGGTTTTACCGTCAGCGCCATGAGGAAAGCTATTGTTGCGGACAACCACACGGCGTTGCGCGGAACCTCCCGTTTGTCTACCACGTGCCACAGGTTGGACCCAGGCATAGCGCCATCTCGGGAAAAAGCGTACACCATCCTGCCATGTTCGGGGACATCACACGTGTAAGATGTATGAAATGCCAGAGTTATCACACAATCTTCATCGTCGATCAAAAGTTCCTCGAGAGTTTCTGCCACTTGAGAACGTTAGAACCTTGTCTTTCCTCGGAATGAGTCATGACTACCTCGAATTGCTCGTTACGCAGCTCATACCACAGAAGAAGACGGCTACAGCGACCACGCCCAAGCACAATATTCCTCCAGTGCCATCACCATATCTGTTGTTGAAGACATCGTAGAAGACTTGGGCTATTGCGTAACCTTTTGCATCATTGCCCTTGTCCAGAAGACGGACCGGGTCGACTACTGCAAATGTTATCCCCACAATATAGGCCCAGCCAACTATGACGGATATTCCGATTGCCGCCAGGATGCCGTAACCACCATTTTTATCCGAGGACTTGGTTTCCTCCGACTGCAAACAAGCGCATTCCATCTGCTTAGTGGGTTTTCTGGAATGACGACTTCATATGCACCCCTTTCCTTTCCTCTGATAGTGCGTTCTTCAGCTGAAAAGCCGATGATAACGCTTGCGAGTGTTGCAGATGCATAGCCCCACGCAGTTAATTAGCTATGGGCAAAAGCGGGACATGAGAAAACATGTGAGTTTTGATTAGCTTACCATGTGGGCGGATGCATCGTAGCCGCTTATGGAATATTGGCTCATGAGTAAACCTAGTAGAAAGATGTATGGCTCGCTTGTAATACCGACGGAGGCATCTTTGAAGAACGATGTGAAGACGAAGGTTGCACTCTGTCGTTCAGTTGCTACCAGGGGGATCAAAATCATGAGGACAAAGACACCTGGAAGGACACCAGAAGAATTGGCCACAAGCAGACGAGTTAGCAGTCTCATCCATGGTCGGAGCTCATTTGCAAAAGCGGGACAGCTTTAGATTATGGTGAAACGAGAGGAAAGGTCTCACAATTCTGTTGCTGTCAGGTGAAAGCAGGGAGGACATACCGAACAGGTTCCACACCGCCGAGAGAGTTCCCAGATAAGCCATATAGACAATGGGAAGGCTGTTCAGAAGGGCGTGCGTCAAGAGTATTCCGCAGTGGAATGATATCACCACGTACTTGGATGCATAGTATCCACCTCCATTGCCCCCTCCCGTGGCGAGCAGGATAATAACTTGCAGAAGAGTGGCCAGAGAAAAGTCGACACTCGTCGTCACAGCCCACTGCACGACATTCCAGAGCAAGAATGAGCTGCTTCTGTTGTTTCACGATGATTTCGCTTGTGTCTCTAAGATCTGAACCCAAATGAGTATCATCCATAGGACAACGATGGACATTCACCCGAGGGCAGCTCAGGAATTTATTTGGACACAAAAACCTGGAAGGCCTGCTGTGAAATTCCTTGGACACAGGATGGACCGAACAAGTCAAGCATACATCGAGAGAGACCAGTGAACTATCTGCTCATTAAGGGATGTGTAGTGTAGTAGACCTGGCCGATCACGTTATACCTGCAGTGTTCGAAACAAGCTCATTTTCGTCAGAAATTCAGATGTATCACGATCCATCTGTACAGAAAATCAGAAGCCGATGGCATGTCAGACGACAGCTGCTGATAGATCAGACCAACTCACCAGCCCGTGATCCAGGACGCGAAGGGTCCCCATGAAGGTCCGGCCAACATGTAGCTCCAGTAGTAGAGACCACCGGAGGTTGGGAACGCGGAGCAGATCTCGGCCATAGACAGACCGACGAACATGTTGAAGAATCCCGTAATCAGCCACCCGTAGACCATAGAAACTGTACCTCCATAGGTCAGCCCGGTGTTGTACAAAGTCGTCACCCCCGTCAAAATTGAGATGATCGAGAAGGAGAAGGCAAAGTTGGAGAGCAGCCTGCAGGAATGGAGTCAAATTCACAGGCTGAAGACGACGAGCTTGCAAAGCTAGGTCGGCGAACCGAAGGCGACCCATGCCAGAATTCACGGACTAATTCCTCGAAGACCAATTATCAGAGACGGACTCGATTCGGTGCATGAGGAAGAGGAGAGAACTCACGATAGATCTCGCTTCAACTCTTGCTTGTAGCCAAGCGCCTCCAGGCGCGCCTGGCCTGTATCCTTCACGCCTGGCTTCGGCGCCATGAGCAGCTCGGACTCCGACCCAATGATTCTGAGCGGTTTCTCTCGATGAGTCTCTGGAATCATACCCTTCTCTTAGAGCTCGACCGTCACGGCTCGTGAACTTGAATCGTGAGAATTTGAAGTCCGCCGTTGAGATTCAGGGTTCAAAATTTCAACAGAAGACTGTTGCGCTGGCAATAATGCAGGAAATCTGACCGCGCCTTCGATTTCTGGCACATCGTCTACTGATTGGGGCTCCTTTCGCAAAAGGGCTCGTAGCTTTGAGCTTCGCGAGAGTCTGGACGGACTCCGGGCTCGTCTTATTCAGCTGTGGATGAATCACTGCAGCAGATAAGAATCCGATTCGGTGTCTGCATGAACGTGGATCACTGACTCGTGCAGATGTGCTGCATCACGAGGGAGTGAGATCGTCGAATCGCAGTGCGCGAATTCTCGCTTTGGTCGGCTGCAATCACGCAGTGCGGACACAATCATTCAGCGGCATGGACTGGCGCCGACAAGAAGTGATCGAGCTCGTCGCAGGATCGCGGTGTCCATGACCGAGGGGCCTGAGGGGCCTGAGGGGCCTGCAGAGCTCGCGCGTGGTTCCCCGATCCACCACTCCCAGCATCCTGGAACCAACGGTCTGCAGCCACCTGGAGCCTCGTTGATCCGGAGGCGTTTTGTAAGACCCCTGGTCACGTTGCCGTGTTGCCCCATCATCGCTGTCCTTTCTGTATATGCTACAGGACCGGTTCCCTGAAGTCAGGAGCCTGTGATGTTCAAAGCCCTGGGAATACCCCATCGAAAGATCAACGGTTTTGTTCATTCACGGGGCGTGAATGATTCTTAGAAATTTTATTTGTTTTCTAAAAGTTATGTGTTGACAAAATTCTGCCCAAAACGTGTGTGAGTACGTAGGTCTAACACTTTTTTTTACAAAGTAATGTTTTGACTGAATAGTTGATCAATATCATTTTTCTTTCATATTTAATTTGTAATGATATGATAGATTATTACTCTTTTTGACAATAGATATTGAAGCCATCAAAATATTTTTTTGTTGTTGTCTGATAGCATAAAAGTAACGCTGAGCCGATTCAAATATCCATCTAAACAATTAATTTCTTGTCAATTAATGTAATTTTAAGTTTTGATGAAAAAAATTAATTCAAATAAAACCTCATTATTTTATAATTAGAAAAAAAATTCTTTTAATTATAAAAATTAATTTCAAGAAATCCATTATATTGTAAAAAATAAATGATTTTATGCTCAATGAAAAAATAATTTAATTTAAACTTAATTTAAATCAAAATATTTTTTGAAGATAAGTAAACTTCACCTTCAAGATTACTTCTTAAGTTAGTTACTAACTTGAAGTGAAATTGGCTAATTGCATCAATCAACTTTAAATCAATTATTGAAGATTTGAATCAACACTACTATTTCAAAAAATTACAGTGAGAATTATAGTATGTTCAAATTGTAAAGCAAATTTTTTTAAAAATTTCTTCTGAATCCTAGTGCGAAGTATATTCTATGTGAAATCTAATAGATTCTAGTTTCACAAGTTCCACTTTTGAACCGAAGAGGAGTAAATTATTTTGAAATTGAAACTAGATAAAATTAAAAGATTGAATCAAGAAAATTCAAGTTGAAACATTGTTTTCATGAGTGAAAAAATATATTTGTTTGCACAAACGTCACAAGAAACAACCTCAAAAGTTTGACAAAACAATATGGCAGCCACGAAGTCTAGAGTTTGTGTGTGACTCTCTAGGTTGTTGACTCTGCGCGGTTGAAACATGAGTAATATGTACTTGACACTCCTTGATAAAATAAGAGTGTTAGCTCGCAATTTAAATAGAGTTGTATGAACATTGTTTTATGAGCAAGCATCATAGGGTGGACTTTGATATTGAGTCTTGCAATTCCAAAGAGTTATTTGAGATTGTATAAAATGGCATTTGAAAATATGTTAAAAATGATTTGTTTTTTAAGAAAATAAACTACTGAAATCCAAAAGTTTGTAAGGTTATTATCCTCATGGATGATATCATTCGAAGAGTCAAAAGGAATGAGATATTTTAGTACTAACAAGTACAAATGTTCACTTGTGGATGTTGTGAATGAGAAATTTATCATTATAAAAATAATGTTGTGACATATGAATAAGCTTCAATAAGACGGGGCAACTTTTGAAAGAGTAAGAACTGGAGTAAAAAAATTATTTTAAGTTATGTAGAAATGGTATTCAATTTATATATTTGATAATATGCACAAAATCCGATATTGCTTTAGTTGTGTACAAGAAAAAAATGTATATGTTAAATCCAAAAATCGTACATGAGATAGGTAAAAAATGAAGCTTCATGTATCCCAATATCACAAAGTATTATGTATCTTTTTATGCCATATGTTTGCTAAACTCTGTTGATGTTGACTATATAGAAGATTTAGACAGGAACAAAAATCTACTACCTTATATGTGTTTACATGTGAAAAGTTTAGTTCAACCCATTATGCAATTTTGAAAATAAATAACAAAAAAAAAAATTGAAATTGCAATATTTTAAATATGGCTAGAGTTTTTATTAATTGACACATGTTATTCATTACTAGATCAAATTATCATGATTCTTACATCACAAATAGCTTTTATAGTTTCATCAAAGTTTTTGCTTACGCAGCTCACAGCAATCATATATATCTTTTGTTAACATTCAATAAAATTAGAAGGAAATTTATAACATTGCAAATATTATATTTTCATGTTAATCTAATGTTTGAAAACATATTATATTGTTTCAAAGAGAATATGTTAGCAAGTAGATACTTAAAAAATTTGTCATAATGAAGATGAATCTCTGAATTTTATTACAACACACAAAAATATCATAACATTTATGAGTAATATAGATAAAATAAATAAAATATTTTGTTTTGAGTGAGCGATTAATTATACCTAAGTTTATGTTAATTATACTTCACTCTACAACTTTAACTTTTCTACGATTGCTACTACTAACACTATTGCTTTCTGCAATAGGCGAAGATGTAACGCAATAGAAAAGGAGTAAGATTGTATGTGAACGCTCAGCCAGATTAAAATGGTTTTCAACGATTTTGTTGTTGCACCATCAATTTTTGTTAAGAAACTTACGTTAATACACGCTTTGATTCCAGACGCGGATATGTTGGCATGTAAACAAAACGTATTTTCAAACAGAAGGTTAAGGGATAATTAGCATAAACCAAAAAATAACTAACCTATCACTTTTTTTGACTTTATGAACTAAAAATATTAGGAAACTTTCATGTATTCGATGTATATATTTTTTATTCAATTATGTAGCCAAATCATAATGTATTTGTCTGGGTTGATTGTAGAATTTTTTAGGTAATTTTATATAACTCAATGTAATTTTTAGCTTGGTTCTCTATGAAAGGTAGAAACCTCCAAAATTGAACGTCAGCCTGCATATAATAGAGAGGTTGGAGTAATTGACTATAATAGTTCAATCATTCAGATGGGAAATAGTACAAGTAGAAAGTGAACTATTTTGCGGTCACACTCCTGAAAACTATAGAATATATACTGGACTTCGGCAAATGAAAGAGCCGACCAAACTTTCGGGTGGAAACTGGGGTGACCGGGTCAGCATGAAAGGTATCCCGGCAACCGTATGGTAGCGTGAGACAGCGGTAGAGTGCGGGGCGTCCAAAGAAGCGGGAAACCTTTGACCTTTGACCGGCTGGCGAGGGCTTTCCCGAATCCTCGGGGGCTCGAGTGCATCGGCACCGGCGCCCGAGAAAAACATTCGAACATGGCATTGCATCGAGGCAGGCTGCGAACCCTAGGCACGTGGGCACGGCCGAATTCGGACAGAGTTGGTGCGCCGACGCAGTCCGCCAGAAGTGGATGACGTAAGTGCCGGCCGGCCCCAGACTGCGCGACATGGGGAGCGGGGTTCATGCCCGCTCGACGCTTGGCAGGCTCCGCCTGTGCCCCTTTGCGCGGCTATAAGATGTTGCGATTGTCGTGGCTCTTGCGCTCCTGCAATTGAAATTCGGCCGCGCTCTGCGTTTGAGATGGCAGCGAACGATGGCTCGAAGGTGCCAGCTTCGAGCAGTGGGAAACCGCCCGGCAAGTCGCCCTCGGGCAGCAGTAGCTCCAAGAAGGCCGACTCCAGTGCAAAAGCCAATCCGCCTTCTCGGAAACTTCGTGTTTTGTGTCTTCATGGCTTGAGAACCAGCGCCAAAATCATGCAACAGCAAGTGGAATTAGCTCAATGGGCTCTCGAAGATATCGTGGAGTTTGTACGCCCGAAACCTTCCCTTCTCGTTTTTTACAATTTTACCTGGTGTCCTTGAATTGCATGCTTATGAGGCCACTCACAATTTTCCCCGACTCACTCCACGCAATTCAGTGATCTTCTTTTTGAGATTGTTGGAAGTCTCCGTCTTTATTAATTTTTGGGCTATTCGTTGAAATGTCTGGTGTCTGTCTATTTTTTTGATATTTAGAGGCGAACAGACACCTTAGGAACGGTTTTTCTTTTAAGGCAACATGATCGATATAAACAGGATTTTCACGAATTTTCGATGTCAACTTAGGATCGGCCTCTGGATAGTTTATTGTCGTGCTTTGTAAGTCTTGAGAGGAGGTAAGTGACTCTTTGCACCTCGGTACTGGAATTCAATTTGCAGGTGATGTGTCCATCTGCAGGTTTACATGAATGCACCCTTTCCGGCAACCGGTAAATCTGATGTGGAGAAGAGATTTGAGCCTCCCTACTTCGAATGGTATCAAGCAAACCAAGTACGTCACAGAGTCTCTCACCTTGCACTAGGGGCATGTGGTTCATAGAGTGTCACGCATTTACTCTTCATATCCCTGCAGACTCTATCTTCCAGGAATTCTCGTGTGTTTTTACCAACTTTGAAGCGCAAACTATCGAAAGTTTATTAAGCGTATGAACTGAAGTCGAATGTGTTGATTAGCACATTCTCTCCGTGTTTCTGTTTGTAGGGCATTCGTTTGCTATGAACGAGCATTATACGTTGCTATCAAGTTATGATGATGGATTGTTCTAATCCGATGCTGGTTCAGTTTTGCCTTGTAAGTCAGCCTATCTTGTCTTACGCAGGACTATTCGGAAATCTATGGCTTGGAAGAAGCGAGTGTACACATTATTGATTTCATAAAAACACGTGGGCCTTTCGATGGTCTCATGGGCTTTTCGCAGGTCATGTTTGTCACATTCTCGTAACCTATGGCTAGTTTTATCTCCAATTTAGTGAGGTATGTCTTGGACTTAGTCCAGGTCATTGCTTAGTTTCGATTAGTATGGGCTTTCTTGGTAGAAATTGGAACTGGTACAATCAGGATTCAAACCAGGATGTAGTTGTGGTCACAACAATGTGGATGTGGAGGCATCGTCCTTGAGGGTAGGAAAACATCTGATACTGCTAGAAACTGCAGTTTCTAGCAGTATCAGAAGCTTTCCTACCCTCAAGGACACCTAATACTTTTATCCAACTAAACTACGGCACCAAAGCTTTCTACACATATTCCATTCAAAATGTAGTAACCTACAATATCTGATCAAAGCTATCTTGGGAGCCCCTTCGTCAGTTCTTTTTCGGATATTATAGCAGGAGCATGTGTCCTGCACATGTATCACAAAAAACATGCTTGAGTTACATATGCCTCTACAGCCCCGTCGTATCTTCCCGTTCGATTAGTGCTGGTCAACCGACCCTTCACCATGATCATCATGATCAGACTTCGTTTCTGGAAGAAAGCATCTCAAGCATGCAGATAGTTTTTAAGCTTCAATTTTGGTAATGTCCATGGCCATCCTCGAGTTAGGGGACAGTGCAGCGAAAAACCACGTCCTTCTATTTAGTTTCTTCGATCTGGTAAAAATACCTCCAGCCCGTTCAGTGCTTGGTAAATAGAGGTCCTGTGTTCACCGAACTTAGGCTTGTTGCTTAAACGACCACAAAACGGATCCACGGGAAGTCATTGCTAAAAGAAGCGGTGGAATTGTTTTGCAGGGAGCAGTACTCGCGGGTGCTTTGGTGGGACTGCAGGAGAAGGTTCGATCAGTCAGTTCAATTGAGGAATTTTTGCTTGACATGTGAAAATTGTGTTGTGCCAGACTCCCTCATTCTAAATGTATCGATTTTAGCATGGTCAACATCGTTTCGTTCGTAAAGGGAATCAGGAAAAAATAATTTGTTGCATGTTTAGTTGGGAGAGTCAGTTTGAAGAGTATTAACCACGTGATTCCTTGTAGCAGACAATCACTCTCTAACGCAGTTTGATCGTTTAGGGCTTGGCGCTTCCCGATGTACCACGATTTACCTTCATTGTTTTGATTGGAGGATGCCGAAGTAAGGCTTTGGTATTGAGACCTGCCTACTTTGACCCTATCTTGACACCGTCTTTACACTTCATAGGTCAGTCAAGGTTTGCACTCAACTACAGGCTTTCTGCTCATTTATGAATAGTTTGTGGCTACTTTCGGATGCAACTTAGTTCAAGTCTCCCTTTCTTTTTCTTTCAGAAGATCGCATCTCACATCATGGTTAATCAATCTTCAGGTGAGAAGGATTTCATGAAAGAAGGCGGCGAACTTTTAATCACTTCTTTCAAAGATGCAACCGTCATCCATCATCCTCATGGTCATCTTATTCCTAGACTAGGTTTGACCTTATCACTATCCAATCAGTAAATTGTGCTTAGCATCTTCCTTGACATCACTTGAATCTTGAGAACATCATTCGGAATACAAGGACTTGTTCTACTCAACTTTTGGACACAGACGTTCACTTGGGCGTACGCCAACCTTCGAACGGCTACTGATTGTGTATAGCTACTGTCTACCTGCATATTACTGACATTCTGTATGTTTTAACAGGGGACGAAGAGTTGAAGACATGCAGGGCGTATTTCCAAAAGTTCTTTGATCTGAAATTTAGTCCGAAAAGCTAAGAAAAAGCTCTGAAAGCTCACCCAACAAGCTTACATTTACATTCATAGATTCATAATTGAAGCTGATGCGCAGGCGGATCTGCATTTAAAATTTCATCTCAAATTGTAACTATATCGTAGTTCAAGCACAAAACTCTGGAGACTGGCAAGTTTGAATACATGAACTGAATCAGCCGATGCTATACTCATTTCCTTTCTCCATCCTCACCTCTGTCAGTAAGTGGCTCAAGACGAATCGAGGCAAAGACATTTTTCACGAATGTATTATTTCAAAACGTAGACTTTGGGTCTATCCGTGATGAAACCGAATTTAAATCACTACACTTCAAATCCGTTGTGAACTGTATGACTAAACTATCTCAACCGTGATAAAACTTGTCCCTGCGAAGAAAGACAGCGTCGGTGTTTATAAATCATGCTACTACACTTCAGGGTAAATATGAAACTAGAGCCTTCCGTCTCTGCAACCGTTCAGTCCTAATCCAAAACTAGGGTTGATGGAAACTAGTGAAGATTTGACAGAAACTTGAAGGAGAAAGATGAAATCGCGGTGTGTACAATTGTTTCCACCTTTTAATGAAGGAAATGTAAAGCCAGCTACAACACTGGCAACTACATAATCAGTATACAGAACTCCAATTTTGACTTTACAAGATCCGTTTACCTGATGAAGGCGAAAGCTTCATGAGATTATTGCCAGCAAAATTAATCCAACGAATATAGACCCTAAAACAGAAGCAGGCTTTGCCTATTGCTTACGAACTACTGAAAGCGGCTGTGCATTGAGCCATGGTCTTCGACGCCCGAGAAATAGCATCCGTCATGTAGAAGTTGTCGACAACCTTCTTGAAAGGCAATGACTCCAATTTCGTCTTCGACTCAGGTAGGCTCTCCTTCGGCAAAGGTGTGGCAGGCTCCAGCTCATCGACACGGAATAGATTAGGGGCAACAGCGAGCATGCGGGCTCGAACTCCATTCACCGTGTCGTACGGTAGGGTGACACCAGCAAACTCCGAAAGAGCGCGAACGATTTTCCAGTCATCTCGGGCATCCCCGACGGTAGGAACCGCAGGACTCGTTTGCTGGGTGCGACCTTCAGTGTTTTCGTAGGTTCCCTCCTTCTCGCTGTACGCAACTCCCGGAAGGATCACATTAGCTCGGTAGGCACTGCGGTCTCCATGATGTCCTTGGTACACGACGAATGCATCTGCCGGAATGTCCTCTGGTGTCAAGTCATCAGCGCCCATCAGATAGAGAAACTTGATGCTACTCTTATCCCCGACAGGAGCTCTGGCGCCTGGTACGAAGCCAAGATCAAGCCCCGCTGCTTGGGCAGCATTGAGAAGCAAGAAGTTGTAACCATTCCAGTCGTCTCTGATCATATTGGCTTGCTGTACGATAGACTGTACAGCAGCCAACACAGCATCTTTATCGCTGCGCTGCAAAACCCCAGAACCGACAATGATACTGGGAAACTTTGCCTTGCTCAGAACTTGAGCGAAAGGATGTTTGCCCTGTGCGATGGAGAGCAGGGCATCGGAACTATTGCCCAGATGCTCACACTTGAAGTGAAGATCCAACTCAGGACCGATGGACGCTACCTTCGCCCTTGAGTTTCTCACAGCCTTCCTCAGCCTATGATTGAGCAAGGGTGCCTCGTGTCGAAGCTTCACAAAGAACAGCAGATTAGTGCACATCAGTCACTCTCATAGTTCTTGTTATTTTTCCATCCTATTCCTCCTACTTTATGCATCTCATTACTCAAAACATATTTCGTCATCGAGAGTTTGAGCCAAGTTTGCTTTTGTCGCAATCCACAGGTGACTAGATGGCTGGCAGAAATACAAATTTTTCTTCTTCCGAATCTTTTGTAATCTTGCAGAATGCGCTCTACAAAAATATAACTTTAATTAAACTGACAGTGCTATCAAGCTTGATGTCGAATCATTGGGAGAGATGTGTAGATGGAAAAAACTTGAAGCTGTTGAAGACTTACCTCTGTACCGACCAGAAGGCAAGCGTCTGTGTACTCAAGACCTGCAATCGTCGTATTCACAAGATAGTTTGAACGTAAATCGGCATCGGCGTTCTCCCCATTTCCTTCAACCCACAGCCTTTCGCATCCTAATCTGTTCATCAAGTCCTTCAGAGCCATCATGGACTCTGCATCAGATAGCTTTCCAGCAATCGCAGCCATCTCCGCCGGGTTCACCTTATGGGCAGCTTCGGCAACAGTTTTGAGAGCTTTAGCCCACGATACTGGCTCCAGTTGACCCTCTGAATTCCGAATCATAGGCTCATTCAACCTCTGACGCTTCAAACCATCATACGAAAATCTTGCCTTGTCTGAGATCCATTCCTCATTGACTTCCTGGTAAAACCGAAGAATATTTCCTCGCGTTAGAATCCCAAGATACGAAACATTAATGCCAGATGCGAGTGGTTTATTTCATGAAAACTACAAGCATGAAGACATGCAAATCAGAGATGGACTTCGGAAACACTGTGCAGAAGGTAGCTCTTTATCACAATGCGTACTTACCAAAAGAACGAAGCAGACATCGTTCAAGCAATTCAAGAGACCCATATCACATCCTAACACGTCATGAGCCATACCATCTCGAAACCATCTCGAAAAGATAGTTTTCAAGTAAAAATAATCACGATCAGAGACAAGGAGAACGAGTTTGCTCTACCTGTCCTACCCCGGAATAGTGCTTGTGAATCTCATTGAGTATGCATTGCTAGTCAGTTCACAAGTAGCTCAGTAGGTCTAAATACCTCATTCAGACGTGGGAGGATACGCATCACTTCTGGTCCACGGCTGTCGATACGTATGTTGGCTCCAACAGCATCCGACACATCAATACTCTCAGTGCTCTTCAGCTCCCAACTCCTTGCAGTGAAGGCCGACGGTTTAGCTGTCAAGGCCCCAACTGGGCAAACGTCGATGACATTGCCCGATAGCTCGCTGACCATAAGCTTCTCAACGTATGTTCCGATTTCCTCAGCACCTCCACGACCAAGAACACCCAAATCTTGAACTCCAGCAATCTCTGAAGCAAATCTAACACACCTGGACAATCACGTGAAAGACGACTGGTTCAGTATACAGTTAACATACCGAAAGTTCAAGAAGCAACAATTTACTAAACGCATTGTTTTTTGAATAGATGAAGTACAAAGCCTTGCAAATGATCGGACAGGGTTGCTTACTCAAGTCATCACAAATGTCAGGACAAGCTACGAACACTTCGTTCATTTTTTTCCAGTAAAAGAAGCAAATTAGGCCAATGATTCTGTACGCAATCGACTTGCTACACTGTGCTAAATATATTAACATCCTTATTCAAAATACTTGTAACAGAAACTATGAAACAATCTCACGAGACGACGTCATTCACCTTGTGCACTGAATACATCGGGTCATAACCGTTTTCACCAAAGGTCCCAAATTCTTGTCTACAACACCACGCTTTGCCTCGATGAACCTTCCACGGTCAGATCCATACACCATAGATTGGTCTTGTAAATCGCACTCACCACCCTGGTCGCAAATTGGGCAGTCTAGGGGATGATTGATAAGCAGAAACTCCATAACGCCCTCCCTGGCTTTCTTCACAAGAGGAGTGTTGGTTTTGATTTTCATACCTGGTAATACAAAGAATTCTGCTTAGAACATCTTCTAGTAGACTAAGAGCCTCCGACCACCATCGAGATCTCAGATATAAAAACATCAAGTTCGCTTTCCAGAGGAAGAACAGACGACAATTGAAACTACAAGCCAAGAAAAGCCAAAGCTGTTATCTGTTGGTAAAATTTTACTTTCATCTAAGAATTCTGCGCAGTTTATCTTGCCTTGACGAAGGGCAAGCAAAATAACCGGAAAATAGTGCAGCCAACAAGGCTGAAGAACGAAAGGCGAAACAAGAACTTGCCCACCTCATACCCAGCTCCTTCATTTAAATTTACAAGCAGCTATGCTCCATCACTAATCAAGTCTACGAGCTTGACAACTGGATCTGCAAATCCCAAAGTCTACACCAGCTATGTACACGTTCTGCACGATTAATCCAGCAAAAACCGTGCTGCCTATCATCACATATTCTTGGACTTGACCTACTTGAGAGGATTCCAGGAGCTAAAATAGTCCCTTTATCACCTAATCATGCATCTCCCTTCGCCAATCAGCCCAGATTCGACTTCTCCCACAAATATTAGGGCTTGGACCGATCAGCGCATCGACTCTCCGATAACGAGACACCCAATAGATAAATACTCTGCACCCTAGGTTTAACAATCAACACCGACTCGAGCCAGCAAAATTCACGAGAAAAACGTAGAGTGCAATAGTTTTTCCGTTGAATACATATCAGGACTGACCTGGCATGGCAGGCAAAGCACAGGAAGCGACTGGCTTGGGCGTCTTCTCGACCTCCACGAGACACATACGACAATTCCCAGCAATCGAAAGCCTAGGGTGGTAGCAAAATCTGGGAATATCAATCCCAGCAACCTCGCAAGCTTGCAGGACAGTCATTCCCTTGGCAATGGTCACGTTAGAGCCATCCACGCTGACTTCAATGCAGTCCTCGGGGTTGGCCGTGAACTTGGCACCCACAGCAGCCACGGAAGCAGTACGCGCGTGGCGCACGCCTCCCAAACTCATTCCGCTGCTCCATTTGTAGCTCTCCGAGACCTGCTTGCTCCCGTCCTTGCCCCTACCCTTGCCCTCATACAGCTGCCCCCTGATCCCGGCATACCACGCGACGCCCGAGTGCAAACCCCTGGAACCCGATCCCTCCGCGGCGGCGACACCCGATCCCGCACCACAAATCGAAGCCGAATCCACCACCGGAGACGCCAATCTCCGAGGTGCGGATCCCGTCGAAGATCGACGCAGCGGCAAAGAGTATCGCCGGCACCGCGGAGCCATTCGGAAGTCCCTCAAAACTGTCTCCTCGGGAGAATCGGAGAAACGAAAGCTTCAGCTCGCCCCTCGCTCGACGATTCGTTCTTGCTCCTCCTCGTGCTCGTGCCTTCGTTCTCTCTCTCCGCTGCTCTTCTGCTGTGCTCTGCTCTTCTCTGCGCCTGCGCTGTCCGCTCTCTCCTCTACTCTCTACTCTACTCTACGCGACAAAGGGCGAGGAGGAGCCACGACCGCGGCCTCGCTGCGCTCTTCGTCTCCAGGGTTCCGCTGATGCCCGGTGCGGTCGCGAGCCTGGCACGCGCCTGCCGCGGGTCCGGGAACTGCGTCATGCCAACGTCGTCACCGCTCCTCACATACCACAGTTGGAACTCACGGAAGCTGTGGTTCTCAACCTTTCCAACGACACGAGTTGGATGCCCGATTCTGTTCACCTTGTGCCATGGTTGGGACGAACTTGCCGTAAGTTCAATTTATAATTATTTTCCCTGTTTATCATCACCGGTGTTGACTATTGAAAATTGGATATTGCAGAACAGGCTCTCTCGTTGCTTCAGGTGACGACATGAAGGACGATATGTTGTATTCCAAATTTTTTTTCCTACATTAATTCATGGTGTCTCATCTCCTTGCATGAAATTCTTATAATTTTCTTGGAAAGTTATCCAAAACTCTCTTTCGAGTACTCGAAAAAAATTCGTTTTCCAAGATATAACTTTTCTTTAGTTATTTTGATATTTATCCTTCTTTAAGCGGGGTCATAAACGTACACGATTATATCACATTTTATGGCAAGATTTGGTTTTCAAATGCTGAGATGATAGTTAAAAACCATTCAGATAAGATCATCAACTAGCTAGTGTATGATCATACTGTATTGATCATTCATATTTTTATCTCTCAAGATATAAAAAATACCTCACCTACATTGATCATATGTTATGATCAAACACTAGTTCACGTTATCTAAAAAGGAATAAAAATATGTCACCTACATTAGACTAACTAAGTGTTACGTCATTTTGTAGAGAACACTAACCATCTGCCCATTTCATTACATTAGATGGTTCAATTATACATGGATTTCGTTGTAATATTTACTGCATTTCCTTCAGTACAGTATGTTGAAAAAATTAAGTAACACATTCAATTAAAAAAATGTGTATTTGTTACATAAATTGATAGTAATTTTATCCACAAACTTCTTCCCATGTTTTTACCAAAAAACCTGTGAGTAAGAGGGTGAGAGAAATTTTATCATACAAAAGATATTATTTTTATATGATCGAAAAAAACTATCAACCCATTTTATTAAATTGTGTTGCCGAAAATACATTAAAAATATTATCTAAAGCAAATACACCTTTTACACATTCTTTTGTGTCTATCTCTTCAACTGATGTATATCTTAACTTCATAGTTTTATAAATAGAATATTCCAGAATACTACAAATATGAAATATAAAGAATTTGTCAATAAAGAGTACTGGTAATTATCAATGAGTTCACTATCCATCTAATTCAACATCCAATTTATGTAGTTCATACTTACTCAAGACATTACCTACTTATCTTATCTTAATTGCTCCTATTTTAAATTTTATATATTTACATCTTAAACAATTAAAAGATTACTCACACATACGATGAATTGTACATAAACTTTACAGCTGTTCAAGATTTACCATAGAATTAACGTCAAATCCGATCTCATCGAGTAATAAGTTAATATCCACAATTCTACATACTTGTTCGGGCAAGAACTAAAAAAACCATAACAATACAAAGATTAATTGTAATAATAGATATCTGATATACCTTACAGTAGATTGTTCTGCTACAAGACATGTACAATTCTATGAAGACTGGAAATAGAAGAAAAGTCGAACAGCTAGTGTAAAGACCGACAGGTTAAATTTAAAATGAAAAGTAATCCATAAAATTTATTCGTTAACTCCAACTATGGATAAAAAGTCAACGAATTCACAGTGACAATATCTGAGTGCTCAAAAACAATAGGCTTCATTCATTTCTCCTGATGAAGATTGGAAGAAAATGTTTTGTCGTGCAACCGAGTAAACTCTTCACTCGAGGTAGGGGACCACATGGAGAAGCTTTATTTTCAATTTTGAAAAGTATTCAAATGTATTCTCTTTTATGAAAGCCTTGAATCATGGACATTGATAGGTTTGTCAAATCGCGAATAAAATTCAGATCGATAACTCGGTTTAACAAAAGCGGGAGAGATAAGGCCCCATTAAGTAAAACTTCAACCCCTCCCGCTTAGAACTAGAGTGTGGGTGCAGGAATGACGATGAAGCTACAGACGTTAAGGAGACAACTCAGTGGCCGTCGCTATCTCAATGGTCACAAATCTCATCATGCTCTAGAGGTCTTTGAAGCTATTCCAGCTCAAGTGATGCTGAAATGCAGAAACGTGGTTCTCGTAGTCCGCATGGTGAAAATGCCAATTCGTCCAGCTTTCAGAGGCTAATGATCTGGATTCCAGCTCAAGCTCCTGATTGTCAAAGCATCCAATTTTCACCTCCATGGCGCCCAAAGTCGATTCACACTCGAGCCTGCAGAGTTGGTTATGAGATATATCGTTGGCTCTGTATAGCTCCCACTTCGACCTGCTCAGTTCGTGATGGTACCAAGTCTCCAGAATCATAATTTTTCCTAAATTTATCAGGAATCTCCTTAATTATTAATATTTAAGCATGTGGCAGCCCCGAAGAGTTGATTCCTCCATACCTTCAGAGTTGGACCCCCCTAACAACAGATTGTGATTCCATACGGATCATGCTCATTCTAATCTGGAAATGGTGCCAATTGGGCCATCTGGACAACGACTTCTATCATATTATGTAACCAACAGTGAAGTCGCCGAACTTAGACGCAAATCATTCGCAACATTTTTTACGGAGGTGGAAAAAGCTGCTTAAAAATGAAAAGGTTGATCCATTTTCTTATACAGGAGCTGTCTCCATGCCTCGTCTAATTACTGATTTGTTGAAGCTTGGAAGATGAGCGCAACCACCAAACCTCCCTACCGTCTGACAGTACTCTTCACTTTCGTCGGGACAGGTTCCATGGCCTTCTCCAACCTGCGAAGAAATCGATCTGTAGATGTCAGCATTTTTTGTGAAACGTGACACATGCTTTCAGTTCAAATGTCTGTGGCTCTAAGAACAACAATTTGAGATGGTAGGGTTCAAAGTACCATTTGAACGCAGAGCAAACAATCCCACACACAACCAAGGTCCTTCACCACCCATTACGGTTCAGCAAACTTACTTATTGATCTCTTGTACTGCTCTCATGATTTCCGCAGAGTTTGTCTCCACAACTTGTCCACCCATTACAATCTCATCTAATATCGTATGGACCTGCAATTTTGTTCCACTCAAGATTTATTAATCGATCACGTATCGCATGCACAAGCCAGAACTGCAAAAACTTGAAGTTCAATAGCGATCACTGTCTGTGGACACTACCAAACGGCCAACATTGAAAGGAAAGTTACTACTACTAGGTGGATTGGCTTAGAAGGCGGCTAGGAATGCCGGACGAACTAACGACGAATAATTGACAACACGAGGAAAGACAACGATAGGCGGGGCAGAAGTTAATCTTATATTATACAATGTCATGTTCGACCAAGAAGAAAAACATAAAACGCAGGAAACACGGTCATGGCCCTACCCAGGCAGACTTAATAAGTGTAGTTACACGCTCTCAAACTAGCTTTCCGTCATACTGACTGGTGTGTACTGAAGAGTGTTATGCTCCAGTTTCCTGGTACTAAGGTTGTAGACTGTAACGAGTCATCCCATAAACATTCAAAAAAGGATCAAGATAACCATTGCAGATGAGTAGAGAAAGAACACAAACAGCCTGAAAAGAAATGTACTCACATAACTTTAACAAACAAGCCTTCTTGACAAAGATAAAGCTCTACTGCGAATGCATCTATGTCATGAGACAGGGTATATTGGAAGAAATATACTCTGTATCGGTTACTAAGAAATGCATTTCATAACCTTACATCTGAATCCAGCGGTACATCCGCATGTAACAGAGCTACCTACAACAATTCTCATAACAATCGAAGTGAGTCCAAAAGAGAACACTAAACAAGACAATTTTCATCACAACATCGAGCAATTTTACCGAAACTGAAAATTTAACCAAAAAGAATCAACAGAGTCATATATTTATACCATGATATACATAGAGGCGAATCTGCCATAAACCAGAGATTTCACAGTGCTAGCGGTCGCTAGTGGAAAAATAAGTCCCTAGAAACCATGCGACCTATCCCTCGAAGAGAAAGCCGATCATGAAAAACATCAACTCGCCCATACGCATTTTCTCCGGGAGGACATTCCAGCACAGCTTCTAAAACTACATGGTGTATGTTACACGAGTCCTGAGTATAGCCTCCTGAATGGGCATGGCCTGAGAAGCAAGCCACAACACAATCGTGTCTATGAAGTAAATCAAGCACCTCATCAAAGTTCCAGCAAAGGCATGAAGGAGAGGCAGAGTCTGGATGTAGAGGCAAATGGCTACATATAACGACTTTCTCGCCTGCACGACTTGCGTTGTGCAGAACGATATTCAACCAGGCCAGCTGGTCCCTCCCTACTCCACCGTTGAACATCACGAACCTGGCCATCAGACCATCCAGCCCAACAGGACTGTTCTTATCAGCGTTTGGATTTACTGAGTTAAGCATATGGGTAGCAAGCTGCACATGTGGATGGTCTTCGGGCCAGCCCAAAACACTGATATCATACCCATCCAAGACTACGAACCGAAATCCAGCGGCGGGACAGAAGTCATAGTATGACCGACCGTCTACCGAGGGTGGTATGCTGAATACCCTGTTGAGCTCAGCCCTTGGAAGGTTGTACAGGCAATGATTCCCGATCATATGGTACACGGGTCCCCCATGGAAGGAATCAAAAATCGCCAACACCTGTGAAACTGCTTTACTAGATTCTTCTTTTGGGCATTTCCCATCAACGAGGTCACCAAAATGGATAGCGAAGGAAATCTTTCCATGTTCATTCCATTCAGTCACGGCTCTATGTTGAACCTCAAGAGCGTGCCTGTAAAATCGAGGAGTACCTCCGAAAGAAAAACCATCAGGAATGTCTGCATACTGGACGTCTGTGATCACCCCAAATGAAAACAAAATAGAATCCACTTCCATAAGGTCAACCTTGCTTCTGGATGTCACATCCAAACGTGAAGATGGACTGGACGTGAGGGAAAGCTCGATTCTACCGTTTTGCCAAACTTCTACTGCAGTTTGCCTTTCCGCCGAGTTGGCTTCCTTAAAAGCCAAATCCACCTTGTTCATGATGGAGTCTTTTGCTGGGAACTTTTCTGCTCCGACGGACTTTCCAACAACGGGATTCTCCCCGTCAAGTAAGACCAGTGTGTCTCTCAAATGCGAGTATGGTTGTTGCTCAGCTAGCACTCCTGTAATCTCACGCTGAGGTTTATAAGCTCGAGCACAATGTATCCTGACAAATTCAGGTCTTAAAGCAATGCGATGAATGATTGGGCTGTGCATACATGTTCTGTGAGTGGAGTGAAAAAGTAACAGAGGACCTCTAGTCTGGAGAACTGAAGCACGCAAAACGCCCATTGTCAATATTTCTGAATTCGACCTAACCCTCACTACTTCCCTTTCCCATCGAAGCTCAAAAGTACATGGGCTAAGAGCAAAACGGGTGTGAAGATGCTGAAGACTGAAGTCTCGACTTTCGGTCGGAATGTACGAACTCAGACACTGGTTGCCTGCCAGTCGGGGATAATATTTTATCAGGAACTACTGCGCCATGACCCACACATAACCTCCAAACACGTAAATACGCCAACAACCAGGAAGCTAAGACAAGCCATCAGGTAAGTTATAAGGAATTCGAGCAGCTCTACACTCGGTTCAGACGACGAGCAGGTTTAGGCGTACGACAGTTATATGAACATCGTTCTTATATTCATATAATAAAGGGGTTGGACAGTTCAAACGTACCTTGTTGAAGTTGTAAACGATATCCAGTTCACACACGTTTTTGAAGTTTTTATCCAATGTCTCCACGAAGACTGCCAAAAAAGTCCCCAGTAAGTTTGACATCCGCTATCAAAGTGTGAATCTAAGCTCTTTTGGCCTATGACTCGTTAAAAAGTTGGAGGATATAATACTGGTGAACAAAACATAATTGCAGGAACAGATCGTAAATAAAGATTACACACATGTTTGTCTCGTACATTTTTACAGGCTACTCTCTACATGCAGGTGGCGGGAAATCACAGAAAGTGCTGGTCAAAAGCAGGTCTACCTTGAATTAGATCAAGAATTCCGAGCTCGCTTTCAGCTTTATTAATCACGAAGACAAAGTAGAGAGTTGCAAAATGCCTGTAGACAAGTTTAGTATCCTGCAACGAAGACAGGAACTTGTCAGTGAGTATTAAAGCTTTAGGGCACGAAAACTCTTTACACAATTATGCGCACAAAACACACAGTAAGTATCAATTTTGTAACTGTGTTCGTTACCGAAATCCTATGAGAGGAAGCAGCTAAAAGATGCCGCTAAAAGACTGGGCATTTGGAATTCTGATCCACACACACCACAATGACACTGAAGATGGGCAAGCCAGATCGGACGTCTGAAGAAGGTCTAAGCATAAAGAAAAGCTCCACTCACAGGACCAAATATATCATCAGCTTCGACAAAGCTACAGAAATTCTCTCCTCTGCTTGATAGGACTGCACAAAACATACGCACGAAAACCTTGAACACAGTTTAAACACAGTGTTCTCAATTTAAATTAAGTACCGACATCAACAATAAATTGGCCACTTCCACCTGATTTGTACTTTCTGAACATATCGTTCATTGAGGGTGTAGGGGTAGAAGGTCAAAAGGTTCAAGACTTTGAAAAACAACCATCTACTTTGGAGCTTGAAATTGAGCTGAAAGCCAGACTATACCAGAAGAAGAAGAAGAAGTGTGACGGTCATGCAACGCTTCTTAAGTGGTGATAGGAAAGTGATCCCACCTGAATAAACAGAGCGAATTATATCCTGTTGTTTCTCCACAGCCTTCTCTAGCGTCAAACATAATTCCCAGAAATTTATGTCAGATCCCGGCAAGCTTCAGACAAGGTAGTAGATACTGCGCACGTGCAAATTTACTTCAATTTTCTCTCATAAAGCCGACATGACCTGCAGACACGCTCAACATCAATCTCTACATTTCTAAGCAAATGTTGGCTTCCTGCGAGCAAGTCTATAAACAGCCTCGGGTGTCTTTTCCCAAATCAATACAAATTTGTGAGGGATTTCATAGCTGGTCAACGGCTTCACTAAGCTCAATAGCCAAGATAAACTACGACATCAGTTCATCACACGACGAGAGCAGTGACCTTTACCATTACGAACCAGAATGACTTCCTCATGTGTGCAAAAACAAGAAATTCAACTCAGGTTGTAATTGTAGACGAACTGATACTGGTTAATAAACAGCACAGAATCATCGATCTGACAACGGGCTCGAGAATAACAGTGCAACCTCACATGAAACAGAAAAGCCAGTCATCAGCTCACTGTTCCACTGAATAATGAGCTCCTTGTGCCTGTTTAGTAGAGAGAGAGAGAGAGAGAGAGCAACCAACTTACGACAGGCTCATAGAATTTGGTAAGGCGAGGCTTTCCCTGCGTGTTCATCACCAGCACTGCATTAATCATCGCTCGAATTTTCAATTCTCGTCTGTCTGGCGGAACCGAGCGCGGAAGCTGTGCTGCCGTAGACTTGCAAATCGCTCGCGTTCGGAGAAGTTAGATATGGAGAGCGTAAGAATTGCGTCGACTCTCTGACAGCCTCTCCTCTCTCATCGGCTCATCTCCGGTCTCTGCCAAGTTCCTCGTCCCTTCCTGCTTGCACCTTGGCACCCCTACCGTCTATTACCACCCAGCACTGTTCTCCCCTCGCGCAGATTTTTAACGTTCCCCGGAGTTTCACCTGTACACGACAAATTCGCCCGTTAAATGCTCTTTGTTCTCGAAATCGAAGAAACTACTGCCTGTCTCGACTCCGTGAGCTCTTCCGGGACCCACATTACAAAATGTTCAACAGCTAAAAAGTGTTCGGCTCGTATTGATGAAAACCAGATGGGAATCATCGACGAACCGTGGTTGAAATGCCAAGAATAACAAGGAACCAAATTGGGAGGACGTCTCATATTTTATAAAGTATTCTTTTAGTGAACATGTTTTTGTAAAGCTGTATAGTGTAATAATGAGAACTATGATTTATATTATATTGGTAGCAACATCTCCATTATCAAGATCAAAGGGTATGCTAACAATATAAAAGTCTGGTTTCGTATAGTTCCTATTAGTTAAACAGAACCAGTTCATCTCCTATAATGATTCTTATTCTATGTTAATTCGTTATCTATTCAAATTATGTTTTATTGAAAGCCAATGTCACCTCCCGAGTAACGATGGTTCATTTCTGTTTTACGGTGGGATGACATAATCAGATTTGCGTGAACTTGTTCACTTCTTCTTTTCAATGTGCAAGCAAACGGGACGTATTTTATAATAAATTGCCTAAAGACATATTTCTTGGCAGTGAAATGTAGTAAGAAGATTGTAGTGGATTTGACTTTATTATTCTTGTAGCCAATTAAGTCATGCATTCTCATGGATAGGTGTGTGTACTTTTTTGTGGATTTTCTATTAGCTGGTGAATAGACGACTTACGAAATAGATAGACGACTGGCTGCAATTTTGCTACATTAGCAAAATTGAACCAACTAGATTAAGTCTTGATCTTCAAAAAAATTATATTTTTTTATAATGAATGTTAGAAAATAAATTTTCATTATTACTTGCTCAAAACTTGGTTCATTTTTACCCTGTTTTTAAAAATTTGATCGTAAAATTTCATGAAAAAATTTAGTAAGTTTCAACATGAATCAAATTTAGAAGGAAATTATTTTTTAATTTTTTAGAATTTTATAATACTATATTTGACTTTTTAAAATTTTAAGAAAGAAGAATGACGACTTTTGAGGACATATAAGACTTTTAGGATAAGATGTATGTCACAAATAAGTTTGATAGATGAAGAGACAAGCAATGAGATGAGAATGTTTTCAATATGTTGGGTAGTACATATTAGGAAAAAATTTTCAAATGATGAAAAATAAAAAATAAATCTAATGATGGATTTAAGATTGATATTTATACAATCCTAGTTTAAGTGTTTAATAAATTATATACAATTTATAGAGGTAAAGTAGAATGGCAGCGCATATATTACATAACAATGGATATTATGTGTTCAAAACTTTGTGATAGAACTGAAACCAAGAAGAAGAAAAATAACTATCTCGATGCAAAAATGTGTTCTTGATATTTGAAACTAGTTAAAACTTATGCCCAAAACAACTGTAACAAGCTTTGATTTTGCCATTCATTTTACCAATTAAAGTGATTTAATACTTCGAGGATTTTAAACATCAAATCAATTGAAATTAATATTTATAAATATCATGTATGATTTGATATATAATTTCTTGCTACATCAGATTAACTGAAAATATGCAGATAATCAAGATATATTTTTTGATAATCAATTATATGAAATTGAAATAAATTTTCTGCAATGAATATTATGGAGCTCAAAGCATTAAAGTATGATCTAAGATTCAATCAAAAAAACTTTAATAATTATTTTTCAAAACGATAAATGATTTTGGGACTAAAATTATTCATGCAAAATAAGAAGATTGTTGTGTGATTCTAACTAATATGTGAAATTGTGTATAAACTTCAAAATTGAGAAGATTCAGTCATAACTCAAATCAAACTTGAACATATGGTGATGTTGGAGTATATTTATATATATTTTTTACTTCATCGAATGCTATGAAAAGATTTGGCGATTTAAGAAGCATAGACAATTTTTTGAGTACGAAGAGTAACATTTTTCATGCATAAAAGATGGAATTGTTCATTTTGCATCATCATCTGCATTTGTCTCTGATAATGTTATTTCTATATAAACTGAAATTGCTTATATGTTAATGAAACGGAAGTATAAACTGCCTCATAGTATAAATCCAGAATTATTGAAATGGAGTTGAAATATAGCGCTTAGTTAAAAATATTCATTTACATGAATTTATAATTTTGTTAAAACACTTCAAAATATCAAAAAGTTGAATGTTTTGGATACAAAATCATCTTGTTTTCATCTCATCAAATTTCGGACATCATACTATGATGTCCCTCTAAAAAAAATAGAATTACATCTAGTTATAAGATTTGAAGTCATGGTCGTCACAATAGTACTTTGAATAGTTTTCACCACGAAATTCGACATGAACCATACACCAACTATCACTGTGGTACTTATTTGTGTCTTTTACACACTATTATTATATGAAAATTACTTATCTACTTGGCTTCTCAATAACCAGTTCATATTCATCACGTACTCTTCGTTAAACTTAGTCCAAACATCATAAATAGATGTCTTTATCTGTGTCTTTGAAATACTTAATCACAATGATAGAGTTCATATTGCAGCTATAGCTTCTCATCGAGTTATCTAGAAGAGAAGATTTTTACATGCTTACCATTGATCATTCAATCATGTACACAAAACTGAACATTGGTGTATAATTGTCATCATATGGGGAGTCCTAGATTCTATACATGTTCATACACATGGCAGTTTCAAAGACGTGCAACGAGATCAAAGACACAAACACATAACAAAACGTTGTAAATCATGAAGTTTAGAGTCTTCACAGATCAGGTTATGTCTAGAGTAGTAGAATTACCAAATTGAATGTACTAACCCATATCAACTAGCTCTTGCCCAGTTGAGCACCTGTGATTTACATACGAGGAAGGGCTTCATCCGATGGGACTGATCCGAGATAATTAACATTTCTATCCAGCCCTGGTAGAATTCACTCTCCACCACCAGAAGTGCTTTTCAAAGAGGTGCACTGACCATAACATGAGGTAGTAGAATTTCAATGAACCCTTTGAAGTGCCTTTGGAGTGCCTTTGAACCACAGGAAACGACCTGGTAGAATATCATTTCAGCTGGACATATCTCACGGACTCCCTGTTCACGAAATACACACTAGTTGCATTTACGTGTCCAGATACATTCGGAAAAAGAGTTTTGGACGCGTTCATTTCGATGTGGCAATGAGGCTATTAAACGGGGAAAACATAACCATTCTAGATACATTTGACCCCATAACCCAGCACGGATAAGTGGTGAGAGAGACGTGCGCCTGACGAGAATGTATTCAAATTATACAAAGATAACTGGTGCGGAACAGAAAGGAAGCGGGTTTATACTCAGTTGCAGGATAATCTCCCAATGGTCGACAACTGACTTATCCAACGAGCCGACACCGGAATATCTAACCAAACCATTTAGAATCCAGGTACCACTCCGTGACTATAATCCTTGGAACTACAATGTTTCTCGAAATTCTCTAACTTGTCCAGTTTGTGTACACAAGGCCCAGTCATTCCGTGACCTTCACCTTCAGCCATAACACTGCGAGCCACTCAAACGTTGAAGTAAACGTCTGCCATACTAAATTCTCAACATCACTCCGAACTCCAACCACTCTTATAGACCACGCTTGGTTGACTCCGAAATCTCTAAAAGTTTTCAATCACACGCGTCACTCAGTGACTGTGCATGCATGTGGTGAGGTACACATGTAAATATGTTGTCAAAAGGTACACTTTTCAAGATTACTTCGTGTTGGAACAAAAAGAACAACTGCCTCAAAGTATTCATGGCTTTCAAAATGGCCACAGACTTGAACACCAATCCTCCTACAAGTACTGAGGACAAATTGCCCCTAAAAACACGTGATTGCCCTAAGAAGCTTGAAAACTGATGGCTGAAACAATTTAAAACTCAATCGAGGCGATATGGCTTCTTTGAAACTTGAGAGATAATGGTAGACAATCTGACGCAGGGTTTCAAACAAGGCTTCCATCCTCGCAAGAATACTGTGATTTATCATTTCAACTGACAACACAGAGCATTGATCCATCCCATGGGATGAAAACAAAGATTTGCAATCAATCTTCGTCCAAGATCAGGTTCGAAGTCTAAAGATATGCCTGTCACGTTGGTCTCAGAACGTGCCTCGTGACGCTTGAAAGTCTTCATAGGGTCTAATATGGAAGTGGCAGGTATCGTGAATGAACAATCACAATGCGGAAATACGGCCTAGAAATTCATGTGGAGAGGCTACAAGAAATATGTACAGTTCATAGCCAAATCTTATGAAGACTTTTTTACAAGACCTGGCGACGACATGCGCTGTATCATATGCTTGGTTTGCTTCATTTTTGCTTTTATTTTGGCTTTTGCAACCACCGTTGCTACTGTATTGGAAAAGTTACCTACGGCCATAATCAACAGGAGCAGTCCACAAGCAACCATCTGCCACAGGAAAGCTTCAGCTCAATATTTGAAGTGCTTCATCGCTTGAAATGAAAAAACAACTGAAGGGGAAAGGCATATGCAGAAAAACGTGACTATCATTGGTCTAAGTGTACTTCCAACTAACCTGCCACTCCGATTCGTCTTCGGTAATGGATGTTCTCAGCAGAAGAGCTCCTATCGAAAATTGAAAAATCTGCATTGAAGCGAACCCGCATGCATTGGTTCCTAAACTGATGTTGACAATGATGAATACTAAGAATTTAAAAATCTTTGTCTGCGACTTTACCTTTCTTTTTCTCTAACAGAATACACATTATCAAATAATCAAAATATGAAAACTCATGGAAACATCAACAAACACTAATAAACACTAAGAGTAACAACTAAGTTGAGCGTTTGAAGATTTACAGCAGAGAACTGTGTTACCTGTAAAAGAAACAAAAGAGGATAGAGAACCCAAATCTGCCCTTTCACACCGGAGGTTTCTCCCCAAACTACGTCCATTCTTCCTGCCTGTTCAAATACGAAGTAAATCTTAGTGACACGATGTACACCAAGTCGGAAAACAATGTGAAGCCAACTCTTGAACAAAACATCATTTATAGGCCTGAAACAAAATCTCAACGTCACTGCTTAAAGAAGCGAAGGAAGAGCAAACTCAGATGAGAGATCGTGGAGAACCAAAGTATTTGCAAAGACATTTTGTTCACAGATTTGTAAAAAGGACTCAACATAATGTAATTCTGACCTACCGAAACTCAATACAAAGCACAACATAGTTTGTGACAAATTCACACCTTGCCGAGTGCTATTCTTGTGTACAGGCGTTGCCTCTGATAGCGGTTTTGCAAAAGCATGGCAATTCCTTGCATAACAGCCCAGGCAAGAAAAAGACGCACTCCTTGCTGTCCCCATGACGTTAAGAACCACTCAGAAGTATAAACAATAAACGTCGTGAAAGAAACCATAAACTAGCTGTAAAAATATACATACAAGAAACCAGCTGTACTATGGCAAGGATAACCCCAATAGGAAAAGCAGAATAATCGTTTTGCTGACAAAAATAAGATCATTGAAATCTTGATCGCCAACCTGTCAGCAACGGATGTAGGAAATAAAAGTCCTAGCTGTTTGCAATCTATCTACAGACAGAACACATAATATCTAAAGCGTTACTTACTTGTTTTCGAATGCAACTAGGATGTCCCTGTAGACCCCATGTAAGACTTACTAAAGCCATGACCATGGCGCAATAATGATGATACACCCACCTGCGAGCAAAATTACCCATAACGAGGTGAACACAGCTAAACACCACACGACGTGCTCATCAAACTCATTTTTTTTCATGGAACTCTCCATACTAAGGCATACAACCCGAGAAGACACATACCGCACATTCTGAAACAAGAAGGATGTCAATTGTAACGATCGCTACCGGGTTACATACAACCTAAGAACATGTAAGGCACACATGTATATACATAACGAGACTGGGCTCTTCATACGAGAGAGGTTGCTAAGAAGTAATTAGGGCCAGCTAGTTTCCTTTACACAAACCGGCGTTCTGTGTTATTAAAATTCATCTCAATCATACCCTTCCAGACTCCAGTCCGCACACAAAGAACATGTATTTACTTTGAATAACACGTATATGAACACCATGTTTACGCTTTGGTCATGCGACAGGAGTCATTTATTGACTGTACGTCTTATGACGAAGCACAACAAAATTAATAGAATGTTACATACCATGGTCGGATATCGCTTCCATTGACTCTCAAGATGTTCTCTCGTAGTGCCAAGCTCGTGTAAAAAAAAAGTAACCATGCCTACAAATAAAAAAGATAAAATGAAGCATGAATACAATGACGTCAAATCCAAAACATGTCATGCATGAACTGAAATGGTTTCTTAGAATATGTATATCAAATTAATCGTCGAGCAGAAGAGTAAAGTACAAGGCCAAAAGACAAGAAAGAACATTTTTACTTCATACAATTCATTCGTGCGATTACAAACCTGATATAACTGAACTGGTAGCGCGGGAAAGCATCCGTTCCAGCACCAATTTTTCAACGCTAGTAGGATGACGGGAAACGCCAAAAATAGAATTGCAGTTCTATCCTGAGAGGTAAGAAAGAAATCGATTATGAGCACGAAATAAAACATGACGAAGAAGTTGCAGGGTTTTACAAAGACGGTAGAGTCCTCTCACATCCTAATGGATTTTAAATATACGATCGATTGCAGAAGCATTCGCAGTGAAGATTTTACGGCAAAAGTCTAAATGTTACAACACATAATAAGTACATCTACATCACACATTGTAATTTTCTCATAACGTGAAATTTCACTTCCTAATCGAACGCCACCAATCTTCAAGGTCGATGACCAACTTTTTCAAAACAAGTCAAGATCTTACCCTGTAGCTATTGTATTCTTCTTTCACTTTAAGACGCACATCGTTTCTAGGAGCCCGGACATTCACTGGGCCAAGCAACGTACTGAGAAAGTATCCTGTCAATATTAAAAAACAATTAACCACCTCAGTAAACAAGACGTCCATAATCTCAAAACCAAGGACCTTGTGTTGAACATCAGACGTCAACAACCTGGGAGTTATAATAATTTGGAATGATCGATAAATTCGTTACAAAGACTACATAACTCGTGGCTTTTCATAACTCGTGATGTAAACTTCTCAACAAAATTAACAATTTTATATACAACTGGTTCAAGTTGTTTCTGACTTCAGTTGTTTGATTACCGTTGCTTTACTTTAACTCTTGGAATGAATTTAAATAACTTCCCTACAAAATTGGTATACTATTCCAAGATACCTCCAACTTGACAGATACTGCAACCAAGAAAGAAAAGCGAGGCTACAGTAGATGTAAGGCGCTTGCCGCCTCTCGTCGAGAATGACAGAAAGATACTAACCATTAGGTTTGGCAGGAAGAAGAGATGCGGCATCTCCTTCATATACCATGCTCCGGGCTCTGAACAGATCCTCCTCCAACTGATTGATAGTACACCAAAAAAAAATTTAAAAAAATCAGTATGGCGATGCGCAGATCTTACAAGCTGACACATAAAAGTCGCCAGAATAAATGAGGAAGTCATAGATAGAGGGTTTCGTGAGTAAGATTTTGATATGTATATCGCCACTGGCATCACTCTGGCACACAAACTTGCGAAGATCCATGATTTCCCCCGTTCAAAATCTTTAAGAAGCAAGGCAACTGCAGTGGTTGGAGGGCAGATTACAAACTCGAGATTGGGTGGAGAACGGTCGGTGAAAAGCGAAAGGGAGGGAGAGAGATCTAATCTAAGGAAAGTTGGCAGCACCAATTCTTCAAATTATGCAACGTCTGTACCTTCTCAGCAAGCCTCGGGTTGATCTCATCCTGTGCCGAATTGATGAAAGAGCGAACATTTTTTATATCGGCGACGACGCTGGTCGCCTGTTGGCTTAAAATCTGAGAATCGTACTTGATTCGGGCGGAATGAGTGTTTGCTGCATCTTGCAAAGCTTTGCACCTCTCAAGCAAGCCCGCAACCTTCTCAGCTGCTTCTCTTCCAACATCTCCTCTGTCCTCATCTTCTTTCGGGTCTCGATTGCCATGAATACTCCCATTATTACGATTATCAGATTCGTTCATGTTGTCACCCTGTTCAAAGACTGTGACAGTTCACTGATCAGAATCAACGAAAACTCGGAGCCGAATAAAGAACTAGATGCAGGAGCCGGTCAGACATGTCATCCATGGGGTGCCGATTTGCTCACTGACATGTTTGGATCACCAAGCCCCCCACCCCACACCACCTTCCTGCCCTGCCCTGCCCTTCCTCACTGCGCCAACAATCTCCACCTACTCCGCTCCACTCCACTCCACTGCCCGGCCCGTCCCGTCCCCTCCCTTCCTCCCTCGTCCTCCTCCTCCTCAGGCTCCCGCAGATCCTCGTTCGCCTGGCTCCGGCAGGCGGCTACACACGCTCCGCCTTGAACGGGCCAATTCCTGCTCCGCTCCACTGCGCGACCATGGCAATTGAACGCAAGAGACAATTGTCCATGCTCGCTCGTCGCCACTGTGCTCTGCTCTGACTCAACGAATCGGCCCGCCTCGCAGCGCATGCTCTCCAATCCTCTGTCCTCCCCTGCCCCCCGCTGCCTTGCGAGTCGCGACGTGACAATGGGACATAGATCTTGCTTTCCTTCCATCCCAAGTTCCGATGAAATCCGCTGCCTTTCCCAGCCCCATCTCCTCGGCTCGTCTCTCGCTCACTCTTTCCCTTCAGAAGAATATTGTACAATTCCATTCCCATCATCATCATCTCCTCCTCATCATCATCCATCATATGTTCTCCGTCAGTCCGCCGAGCCTCTTTCCACCTCCGTCCGTTGGGTCCTTCCGGCCCCCATCTGCTAAACTTAGGTGGAACCCTAAGCAAGACAGCCAGCAGCGCTTCCCCTTCCAGCTTCCCTCGAATCATCCGGTGGATCCGGTCGGCTTCGGGCATGTCCTTCACCCAAGATGAGAACCCGGAGGCCAACGCAGCCCGCCCACCATCGCAGTCAACCCTCTCGGCCAGTAGCTCTGCTTCTGGGACTAAACCTAGACCGATGTCCCTGTCTCCCGGGATACGTGGCGCGCTCCGGCCCGGGACACGTAAGCATTGCCTCAGAAACTGACACTCCGTTCTTGTAAATGTAGTGCATGTGGATTGGAATAGATGACTGGGAGTCCACGTGGTGCCTGCATAGTGATAGTAAGGCTTGTGTCTGCCCATTGCGGGACCAGTCGCCGCCTCCGCTGCCAGTGCCTTTCGAATCCGCAGTCAGTTTGCAGTTTTGATTTCTTTCTGGGCACGACGAAAGGCCCCCAAGCTTTTATCGGAAGCAGAGCCTTGCAAAAAGGCCGCAGATGATGTATTGTACCTTCTGTTTCTTTCCCTTCCAGCGCTATGATTATATTGCACGCTACATTATCCTCTGATCGTATCCAATTCGTGTGAACCACTTTCGGTGGATTAGATTTAAGCTCCGGATGGTCCCCTAACTCTTCGACTTCAAACTCGGTAGTCAAGCGGGCGAGAGAGAGTTGATTTCTAAGATTCTCCTGGCATTGAAGCAGCACTGAAGGCTTCATGTCCATGTGACTTCAAGAGTGGCAGCTGTAAAGACTGGTGTCATCCTGTAACCGCCTATAGGCATATTTCACATGAAGATGAATAATGCAGACTAAGGTCATCGGGCAATCACTTATTGCTTGACTGGCAGGACTTAACTTTGAGTTTTTTGCAGGCCAAGTAGGACTTGGCCTGCAAGACGCAACCTTAATTGAACAAAATTCTCTAAATTCCAGAGTCCAAAAAAATGATTTCATTTGATGTACACTCTGTTAGAACGTTGAGATACTCAACGTTATACCATACAACATTTGTGTGTTGTACAGCATAGTACCTCGATAGTGTTGTTACACGGTCTGATGAGGAGTGACTTCTATGCTTCAGATTCCATAAAAGCTATCATGATTTTCAGATGTAATTGTTTGGCTGCCAAATTTCTCTCGGGTAATAGTGGAAATATCTACACCCAACGTTGGTTATACACACCGCATCGTATGAATTGTAACATGGCATTTTACTTAAACATTTGAGTTGACGTGTTTATTATTGGATGTTTAATACAAATTGTAAGTCTAATCACATGTTTGAAATCATGAGGGAAAATTGGATTTACTTTACAACATATGGAGGGAGGGGGAACAGATTCAACATTTATTTTAAGGGATATTTTTTTATTTTTAAAGGCTTGTTTTAGAATAATGATAGATTTACCACCTCTAGAAGCTTTTTGGAATAATTGAAATGAAAAACTTACTTTTAGCTGGTGTGGTCTGAAATATTTGATTGTGAAAATTGGTGTTTAAGAGTTTCCCTATTTTGTTACTGAGATGCCGTTCTAACAAATTGTAAACTGACATAAGTTTTATCTTCAGAAGATGAAACCGATCGTAAATCCTAAACTAGCTGTATAATCATCTCTTTTGAAGACGACGAACATAATGTAGCCTTCACTTGCATAAATTACATCTGCCTCCATTTCAACGACGTGTTGACCTAAAACATAATTTCCATCACAACCCATTATGTATTCAATTGGGAGGAAAATTTTAATTCCACAAAAAATTTTAACACATGACTTGCTTTTCTACGAAAGAGAGCGAAGTAATGTCAAATAATGTTGGGAAGAGCCATCGAGTCGTCTTAAAGGGAAATGCTCAAATATTTTGATTGGTGTATATTTTTTCCTGCACGACCAGGTGCTTTTGGAATCTAGTACTGCTTAAACTACTCTAACTGAAAAAGTGACTGGAACTACTGATACTTCAGAGGTTTGTCAACAGTTCGTCCTTATCTCTGTTTGTGTCCATATTTGTCTTTAACCCTCTCCTCTTGTTACGGTAATATAGGGCTTGATAAACCGAGCTTCCTCTCATGCTCTACGGTAATATTTCACTCGGAAAAACAAAGTCAGTGGTCTTGGAACGAATATTTGATTGTTCCACGCAGCCAACTTGTTTCAATGTTTCAGAACTCCCTGCATATTTCGCAAAAGCATCCTCTTTACTCTTCTTTTTCCGCCGAAGTATCCAAGTAGAGAAGTACGGAGCAATTGAGCAAGAAGGATAAGAAGAGGTGATGAAAAGATATTCAACGACCAAAGATCTAAGGTGGGCTCCATGGGGTCTTCCCATCATTTTCACGTCATCCACTTGTCCCCCTCTCTTCAGTTCTATCTAGACCATTAATGCCAAGAACTTGTATCGAGGCAACAGCCTCAATGCAAGTCTTTAAATTTTTGCGAGGTCGTCCCATCTCCTTTCGCACAATGTCTGGTTCACGCGGACGATGATGAGCTACGTTGCGCCAACGACCAATATGATTTTATGTTTATACAATTTTATGATATTTTACGTGGGAGAAGTTTAGCACACTTGCATAAATCCGTTGACAGAGTTGATAATTCACATGTACTCTCAGTTCTTGATTTTGATCGGGAATAAGCTTTTCTCAGTGAGTCAACGTCCGTGAGCCAATATTCCTGATCACCAAATATCCAGTCTTTTGAAGTAGGAAATTTGCAACCTTTTGAGAATTGGCAATTTTTCACAGTTGTAAGTACTCAGGTCAAGAATTGTACGATTATTCCATCCGGATTTTACAGGTTTTACTGATAAACGTCTACACAATATCCTAATGCAAGAGTGAGCTCTAGTCTGCAGCCTTTGGAAGCAAATGTTTGTTAAGAATTGTACGTGTATAACTGCAGATATACGAGTATAGTACACGCACCAACCTGAATGTGAACCGGTGGGGATGTGGTCCAGACCAATTGCATGAGGATGTGGAAACAGGATCCATAGAATCTTCAGAAACGGACAAAACACTAAGAAAAGGCAATTCAGTGAAAGCCAGAGAGAAGAACTGTCCGTCTTGTGGATGCTGAGAACTTTGTGTCAGTCAACAGTATGCGATACAAATGAGTGTAAACTGCATGATACTGCTCACATTCGTCTGCTAACAGTTATCCACACAATCACTTGGGTACACGTATCGCAAACATTGAGTCCATCTGTTGTAATGTAAACACATAATTCAAAAATAAGGTAATCACTAGCATTTCCCCGTGGCATAGAGACGTGGTTCGATGTTTACAAGACATTTACTCTAGAGAAAAACTACATAACTCGGTAGAGGCAAGAGGAAGCTTGGATCTCATTTCGCTGTAAACAATTCAAGGTATTGTTACGATCAACGTCTGTATGCATTTTAGAGCGCAGTAAGGACCAATATGCATCCACGTAATAGTCGACAGTCACAATCTTGATCAGCTGTCAAAACAGGGATGCTCAAGGCTCCATAAATGAAAGGAAATACACACTCTTCTACATGGACGTTCATGCCTTCGTCAGGCTTCTGCAACAATCACATAATAAATTTACACCAAAGCATAACATTAGGTCCACGGTTAAGAGTCCATGAAACGTGAAGGATATTGGTGCCCGAGGGCGCTTGTGTCCCTGAAACTCGTTGGGCAATGTATGAAAGACGCCGCGCCACGAACTAGTAAACCCCAGGCAAGACTTCCAGGCTAGAGTCACCAAAAGTGCTATGACCATGATTTGCACTCTATCACTTCGACCAAACACTTCTCTACTTACAACTTTTACATGGGAAATGCTGTCTAATCATATCCCCAGGTCATCATGCAGAAGTGCATGATTCTACCGCTGAAGCAAAGGGTGCTGCCAGCCAACTTAAAACCCGTCCTAAAGTCACCATATAGGAGAAACCGTTCCCCAATCATCTGCCATGGACCACATAGTACTCCTGCTTTACCCAAATATTCTGCGAGAATTTAAAAAAACGGAGCCAGCTGAGAGCGATTATGCTGTGCGTAGTATCCATGATCCTAAACCAAAACGCAGGTTGAAATCGAGACTGCATGGTCCGGCAGAGACACCAAGGCTGCCAACTATACATGAAGCATAATCACTTCTTGCCCTTGAGAGCGTCACCCCTCAACTTCACACCTAGGACTCTTTCAAGTTTGACAAGAATCAACTGATTTGGTATGGCCTTTCCAGATTCGTACTCTTGTACAATCTGTGGTTTTTCGTTTATGAGCTGATAAGAGACAACCAAGTTACAAATTCAGTACTGTGCAAGGTAATGGACAGATTCAACAAGGGAAGAGAGACGTCTATACGCTTCCTCACGTTACCTGGGCAAGTTGAGCCTGCGTGAATTTCTTTTCCAAACGGGCTTGCATTATCAACTTCTTCAGTTCCGAAGGAACACGTTCATCTGGAAGTCAAATGCACGGCTGTGAGCAAAGCCGAAAATTTTTTTAAAATTTCAGCAGTACAAAATGATGATTACGAAGATTTTGCAATAACACTTCCTCATGACGTAAACCATATGCATTCCATCAAAAGCAAGAACGATCATGAGTCTTACGAGCTAGGACTTCTGTTTCTTCATCCAGTTTTTTGGTATTCATCCCAGTTGCACTCGAAGCGGCCTTATTAGCTCCAGCATTATCTGCGTAGAGCAATTGTTACAAGTCAGAGATAAATAGTGAAAACTGCGTAAGTCTTTGAAAATCAGCAGTGTAATTGGAAAGATTTGAAGGACGAATGTTCTTATCTGAGCCTTGAGAACGTGAGTTACTAGGCATCAGGCGCCCTCACTTTCGACCACGAAGTATACTACGATGGCCATCCCTAGCACCATAAAATCTCCAAAACTACAATTTCAAAAAAAATCACAAGCGCCTCCGGATCGCATCAGCTAAACTTGGTATCTTTGCCCCACGCTGGTGTGAAGAATTTAGGATGACACAAAGAAAAGGGGGAAAGCTAAAAAGTTCGTCTTTCACACGATCCGTTGCAAAAGCAGATACGAAATCAATCAAAAGTCACAATCAAAAGGCTTTTGAGTAGCAAATTTGCGTAGAATAAATTGCATGTGAGTCCAAGCGAAACGGAGAGACGGAACTGAGAACCCCGGCCATGATGAAAAGAGAATGACTTTCTCAGTGCACAAGAAAAACAAATCTATCAATCCTACTGATATTCAGCCTCAATTCCTAGTAAAAAATGGTAATACGGAATTTTTCGATTCAAAAATGTGCAGAAAAATTTCTGCAAGTAGCGTACACTTCTTCACAGTCTCAATTGGCCCGCCCGCTCTCCTCGCTGCATTCACAGCCTTTTCATCCTTTTTGGCGGCGGAGGTCGGCGCCTTCTTGCGCACAACCACGGGCTCCCAGTCCTGGGTCATTGGCCCAATTCCAGCCATGGAATCTACAAGGTGAGCAATTACCAGCACAGGTAAGAGTCTGTGCAAGGCAAAAAATATTGAGTTCAAAGAAACGAGATGAAATAATCCCCATGTGTGTGGCAATCCTCCTGGTCGAGGCTACTCTCCGATGATACGATGATCCGTCGCTCGCAGTGGAGGGTGGGCTTCCACAAACTTCATCAATATTGAGACCTAACTATCTGGGTGCTTCTCTTCACCTACCACGGAAATGATGAAAGATAAAATCCACTTACAAATGTAACATAGGTTGGCCCGAATTACCCTAGATCCATATTGCCTTCCGAAATTTTAGTAAAAAACAACTCGGCAGATCTTATCACCGACCCCGAGCGATCAGAACGACACATCACATCAAACTATAAACACATAGAGAGCTATAATATGGTTGAACTAGAATCCCGTCTTCAGCGCAACCCTTCTCTCACCACTCGGAATCGGCAAAGAAAAATCACATGGCTTAGAGCAAAAGCGTGACCACCTTCTCACCTTCAGAAAATCGCAAATTCTCCTTACGACTTTGAAATGACGCAACAGTCGACGAGGTCTTGGGAACTGTACAAATGGACTAGCTCCGTTTGGCTAGCGCCGTGTCAAGATCGAACAATTACGCAGAGTGCAGGAAAGGCTGCAGGGCAAGGGCGAAACAGCACAAGAGAGAAGATGAGGATTTCGAGGTGGACACGGGGACGAAGGTGAATGTTGAACAGAATCTGCTTGCTACTCCTAGACACTGAGTTGCTCCGATACCCTAAATATCGGCTCGTACGCACTCCTCGTCCTACATTCAAGGCGAGCACATCCCTCCACATTACCATGACAAGTTGACAACGCAGTTGCTTCCTAGCTGATCCTAGTTCAACTACTTTTTGCTTTTACGAGGAGAGTTACAGTCTAACCATTATATCCAAATGCATTATCATAAGGAATCCTATTACATCTTGCTAGTGATACCATATCCATTTCACACCATTCACATGTATCATCTTTGATTACACTGAGAATGACAACATTTTAGTTATTGTAAGACTCCTAGATATAAGTGAAAATTCGGTTTCTAGAATATCTTTCAATAATGTATAAGATGGATCAACTTTCAAGACTTAGTTTAAATTTTGGGCTTAAAATGTAATGAACATCTCTCGAATTGTCAATTCATTTTCTTCTTTGTTCTACTAGCATGCTTATTTGTAAGAAATAGTCAAATTTCAAGAATTAGTTAAGATTTTATATTCTAAAATCTTAACTAGTTCTTGAAAATAATTGCCTTTTATGACATTATACATAAAGAAGTTTTCATGTTTCCAGCATTGTATAGATAATGCACATTATAAAAGACTATTATTACTTTTCTGTTGAGCTTCACATACTAGTCATGAGAGTCTAAATATACTCATGAAAGTATGTAAATATGAAATTAATATAGACCTTAAGCATTACATAGAATTACTTCTCAATCTATCTAGATGTTTCATTTCCCTAGTTGAGTTGAACGGAGAGTATTCTATTCTCCTTAACCATTTTCATGTTATTTTTTTCAGACTTTAATCTATAATTACTATTAGATAAACCAAACTTCTATATTCCTTTCAACTATATTTCATCACTTCGGATAGAATTTTGTAGATTAATCATGAGACTCTTCGATACATTATGGGTTGTCCAATGTGTATGTAATGTGACACATTACATAAAAACATAATGTGTCACATAAGATTGAACATAAAAAGATACATTATTGGACATAAAAACATTATGTGTCACATAAGATTGAACATAAAAACCAATGTTATTATTTTTTTTCTCTATAGGGATTCTATTGTCAAATATGAAAGACATTACATTTAAAATATATATAATTAGTTGGGCATTATTTACACCTTTTATTATCTTATTAGATATATGTTGGATAAAATCTAAATTTGAAATATGTGGAAACATCAATATCATATTATTGGATACTATAATTAAATTTTTTTATCCAACTTGATAAATTGATTTGTTTTTTTGCCTATTATTCATTGAGTTATCATTTTAAATAAGATGTACATTTATTTATTTTTATAAATTATTGATTATAGTTTATATTTACGATTATTTTATTCTTAATTTGATCTATATAATTATCTAATAATAAAATTATGTAAAAGTTAAAGTAAATTATTACTTTCATCCTCTACTTATAAATTTTAAAATGTTTGATATGTTTGTGAGAAAGTTTGCGAATCAAGTCATATTATGTCAATAGTATTAACATTTAATCTATACTATTATTGTTTCATGAGAAACATCAATTCAAATGAAATTATTACAATTTTGAATAAATGTCAAATCAATTCTTGATTATTAAATGTATAGGGATGATTCGTCATATATCATTACAAGATTAGAATACATTTTTTTAATAAATTTTAATGTCATAAATAGACTTCAACAAGTTTGTATAAACTATTGTTGCTACTTGGTAAATCTGTAAAAAGTAGAGTTAAAGTGTAAAGGCTGAAATATAGGTAACATAATGGGTAAAGTAAAGGTAAAGCGGAATGGATTACCCGGTAATTACCAAAAAAATCATTGAAAATTGCAAAAATCCGTCACGGAGTTCATGGTGCGATTGCATAGCCTGTGACTGACTTCCAAGTTCTAATGTAGTTCAAAGTGGTAATTTTTTTAGGGTTTTGAGTTTAATCAACATTAGTGATGTTGCGTGATGAATCTGACAATCATATTCATAACGCAACTCATTATCTATTGAGAAATACTGAGATTATGAGCACTAATAGCCGTAATTATACCGCGGTGCAGTAAAGACTATACGAGACAAATCCCTCACTAAGGCCGTGACTCACAACGATGATGCGCAACACGTTATCAACTCCAAGCGCAAACAAGCGCGATAATCCTATACTTGGACTTATGCTCACGACTGGGAGAACAACGACCTCGTTCAATAGTGCATGCAGTGACAATGCACAATGTGCTGCAAGTGGATCTCCCACAAGACCAATGCATCGGGATGGAAGTCGCAGATGCGCTTGCACGGTATCACAGATCACGACATCGTCTCGTCCACAAGTGTATGATACAAGCGACGCTGAGCTACGTCCGCAAGCATGTGTTCCCTGCACTTGTACTTGAAGGATTCGACAATGTCATCATCAATTACGTCATCTGAGGTGGTGTCACAGTGCGCCTGGCTAACAACGTTCAGTTCAAACAATTTGTTGTCTCACTTACGCACTGGTATGAGTTGTCGTTGACTTGCACGATCTTCTTGTGCATCGTCGAGTTGCATCATGTACACGAGCCAGCGCTTGCGGCATTCCTTTGCAATCTGATAGTTCCCATCTCGTTGAATCTAGACGACTGATCTAACTGGAGTCTAAAAGAATTCTGCGTTGTCACAGTTCACTAGGTAGACGTCGTCACGTTGAAGATCAAGAGCATTTTGGTGATGAACTTAGATGTCAAATGCGGGGCTGATGTCAATTTGCGCGTCGGGAGAGATATGTTCAAATACTTGAAACGCATGAGCCGAGATGTAATCACGCACGTACTAAACGTCATCAATGATAATGAGTTGGAAGCGACAAGCCCTGTTGTGTGATTTTTTAGCTTATGAACGTTTTTGTAGACTACGAACAGCTGCGTAAGTGCAACTTCCTCAGATGCGTTGACCATTCCGTCCACCTTGCAATTCTGCATGTCTTAAAGCTCATTCGTCAACCCACCGAGTTGTTACGGCATGGCTTGGTAGAATGCGTCCTAGTAAAGCCATCCGACGTCAGTATCGAATCGAGCCCTCGCATTCTGGTCTGAGTAGCACGGAGCCGACACATGGAGATTTGCCAACAAGATGGAACTCGATTTATCAAATATGTGACGACGTTTTTCTCAAATGCGTCATTGTGGACACAATCATGGATCAATACAATGACGTCATTAGTGATGAGACTCTTCAAGATTCGAAATGGTAGCTAATTGCTTGCGTGTTAAATTTTCTTTGTGCATCACGACAAATCATAGAATGCCTCGTTGCAACCTGCAAGTCGTCCTCGACCTTGTATCATTGTCTGTCGCTACGTTGATCAAACATTACAACGACAGTGAGCTAAACCTGCAAGAGATACACATTGTGTCGATGATGATTCCCATGAAGATGAAACTGCAATCTTACGACCAGACCATGAGGCGATAATCAGCCATCATCAAAACATATTTGAACCCTGCAGATCTTGAAGTCGATTAATCCAACCAAGATGATGATGATCATTGAAATTATAAACAACATCATGAAGTGGCGCTACTCTGCCGACATCAATTCAATCAAGAGCAAAGATTTGTCATTGGAGCATAATGCAACTCACTATTCGCCATTATGTTTCAGATGCAAGATGTCGACAGTGGATTTCACGACAAAGTCGATTAGTACTTGTTGATCGGTATTGTCAATGTTTTGGACTTTATCAATGTCTTGTCAAGGTGGTGGGCCTGGAAGGATGCATTGCCGGATCATTACCAAATGATCCGGCAATGAATGATCTAGTAACATCGGCGACGTCGACGCCATTAGAACACGTAAACAGCGTGACCAGTCGTGAATTCACGTGTACAAGCTAGTTCTTATAATTGTCGATATTCATCATAGTCATGTGACTCCGGTTATGAATAAATGTGTATATAATCAAAGTGTCGGTGTATCAAACGACGACCACGGTTGTTGTAGCTGATTTTTTAAAAAATTAGAGTTGATTGTTCAACAGCTTGAGTAGTAGCAAGACGGCTAGAATGAAAAAATTCTTCAAGATAGTGTCATTGTCATGATACACTATCAATTTTCCAAGATTGTCATTAACGTCGAATACGATTTCGGAATAAATTAAAATCACTATTGTGAACCATATAATGATTATGTATAGAGTAAACGGATAAATTTTTACTAAGTAAAAATAAAAATAGATAATAGTGATACAAAAGTTAATGTGTAAGGTAAAGATTCATATATCAATATGAAATTTTTTACCTTGTCAAAATCTAATCATAAGATAAAATACTATAATGTTAAAAATTAATTAATCATAGTGTTTATGCGTTTTAGTGATATCAACACTTACATGAGATAGTTTTTTATTAATTTTTCTTCAAGTTAAAAAAATATTTATATTATAGAAAATATAATTTATTTTCAATATGAAGTAAAATTAGAATATTTTGAATTTAAAAATACAAAAAATTGATATATTATATGATTCAAATCTTATATCATACCACGTATAGAAATTTTTTGAAATATCAATGAATTCAAATTGTGATCTAGTCAAAATATATATTACAATTTATTTTTATACTATCGTATTGTAGATTATGAATATGTATAATACATGTAATATCTTCATATATCAGATTTTGAAAAATATACATATAAGAAAAATAATAATGAATTATAAAGTAATAAAATATGAATAAAAACTAAATTATTTTATTTTTAAACAAAATTCAAAATATAACTTTACGTCGAAATGTAACATGGTTGATATATATCCATTATTCACAATATAATAAGGTAGCAAATTATTTTTTTAAAAAAAAATATATGAAATAAATTTATGAATTCAATGCAGAGAGAATAAATATTTATGCATCATCTCAATTAAAACTAGGTAACTCTCGATGAACGCATCTTTTACCATGTTGTGGAAGGGTGGAAGCAAGTGGAAAATGATACAGAACCGGTAAGAAATGAGAGTCCAGAGTTGTTGCAGGTGCGGGGGTGAAAGCTGCACATCGATTCGAACGCGAGTTCCGAAGCGAACGCAGCAGAATTGATGGCCATGGCGTGTTCTCTTCTCTCCACGGTTACGGTCAATTCGCCGGCCCTGGTCATCGAAACTCCCGTTGATTCCAGAACTTCAAACTCGAGATCTGTAACACCGTCGGTTGCACGATGCCTCTCTGGCATTGATAGAAACCTGTCGAGTAATTGCAATTCTGTGAGCAGAATCGGTAGTTTTGCCGTTGGTGGATTTCGAAGGATTCCAAGCTCGCAATGGAATCCTCTGACGGTTGACGGAGGCGGCAGGAGTAGTAGATTTGTAATCAAGGCCGGTGCAAGCGGAGAAACAGCTTTGGCCGAGAACAAATGGGGACCTCCTGTTCAGCTGGCGACTGGAAAAATTCCAGATGATGTGGACTTGAAACTGTTCGAGAATCTCTTGTTTCAGGTACGACATGAGAGAAGCCCGCTGTTTATTGTTCCCAGCGCATACATCTCGCTTCTTCCAAGCTGTGACAGAAGCCTAGTGCGGGCGGAATCTTAGCTGATTTCTCAAATCTTTTGTTATATTTGAGCTGCAGTAGATAGAGGTTTATAGAAGAAGTTGACTTCTCTCCACACTCTGACGTCTATGCGTTCCAAGATCATGGTTGGTACCTCCGTGCCCCACTTGCCACTCTTGCGGTGTACCATCGTTGAAAAATTTAGCGGCGTGAAGTGTTTTGAGGATATAATTGCAATTGCAGAGTTGTGAATGGCCTGCATAGTGAAAGCATAAATTGCTGCCTGATTGTTAATTGCGGCAATGGTTGTGAGCTGACGGTTACGACTGTGTGCAGTGGGGTGCCAGTCTGACGCAAAATGCGAATCTGCCTCTTCCTGTTCCTCTGAAGGTATGTGCGATTCTCACTTCCTGTCACCTCTCCACTGCAGCTCACGAAATTAGTCACCAGAGCTGTAGGCCCAAAGCGTCACAACTTGGGACCATGAAGATCGTGCTGTATATCGGAATGGAGCGAAGTCGAAAGTATAGCTTCGGCTCGATAGCTTACAGCTTGATTACAGCGTACGGATAGTAAAACTCTTACGCGCAGCTAGCTTCAGGCTCGAGCAATTCGCTCTCATGACGCAAAATCTGTTTTTTTCAGGTCGACAAGATCGAAGGTGGAGTTCGTCTGGGGTACGTGAGGGTCGTGGATGCCAAGTGCGAAGACGTAGTGCACATCGACGTGGTTGTGTTTCCCGCGGGTGACGATCAACCGAAAGCCATGTTCCGCGCTCTTCGCAACGGCCTCATGAAAGACCAGACTCCTCCGGCCGAGCCGCTCATCATGCAGAGTCTTTTGCAGGCGCTGAAAACCGCCGTGGCTCGCTCAAGGTCTGTACAATAGGTTTCTTCGAGTCTCGTTTGTAGCATATCGCAGTCGAAACTTCTGATTTTTGCACATTCTTTGTACAACTTGTAAACATGAAGACAAAGTTTTCGTCTCTCGGCCTTCCTCTTGGCTCACCGTGGGAAATGCTCTACTCGAGCACCAACTTCCATACCATGGATACAGAAGATGGGCAGTGGCCAGCTTGACCTTCTCTGGTCGCTCTTGTTGCTGGAAATTTCGGTCCGAATCCTGACAGCTCAAGCACAAGGTAACATGTGGCCACTTTCGCGGATTGACTGTGAAATGGAATCACACATGATTTGATTTCAGGTGTGCACAATTTTCCTGAAAGGCCCAGACTCCAGAAATCCAACTTGGAAGTCCAAGTCTGGAACGCAGCAATTATCGGAATAGAATGGTACCTACTAGTTGGATCATGCTCTGTGCTTGTGAACACCGAACGAGCCCACTGCAATGAGCATTCTTGAATAGCGGCGAGAAAGAGGCATACACTGACATAGATTGCTTGTTTCTCTATGAAATGACAATAGAATCAACCCTTCACTCGCTGGGCAGTACACGAAAAATTGGTTTCGCTGAAAGGTATTACCTTCAGTATATTCTTCCTCTCCAAAGAATGCAGTCACCGCATCCATTAAATGTGAATCATCAGAATTAACGGTCTGAGAGGCGTCTAGTAATGAAAATGGGAGGTATTCAGGACAGCAGCTATCAGGGCAAGGAGTAGCCCAACTCGTCCTTGACGTAATGAGAAGCTGGCTGCAAATGCTGTATTTTTCAAAACTTAGGAAAAGTTGAGAACAATGTAAACTATAATGATTGAGGTTTTGGTGTTTACTAGTCACGAAGTTATGTGTTTATGAGTTTGGTGCAATGTTACCTCTAAACATCTCCAACCGTGATCTATAAGATCAATTTCAGAACTCTCGTTTGATAGGAGCGTAACTAATGGACAACGAACTCTTAAATCTGATTCAAGTCTTGAAACTATGAACATTTGAGATCTCCAATTTTGCTAAAACTGTTACAGTGATTTTTTTTCCAAGAGATATACATGAAGTTTGGATTCATATACTGTATTTTGAAGTGGGCGTTCATTTTCGCGTTAACAGTTCATAAATGTTGGTTTTGAGATATACCATGCGCACAACTTTGATTGAGACTATCAAAGTTGGTACATGTTTCATAATAATACCAACTTCAGTGCCAGAACTACTTAACAACGAAATCATGAGTTTCTGCGAGTTCTAAATCTTCCGCCGTAATAATGCAGTCCGCCGCAGTGCATCCGTCACGAATTTTATTAGTTTCTGACAAAATCTGCAATGACTTTCAGTGTGAAATAGACATATCAACTTCTTACATGTATTAGTAACAACTAACCAACTACATTGTAGTTGAAGATTCTCAAACCAATACAAGTTGGTAACATGTACACTTTACAACTTCCCATCATTACATATATTAATTATTCAGATTTGTTACGGAGACCGATTAGTTATTGCTCAGTTTGGGTTAATTATACCTCACACTATTTAACATGGTTATGTGATTGATCACACTATTTAACAAAGCTTTGTGATTGGTCAAAGCTAACCCTATGTTTATTAATAATCCTTGATATAGTTTGCACGGCAGAGAGAAAATATGAGGTATAATTAACCCAAACCGAGAGATAAATAGTGACTCAGTTTCTTAGTTTGTACTTCACAAATTCCAAAAAACATATCACTTACACGTCTAACATGAATTATCAAATATAGCATATTTCTCAAGCTGTATAACTTACAATAAACAAACATCAATTGTTGGTGAAAAACACGTTGATGCAAAGACCAAAGATCACAACCAGAATAACATACCCTGTAAAGGCAACATTCCAAAACCAAATCGAAGTGTCTCTTTTTCTCTTTATCAATAAATTTATGATGATTTTCAAATTTGAATAAATTTACTTTGGATTGATAGTGTTCATATTATAGGTTTTTCATAAGTATATCTATAATTCTGAATATCAAATGCAAAATTCACTACAAAGTGTTCCACACATTTATATTTATATATTATTTATTGATATTATTGTGATTAATATAATCCATAAATAATATAAAAATTTTGAAAATAATTCAAAATAAAACATAAAATAGGTTATTTATCTGTTGTATCATGATCAATATATCAATATCCAACATAATTCTGAACCATTGTATACATTTGAGACGCTAAACAGAAATATGAAAAGTTGTATTACATGAATGATTTAATTGAATAAAAAAAATAATATACCAAACATAAAGGATTCAATGTATTAGTAAACTTAATGTATCTTTTTGGCATTCTGTTTATGCATGACATAAAGGATGTGATTTTTGATACAAAAATGATGTGTATCATATTATGATATTTATGAGTTATCATAATTGTGAATTACATATATGTGGAAAACAAAGATGATTGAACAAAACTAATTCTTTTAGATGAATAAGGAAAGAAGACAGTGCTTTTAACTCAAGCTATAAACAGTAATAACGAGGAGATCACATTGTGAGGCCCTTCACATATTGATGCATCCGGAAGCCATCATATTGTTTAGGTTAGATATCATACTTGTACAGTTTTGTTAACCACTAGGCCCTCATCTACTTCCAAGTAAATCAACATCTTGAAAAACAATAAATTCCTTTTGGAACTTTAATGCATTAGATAATTCAATTCCCAAAAGTCTTTTAAGTTATGTGTAGACTTAAAATCTGAAACTCATCAACCCATCATGATAGACACATGTAACATGGTTCACCCTCGTGGGATGAGGGCTACGACCACTAGGAACATTGATACACCTTTTATTCAAAGTAAGTCGAGAACGACTGAATGTACAAGGCACAAGTTAGGGTATTTAACCCACAGTCCAGACTACGTCTCAGCTATAAATAGCCAGATCTAGAGGATACTACTTAACCGGAATTACCCTATGAAAGAGTGTAAGTGATAAATCAAGCATCGAGTAATTTCGCTCCAATCCTATTGACGTCTGCCATTCACTGAGCATGTAATCTACACTTGCTACGTGATATGAATTTCGGTCGATTTTAAACTTGGTTATTCTCAATCTCCGACAAGTATGATCGGGTAAGTCAATACTTGATCATATTTCTCAGTGAGATGCGGTTAAGGGAAACTGACATAACAAAAAGAATGCTGCTCCCCATCACTCATATCGAGTTGAGTCGTCTTTACGTTTAGTACGTAATCTGCGGGGCTGGAGAGTTGTAACTACCCTCGTGAAAGCCACGATTATTCCAAAGGCGAACGCCATGACAGTCAGGGCCATTGTGGGTGGAAGTCATACTAGATTCTGGGATTGTCTGCACATTATTCCTCTGAGAAAAGTAGGTTGGAGGTGTAACGACCGTGGCCATGGCAGAGGGTTATCGCAGAGGAGAGGGAGAGGGGATGGGGTAACACTCAGAGATCGAGAAAGGCATAAGACGAGCTAAAAATAAAAAGATCTCGGATTCTTCTATATCCGGAAAACAGTTTCCGAAGTCCAAAGGGGGAAGGGGTGGGGCTGACTTGGAAAGAGAGGAGGAGGAGGGTGGTGGCTGGCGGCTGCAGCCACGGCCAGGCAGGGCTGGCGACGGTCACCTCCACCGAAACGAAGAGAGCTCAAGAAGGAAGGCAGCAACGAAGGCGCACGAAGGACGAGACGAAGGCCGACCCTAACCTCCTCCTTTCCGTCTCAACTCTTGCGCAGCACGAGTTCGCGAGTCGGAGCCAGCAGCAGCAGCAGCAGCAGCAGCCGAAGAAGGGGATTGCAGGCAGACCCATCGATGCGCGGAGCGAGGGAGTGAGTCCTCGAGCAAGCGGTTGTGCGATTGATCGATCTTCCGGTGGATTCACCGAGTGCCTCGAGCGAAGCGGGGCGGAGATCGGATCGTCGACCGAGCGAGGTTTGTAAGGAGGAGGAGGGAGGAGGAGCAGCCATTGAGCGCATTCATAGATGGTCGTAAACGCGTTGTGTTTGGAGTGTGTGAGAAAGAGCGGTAAGCAGCTAGAAAGGCCGACGAGGACGTTCGGTTGAAGCCGAGCGGACAAGGGAATTTCGGCCGTCGGAGAGGGGAGGAAGGCGGAGAAGGAACATGACGGGCAAAGCCAAGCCCAAGAAGCACACTGCCAAGGAAATCGCGGCCAAGATTGATGCGGCCACGACCAATAGGGGTGGGGGCAAAGCGGGTGTAGAGGACCGTAAGGCGTTGGAGAAAGGAGGTCATGCGAAGCTGGCCTGTCCAATTTGCAGGGTCACTGCACCTGATTCGAAGAGTATGCTGATTCACCATGAAGCTCGCCACCCGAAGATGCCGTATGAGGAGGAGAAGCTCATCAATCTGCATGCTACTACGCCTGTGGAAGCAGAATCATCTAAGCCCAAACCCGGCGTCAGGGGCAGCTTGAAAAAGTGAACTGGGGTTGTACACCCTGATCATAGTTTGGATGCATTAGCGAGCCTCATCTCTTGCCACGAAGGTATGCACGGGACGTCAGCAATGTCTGACGACTAGTTCCTGTCTGTCTGCTGTGGTTGGCTCTGTCTGTTGAAGTGAGTGCACGAATTAGCTATTGAAGATTGGTCTGAGGGGAACGAAACCTGAGAATCGAATCATAGTGGACGAGATGTCAAACACTCTAAACACGCAAAGAAGAATCATCTTTCCCAAGTCGCCGAACATCTGGACTGCCGCAGTGTCGCAAATTGTACACATTTTCAGGTGCACGAAGTGGAGTATAGATCAAGGCATACGAAAGGATATAAACTGGAGATTTGTGGTTTCCCATTTCTTACCCGCACTACTCTGTTCTTGTCTTAGTGTGTGACTAGACTTATCAAACTTTTTCTCCTGACGTCTCCTGTTAGACGCCAGCAGTTAAATCCGAACTGATATTTGTTTTACTTCGGACGAAATTGTAAACCTAATTTTGGTGTTTGAGCCAGGTCACTGTTTTCTACATACTGAGGTGGATTGGCTGAGCATGTTCCCATTGAATAGCCATGAACTTTATCAGACCTTCGCTTCATCTATTCTGACCAGGAAGGTTGCACTTTCAACTGCCGGAGCTTGAATTCCCTATCGTATGTCATGAGTTGTTGTCCAAGTTGCCTAAGTGCCTGTCGTAGCTGTTATGAGATGGATTCTGTTGTGTACCAATCTGCAAGCTTTTAAGGGTTTGGTCCCTTGCTCATAGGGGTTTTTCTCCATAGCACGTGGATTTTGTCGCTCCGCCGAGAGTAGGGTGATAGTACTGATCTGTATTGAAGTTGAGAGCAGAGTGTAATGTAGTTTATGAATTCTGATCTACTAGAACATGGTGTGGTCATCATATTTCCATTCTTTCCCGTGGAATGAACCTCAACCGATTTGTAGGCTGCAGTAGAATGATGACGAAAGAAAAGGGGGGAAATCCCCACCCCCTCTTCAATCCCACATTCTGTCAGTATCTATCGAAGACCATCTGCATTTTTAGGCCTACCTCAGGGAAGTCGTGTCGTGGGGAAACGTCTCTGTAATTTTTCCCATTGAGAATCAGTAGGACAAAAGGGGCGAGTGTGTGGAGACAGGAGAAAGGAACTCGAGATTCTTTTAAAGTAAACAACGAAACGGGCTAAAACTGCAGTCAGTCGAGAGGACAATTCGAAAGGAAATAAAGGAGATTAGGAGGAATGTCTAGAAAACCCGCATGATTCTGGCAAATCTCAATGTTGTTGTGTAATTCATCATGCTAAGGACACGCAGGATCTAATGAACGCAATTCGTCGAGAAAGAGATGAGAAACGAAGTCATGTGAATCTCTCGGAGGTAAGCAGCGGTTGAATCTTAATGAACAGTAATGCTCGCAATGAACAGAGGTTAGCGAATACATCGCACAAACTTGATCTATTTAAACAGTCAAGCCAACGACCAGCAGACTAAATCTGAGAATACGTGTATAATTCATGATGCTCATAATCTTGCACGCAACTTCCCGGATATCATGCGCTCCCGGAGATTACCACTGCCGAAGTCTGGATGAGTTTACCCCTTTGATGTCGTCCCCACGCAACTTCAGGATGTCTCCCGAACTGTAGCTATATCATATAGGCTTGTTGGAGAAAAACGTGACCAACCCCTTGTTCCATGACCCCACAAGCACAACATCGTGGATGTAAACTACTTACAACAGTGGCTATTTATGCTCCTAAAAAATGAATTGATTTTAATGGCAGACACAACCTTTGTGAGAGGAAGCACGTTTGGGCAACAGCAATTGTATGCCAACTGCAGCAACAAAAGGTCAAGGCAATCGCAGCAAGTTAGCCTACTCCCAAGGGGTTACATCCAGGAAAGACTTGCGCACTAAGTGAAGTCATTAGACCCAGTCATGGAGGGAAGGAGAAGAAAATCACGATTAATACAGGTACCTCTGTCTTCGCGACGATTAATCGGCCGCGTGAAGAATATTCGTGAAGAATGTTGGTGTCCCGTTCACGTCGAACTCGAATGTGAGGCTACAGCGGCACGTACAACATACAGTTCATTTACGGCTAGCCCTAATTCCAAGCGTCACTACTCGCTGTCGGGGAATATAAAAAACCCTAGGCCGTTCGAAAAATGTAGACCGAAAGTATTTCACAAAGTGAAAATTGGCAAGCAAAAGTTGCACTGTCATCAAGAGTTCGGAAAACACTAAATGGTAAATAGATCAAGCCCGTGGGACCCAAAGGGTCGAAAGGCTGAAAAACACAGTACAATAAAAAAAACAACTAGTGCAGCATGAGTGGAAAATAAATGAAAAGCCATGCACGCGTTTGAGTTTAACACGAGAGTGGTTAAGATTTGTGATTTGAAAGCTGAAAGAAGAAACTTGCGACTACCTTGACTTCTCGAGAACAAACCGGTTTATAAACTTGTTTGGGCAATAGACTTGTGACAAACATGGGTGTCACACCGGTTACGAATTGTGTCTAATAAAACAAGTTTAGCACCATTTCAACAGAACCTAGAGTGGTTGGAAACTAGGGAATTCAACTCTATGGTATCAAACTTGCCCACAACACTGAATACCTTTCAAGTGTTTTGGTCTAAACCCAACACAACTACATCAACAAGCTTGATAAGATGTCAAACGAGAATTTTTCTAGTTATGATTTTGATGACAAGTAACTAGATCCAATACTAATAAAAACCATGGCATTGTTCAACTTGCAAACATGATCATTATCACTAGTTATGTAGCGGCATAGCGATTGGATAGCTGCATAAGATATCCGCATAGTTGTTTATAAAATATTATCCATTATAGTGACAAAGGTGGGATTTAATTCATGTCATATATATGTGTGTTTTCTTATCTCTAATTCTATCAACTTTTATTTCAAAGGAGTGAAAGGAGAGTTGAGCATATTAGCCTGTGTACAGTGTTTTGCAGAATTAGTTGTAAAACTTGATAAAAAACTTTTAATAAGATGTTTCAAGGTCAAAAAGAAAATCGCACAATAAAAGCAAGTTTTTTTTAAAAGATTTTTTTTGATATTTTTCAAAAATTGACTTATATATCAAATGGGACAAAATGAAGACAAAAAAATATCACCCATGACTACCTTTTTTCAATTCAAGAAGATAAAATAAGGATATATAATGTTGTATAGCTAAGATGAAAAGAAAATGTAGATTGACATGGATTTCTGTGTAAAATTTAAAGGATCTATCAAATGATGTGAATTCTATTCAAAGCAAGAAAGGTATCTTTATATGTGTGAAACGTGTATAATATAATAAATTTTATCATGATAGCTGTAATTTGAAATTTTTAAAAAATAAAATTGTAATAATTTTTCCACATAGCAAATATTTAAATCTCATTCAAAATAAAAATGACAAGAAATTTTATTCATGATCTTGATGAACAAATTGTTTTTTACAAACTCTTGTTTCATTGTAAATCTAATGGGTTTATTATTGTATTTTATCCAATGAATAAAACAATGATGCATGAACAAGTTTCTTCTCAAATTAATTTCTAAGAGAATAATTACACTATTTTGAGATATTGTGTTTGCTTTGATACTCTTAGAAACAAAAGTACTGGCTGGCTATGAGAACAAAGATTCTTTGAATTTCAAGATATATTTGATTGAATTCTTTTAAATTTCTTGTGTTGTGATTAGACTTTGTGAACATTTTGCAATATATGTGTATGAATTATATGAATATATCCATGATCTTTAATCTTATATAAGATCTAAATGTATAATATTTTAAAAAATTTACATAATAATAATTTTATAATTTATTTTATATAATTTTATTTTTAAAACAGACTGTCCTATACTCAACCAGATTCTTTCCATCTCTCAAAGATTCAATACTTCAATACATATACATATGTAATAAAAGATACATCATACACTTTACTTTCTATTTCATCATGTGCATGATTCGAAGCAGATTTCAGTGGCTAAAGCAAATTTTTAAAATATTTATATGAGGTACACCATATTTTCCATTGAGATGAATTTTTTTGTACTCTTTGTATTTTTTGTAGAAAGTTTCTTTAGTAAAATCTGTCTTTTTAAACTTGAAATTGTTAAAAATGTCAGATCTAAAATTAACCATGTATCCATAGGCAGGAATACCCCCGTTAGCTGGATTTTGTAGCAAATTCTATTCGTTTTTTGCCGCTTTAGGCGGTGGTATAAACTTCATAGATAGAAACTTATAATTCAATCTAAACATTTATTAAAATATTACAAAAGTTTCGCAAAATTTCAGCTTTTAATTATTTTTCCACATCTTTATCTAAGTAAACGCATATACCTTCTTTATGTTAGTTTAATATTAGTATAAATATGTAAATAAATAAAAAATCGATTTTAGAAGAATTAATCAAATTATGAAGACTTTTTTTTAAAAAAATTTAATTTTTTTCTCGATATCTACACATAAAAATTATTTATATCACCTTTACTCTACATAATGAAATTTTTTCGTAATGCAGTATCATTGCGCTTTTAAACAAATTCATTGTGACGAATATTTTGCACTATTCAAGACTGACGTGCTACAGTAAATGCTATTCACAAAATGAATATCAATAAAGGTCGAAGAGTAAATTACTTACTATATATTAACATACGATGATAGATTTGGAATTGTAAAAGACGGATAGCACTCTGTTTATCTGATGTTCATCTATTATTGCGGTGCTTTGCGACCTTAAGCTTTTACGTACGTCTCTGTACATATTGTCCGTCTTCATTCATACTGAGGTTTATATCCGATCCAAATGATACTCCTCTCCAGTACTCCAAATTAAACACTATAGACAGTCTCACAGAAAGAAACACAACATGATAAAACAAAAGAAATACGAAGACATGTCCAAAACTGTGAGGTACTTAAATCCAATGAGAAAGGTAGTGACGAGATTTTTTCTTTCACAAGTAGACCTCAAATAGTTTTTGGAATACACAACGCATTCATGAGTAGCCACACATCCACAACATAGATTTGATAACTTGAAAGAGCTTTAAAACCTTTACTGACATGCTCGTGGAGAGACTTGTGGTTCTAGGTGACTGTAACTTCCAACTGTAATCTGAAAGCAGTTCCCTCAATCGGAGGTTTCTCACAAGTATTCCCTCTGTACAGGTCACAACGATCCTTCATGACACGGGCTCCTGGATGAGATAAAGCAAGGCCTACAGTACGGCTGACGGGGAAGATGGCCTGAGCAATGACCAACCAATAGGAGCTCCATGCTGCGAAATATGTATATTAGAATTGTTGTGCAGCTCAAATCGGTCATATATGACTACATCTACATCGCGAAACATGCTAGTGGGAGCTCCGGGGTCTTGCACAGCTGGGTCTTATTGATCAATCACAATGGTATATTCACATACTCATCAATTGTTCTAACTTTTGAACGGGCCAAGAAATTAAAGAATCTGCCAGTCATCCTCGGGAGAAGAAGCTGTGTCTGCATTTACATGATCTTTCGTTGAGGACTCCTGTACATCTATGCTAAGCTTGTCAAGATTGAAGCCATCGGTGGAATGTTTTCTGCTCCTGCCCTGTGCAACGGTAAACATTGGTGCTCCTTGAGATTGCGTGGCGAGTTCTGACGCTCGTGTGCAAAGATCATCGAAGTCCTCTGAAGGTTCCATCAATCGAAGTGGTGACAAACAGGTGGAAATTAGTAAATACAGTTAATGAAACATACATTCCTGAGTGATTCTAACCAGCAAAAACCATCAAACTGTGGCTTACCAACTAAGGTTGAAATAACAGGAATATGCTATCAGAAGCAACAACAAACTTACTAGCAAGAACGACCATAATGTTTTATAAAGTAAACAGAATTCCTCAATATGAATCTCTCGAGCAATGTACCTCGACTTTTACAATAGAAACCGAGAGCTAATGAGGGATCGATAGCGTCGAGAGGCATGCGTCGTACTTCTCTGCAAGGACGAGAAGGTGTCAAATAATCTATATAAGACGATTTCCACTTTCCTCATGAATATTGACTTTTCATGTAATATTCCTTGGCAGTATCTGGGTTGAGAAAATGCAACCTGCAGTGATATGAGTGGGTATCTGCTTCCACATCGTCAGGTGAAATGCTCACCGCCTGGTCAAATAACACATTAAGTCAGTATTAATTTGTCATCTCATTGACTCGACGGTTGATTATTTCAGAAAGCTTGCCCTTTCAAAGGTAGAAATATGATACGAAGGGTTGTAAAAAATAACTTAAAAGCACATCTACTTGAAAGAAACACGTCTTACAACGTCAATAAAGAAAAGGCCTGGCATATTTCATCAATCTCTCAGAGAAAGCAGTCTTGTGAGTTATACCGCTCAAAGTGATAACAACGAAACCATGACAAATGAGACAATTAACCAGAACAACTACACACCTGCTGCGTTTCATGAGGATCAAGGTACAACGCCTGATCATCTTGTATTCCAACTAGATAGTGTGACGCTCCTGGCTTCCCTCCAGCGATGCCAAGACTCTGAGGAAATGAGAAGGTTGCCCTTAAGGATGGCAAATACCTGAGATAGGAAAAATTAATTATCATAATGATAAAGTGAGCAGATTTTGAACATTAAGATTTAATGAAACCGTTTGAGATTCCAGTGTCCAGTGTACGAATTATCGATTAGACTATCGTATGTATTTCAGCTCAAGACATAGTAAAATGTCCCATGACCTCCATCCACTTCAGAACCATAGCAGAGATATCAAGAACCAATACTGAAGAGGAATACTGAAAGAAATCCTCATATTTGCAGAGCATGAAATCTTAGGTTAGGACTTCGAGTTGAGGTCATATCTTCGGCAGCAGATGCATGTCCAAATACTATCATAAACATCAATAGAATGAGCAAAATTAGATTTACATCAGCATCATAAATGTCCAGATGACCTACCGTGGATTGACTTTCTCTAGCCCCAAAACAAGAGGCACAAGCACTAACAGTGGAGCCCATTTGCCCGGACCATCCTCCCATTCAGCGCATTTATCCGTCACATCCTCGATGAACAGAACAGGGGCACCACCTCGTTCACCTTCCGCATCCCCAGATACAACGCAAACTGCCATAGGAAGTGCGCGCTTCTGTTTCTCATTCTTTGAAGCTTCTATGTCGGCCAGAGCAAGTGCTTCGATTGTGCGACACAGGGCATATGGGCCCAACCAGGACCCTGCAACTAGACCATAAGGGCTTCCGCGCTCCAACAAGTTGTGTATCGAAAAGGGATACAAAGCACCACGACAGTCTCCAAAGCTTTGCAATATCTCCAGATATTTGCGCTCAAGAGGCTGCAAAATAGTCCATTTCAGAAGCATAGTCAACTATTGACCAGGTTATGCTTCAGAAATTTTGTCCAGATGGGTCCCTCACGAGTCTCTTGAGTGATGGAATTTAGCAAAAAATTAGATTCTTTTTAATTTGACTGCAAACTTGTGCACTTTGCAAACTGTTCAATGAACTAAAAATTAGGAGTTGCATATTAATACCACAATTCTAACTTTGTACCTTTCGAACACAGTGAACAAAAGTAACCTTATCATAGTCTGCCGCTAAAGTGAAATTCTGACAAAAATTTATGGCACAAAAACTTCTTACCTGGTCTGGGTCCAGCCTCCAACCCCTCCCTAAATGATGACAAACAAGGGCCTGCAACGTGGTGGAATCCACTTCGATTTTTCAGCTGGCAATTAGATAAGCTCTGATATTTGAAGTCAGTTGGTGTGACAGCGAGAGCATATCCAACCAAAAGAAGAGGGAAACTACATTTCTTTGCAAAGAGCCGCAATAAACTCTCGTCATTGCAGCAGCACAAACAGTCGGCCCAGGACCATCACATGATTGAATTTGAAATATCTTGACAGTCGATCAGACTTGCAAATCAAAAGGGATATGAAAATAAAAACCTGAGCTAAGAGCATTTGGCCACTGCGTAACATGCAACCCCACCCAACATCACTTGTGAATTTTGATTGGCCCAATGCTTCAAAACCTGCTTGACACTCCAATCCAGGTACCGATGTTATGATCATAGCGTTTCAGCGAGCAGTCACGAGTCATCGCATGTACTTTTATGAAACGCAATCTCCTCGCTTTCAGACATAAAAATCTAGACTTAGGTTTGTGAGAAACTGTAAGGTCATGAACGCCTACCCCGCCTGTACGTGAGCCACACCCTGGAAGAGAAATCGAGTAAAAATTCAGCGACAGGCTCATCCCGAGTCTCGGGTTGGAATTCATAAGAGGCGCCCAAGACCCAGATTGTGCTGTTCGAAGCAGTTCCACTAGTCCACTTCGCTCCCCAAATTTTATCGTGCAGTCGCCTGACTTGATTGCGCGGTTTCTCCATCAACCCAAGAATGAGAGACTCCCCTGCCTTCAAATGTAGGGATCGAGAGACCTCCGAGACTTTCTTGCTCCAAAAGTTACTGGCCAGTTTGGTAGCCTGCTCCTCCTGTTCGGAATTCGTTGTCATCTGTTAGATACAACACTGATCTCTCCTGGTTCGATATCAAATATTCTCTCGCACAAGAATGGCTAACTCGCCGAAGGCCACGATCAGCTCTGCCCGATGTGGACAAAGACCAAAACTTTGCAGACATTTCTCTCCTCAGCCAAATTGCCTGCTTCTTGGCCCTCTTTTGGGATTAGCATCCCACGCCGACCACCAAGAATTCTCCTCCCAACTCAAGGAACGCGGAGCTAGCGCGATTCCGGCATCAGAAGAATTAGATCACAGCGACGAAAATAACAGCAGCAGCGGGAGGAGCAACACAATACGCCACCTGAATCCACCTCGGCACAAGCAATTAGATCACCGAGAACAGGATCCAGCCTCGGCCCAGCCAGCCAGCCAGCAGCCTGCCTCAGCAGCCTAGACGCCCACTCCTCTTACCTCCCTCCATCCCTCCCGTCCCTCCCTCTCCCTCTCCCTCGTCCAGCCTGACGACACAGCCACGGACATGGCACGCACTGCAAGAAAGGCACGAGCGAAGGCTGGCCGAGCCCAGGAGGAGGAACGGGCAGACGACGACGTCCGACGGCACAAGCCCCGGCCCGGGCCCGAGCGTAAGGTCCAACTCGGAAGCCCCTTAGAGCACCTGCAGCAAGAATCTCTGGAACCCAGAGTCCTCGGGCGATGTCTTCGTCTTCGCACTGTGTGGTGTGTCGATACAGCGCCACAACTGCCCGCTCACCGGCTGCCCCCAGTTTCCGGGCTCGCTTTCCACCGACGGGTGTTGTCCGCCTCCCCGCGGAACATTCATTTCCCCCGGTCTCAACTGTAACATGTAACTCGTAGAGTGAGAAGGAAGAAGGATGGCGACTTGCTTCCGCATCCGGGGGCTGGCGTCGGCCGTCCTGACTGGCCTGTCCTTCCTTCTTTCTATGTTTGTTTCTTTCCGTCCTCCTTCCGTTAACCGTAAGTACCTCACGTGGCGCGGGACCGATCTCGGTGGAGGTGGTGATGCCTGTCCGTTCGCTGTACAGTAGTCTTTCCGTGTTCGATGATGGGGACAGGTCGGTCGGGGACGTGGACCCAGCTTGTGGGATTTGGCCACTTTGTGCCGTGACCTGGCCGAGCCTACCCGTCGCTCAGGTTTGCTTGTTCGAGAGGTGAAGCGTGCGGGAGTGACATGGCGTGAAAGTCTGCACTACTGCCTGCGCTTTTGAAGGGCTGGCTGGTCCGTCGCAGCGGGAATACTTCATCATGAGGCCTGGCGCGCTCGCATCTTCACCAGACCGCTTGCGATCCTGGAGCGATGCTACGACTTGCGCGTCGATGCTCGCATGCGTCGAGGTTTTGCAAGTTGCGCGACGTGAGTTTTGGATCGAAGCCAGAAATTCGATTGTGCGAGCTCATCCGTTCGTCCCCTCCTCCCCTTTCGTCACTGCAACCGCTGGCTTCAGAGGTCAGGAGGCCGAGACCCACTATTCTGACAGGTGAACTTGACGGCGGTACACGTCGCAGCGTTGTATGCAGCGTTCGGTGCGAGCCAGCCGAGACAGGGATACACATTTGCACCCCGTGCGATTTTCTTCACACCGCGCTCCGGAATCGTCACTCGAAGAACATTCTCAACCTTGCACAAGAACTTCGTATTTTTCCTCGTGCACGTGCATTTTCTTGGAGTAGGAGACGCGACGCACGAAGACCAAAGAGATTATATGAAATTCGTTCTGACGAAGAATGATCCAAATGTGCCTTGTTTAAAGAGGCGCGAATGCAGCCATTTTGGTGAAACTGCACTCATCTTCTTGGTTTCGACTCTTTCGACCTTTGGGGCCTGTGCAAGTTTTGGCACGCGGGTTCAGAAGACCGAGGCGAGTGTAGAACCCCACCGCTTTGTGTGGACGTAGCAGCCATTGGTTATTGCATACCACGTCGCAAGGTCCGGTTCGTAACAAAGCTTAGTGTAATAAAGCCATGACAGACAGGGGCATATTGTACTCTACACGGAGGCATCAGCTACATCAACCGCCAGGCGAGCAATCTCTGCCGCAATGCTTGCGTTATGGTCTACCCACCTTTTGGATTCACCCGCGTAACATACACTACCTGGTCTAAGAAACTGTCTGCCGTACTGCACTCCAAGATCAGAATTGGGAGTGAAATATCAGAATATACTCCCCGTGCGCAGACAACTACGGAAATATGATTCACGCTTTGTGTAAAATTCAGCACAAAATGTATGTATGCCCTTAGAGCACAGATATGCCCTGCACTTACCCATGAACCCATTAACTGTTGCCTAAGCAACTTGACCATAGTTAGGATACAAAGTTTTCCACCAATATCTCGTCATGAATGCCCTCCGCTCTGTCAAATAATCTGGGTGTTTCTACGGATGGAATACCTCTCTTCTCGCTCTTCTGTAATACTCACGATTGGTATCCATCTTTTCCTGGTCCAAAAATCTATACGTATATATCACACAAGCTGGACTAGAACCTACAACTCCATACAACCTCCCATGACTTATTACGGCTATAATGTCCTTGGTAATTTTAACCACCCTAGACATGTAGATAAAGGTCATCACAGACGGTCATCCTTGATGTGAAAGTGTAAATATGAGCTGGTTCTTCTTTTTTCAAAATTAAAGGTCTATACTTGAGGAAAATTCTAAACGCCGAATACAAAAGAACATATTTGTACAAAGATGGATGCCCACTTATAAATGTGATGCGTTGAGGGAGTGAAAATGCTGCTAGAGGAGTCCAGGTCAATAGATTATAGAAAGAAAAGTTGAAGTGTAGATAGACCTACTCTGCCAAGAATTCTTGAAGCTCACACAAACACGGGAGTCTATAGAACTGCCACCGGTCTAAAGAGTGACATTAGGGTTGATACAACACGTCGTGCCAAAATCCAAGTGGATTTAAAGAAATTGATCAGGTTGATTTTATTTTTGGCTTTGCCTAAAGATATGTGAATAATTTGGGTAAAAACAGTAGCAAAATCTATTGGATTGAGGGTACATCTTGATTTCTAACATGCTATTTTGTGATTAATAGCGTGAGGAAGAAATTATGGTATTGAGAAGGATGACATTGATTAAATGAAATACATATATGAATCGATTATATTGATTTCCAGTAATTTGATCCTTGAATAAAACTTATCGCTGGGTCCAATATCACAATGATTACGCATAATCTTAGATAAAATTTTGCAAATTATTTCTTCAGATATTTGCAATATTTAACTATCTATATGCTCATGCATAAGGTGAAAATTGCTTAGATCTTAGTTGCAAGATGTAAATATTGTGAATTTGAGCATAATATATGCAAGATAGATGGATGCAATGAAGATAAACATTCAAATAAAATAATGATCAAATAAAAATTATGATTTCTTTGTCCTTATTTATAAATTATTTTTCTAAGATAAAAAAATTGACTTCAAAGGTGAGAAAATCATTTGAAATTGATGTTAACTATTAATATCAAAGTGTATTATTTTATTTTATGAAATAATGAGATTAGAAAAAACTTAATTGTATGTTAGAGATTAAATCAGCTTATCTGGCATCTTCAATAAACTGTAATAAAGTAACTGAAGTTGAATAAAATGTCACAATATAGGAAAACTTTTGTGAGCTTTGAATGACACTTCATTGCTTTTTTAATTACACCAGGAAATATTCAATCAACTTCGCCTGCAATGATAAACCACAAATGTCTGATATCTTTGTGCGCGTGCATTTTATATTGATGTGTTTATGAGTCTTCAACTGATGTGTTTGACTTTTTGTCCTTATGTCGTGTTGTTTGAGCTTACAACAATTCAATGACATGATTTGACTTTAAATTTGCTAGAAATATGCTATAATTTGATCGATGTGTGCACTTGTTGCAACATCTGCATGCAAAAAATCAAGAGATTTAGATTTAGAAATCATTATATGGATTGAATCAAGCTCTTAGAATGTAGAATTCACCATCTGATGAGTTCATGAAAACAAATTTTCATTTAGGATACAGGAAGAAAGTGAATAATGTGATTTTTAATCTTATTATTAACTACTTTATGTGGATGAAATCATCATTTTGATCAATGATCAATCCAACATCATCATATGCAAAAATCAACTGAAAACTCATTAAAGAAGAAGCAATTGGATAAATCTCAAAGTTCACAGTTCAAAATTCAAGATGTTTATAGAGTTTTGAAATAAAGCAATGGTTAAGTGAAAGTATGTGATTTGATGTGTAGGTAAAGTTCAATAAGACGGATTCCAAAATCAAATGGATTGCTTTGTCATCATATTTCAAACCTCACTAGCTCAATGTCCAATCAGTGATATTAAAAAGTAAAAGATATTTTGATTTCATATAATGAAAAGCAATGATAGTCTAATGTATTTGATGCTTAGCACAAAATCTTATATTGCTCTAACTATTGAAAAGATGACTAGTTACACATGAAACTCAGATAATATGCATAAAAAAATTATGAAGTGAATTTTCATATGTATCAAAAATAATAAAGATTATGATATTTTGTTTGATGTTTTATTAGATAATGCTAACACCTTGATATGCTACGTTGAAACTAGATATTTACAAGATCTTGACAGAAACATATCTACAGCAAGATTCGTATTTACTCATAAGAATATAACATTAGTTGGAAATTTACTTTGCAAACATATGTAGCTTAGTTTATAACAAATTTTGAATATGTAGAGTTAGTAGAAGTGGCAAAGGAAACTATTTTATCGAATAAACTTATCATTAAGATAAAATTAGAAAAAGATGTTTTCAATCTTCATTGTGATAGTTAATATGCTTTACATTTGATGCAAATCAAGTAATAAACGATAGAGTGAAATACATTGATATCATCTAGAGTTGCATATTTTAATTAAGAAATCTGACTTAGTGAAGATTCACATTAGTCTCAATTACTTTGATGTGTTGATGAGAAAAATTGTAGGAGATATTGTGCTATTTTGCAAGTTTTACAAAAGAAACACAAGTAGAATTTATAAGAAATTTTATTATGTATATATATATATATATATATATATAGTTTATCATGTTTTGGCTATAGCATACTGGAACTAAACCGTAAGCTCCGATAAGCTTTTGTTAAAAAAGGTTATCTATGTTAGTATGTATTTGGAAAATTTTACAGATAAATTATATAGGCTATGGAGTTTATTATTTCCACGACATGAGGGGCACTCAAGATATCATGTATCAAGATCATAAATGATTTGTGTAAAAACTTCTAAAATTAATGATAATATTTTTTGTCTTCTTGTTACAATAGATGTGTTTTGCCAATTGTCAATCTGAATTATTAATAAACTGAATAGCAAGAACGATATCTTATAAAATGGATTTAGCTAATAATACAATGTTTTATTTTCTATACTTAAATACGTTTTTATTCAAACTTAAAAAAAAGTAGCTCCTTAAATCTTCTGTTCATCCTATTGTGATAAATGGTTTTATGAAATATCCTCAGAAATAACGTTCACTTTAGAAAT